CCGCGAGTTGCGATCGAAGGCAATAGGGGCTACGGGAACATAATTACCGCAAAGACGGTGGGATCGATCAATTACTCGTCGATGAAAAGGAGGACGAAGGGAAGGGGATTCCATGGGGTAAGATACACTGTATCCCTACGAAGGACGGCAAGGTATGTGGCTGCAAACGATCCCTTATACTGATTTATATACTGACCCGTTTGTTATGCCACATTCTAGGTCAACCAGCTTAGCTGGAAGGATAACGCCCTTGTCCTCTTCCTGACCACCATCTATAGCCACACTGACGAGGTCATACGTAACCGCCGCCGCCCTAGTAAGAGCTCGGCCGCAGCTCGTGCTGCCCGTGAGGTCTTTGGCCCTAACGCGAGGAAGAAGCTTCCTATACCCGTCTGTATTGACAATAATAACCGTCATATGAATGGCGTCGATACAGGGGATCAAATGAGGTCATATAGTCAATACGGGCGGCCGATTCGACGAGGAGGATGGGAGTCTCTCGCGTGGAATTACCTCCTCGAGGTGGTCCTTTTGAATACCTTCCTTCTTCAGCTTTGGGGTCAGCCGGGCTGGATTCGATTAAAGTCCCAATATGAATGGCGACAGACCCTCGCTGCCCAGCTAATACAGACCTTTGGGCCATTGGTTAATGGAAGACGGCACGCTCGTCCCCAACGAGCGACAGATACGAGAAATGACTCTATTCCGTGGCAACACCACGTGAGGGTCTCGCGGAAGAGCCCCTCCGCATGTGTGGCCTGTAATCGGCCGAGGGTGGCCCTAGGCGAAGTCTCACGGAACTCACAACATCGTAGGAAGCAGACGAGATCAGGGTGTGAGCAGTGTGGGGTTGCGATTTGTAACACGGAAGTTTGCTGGTACCTTTATCATAACCAGAATATATAGACAGAGGAGGTACCGATAAACTAGGCTCTTTGGTTGGTCAAAAAAAGGCTTGGCTAGCCCCTGAGTGGCTGTTACCCCTCATGCTGAAGTACTGTAGTCATTCAGCAGTCGATGGGATAACCTGTGGGCAGTACACACTGCTTATCTGGACCAACGAGGCAAGCAATAAGGCAATACGACTGGTATTAACGGTTGGTTGGTGATGTTGTAGTGAAGGTGGCTGCGGTGGGCTGGATCAACCAGGAGGTGGATCAGGCAGCTGGTCCCTGGGACACCAGCCACTGCCTCAGGTATCCACAGTCCCACAGGTGTTTCACAACGGAAGATAATGCAATTTCAGCGATAAAGTATCTGGCAGAATTGAATGATTAAGGATTGTGTATTTGTACATATTTGGTGTACAGGAGTATTTAACATTATCATAATGAGTGTCTAGTTTCGGTTGCGTTCTCTATGCTTCATATAATATGCCTCGATGTATTATATCGTAAAATCAAAAGTCGCTAGTATCCATGTATGCAATTTTCAAGTCGAATCTGTCAAAGCGGCTTAATAGGTGTATACCTGCTCGGGGCCGAGGTTACCGAACTGTCCGGAGCCGAAGGGACTGGAAGGAGCGGTGGTAACAGGCTTGCCGTTGATATCAGAGACACCAAACCAAGCAAGCTCCTTGCCATTAATGACGGTGACGACGGCGAAAGCAGGGGCAGGGTCGGCGACGTAGCCCCATGAGACCTTGAAGTTGGAGCCGGAGGTGCAGGGCTGGTCGGACCAGCTCTCGGTGGCCGCGTTGGAACCGGGCATGCGGATGACAGTGCAGCGCTCAGTCTTGCCATCGGCTTCAATGGCAAAGTTGTAGTCGCAGCCGTCGTTCTTCTCGCCGCAGTAACGCGTCATGTCCTTGATCGTCCAGGTCTTGCCCTCAACTACCTTGGGGTTGGGGTAGGCGGGAGCGCTTCCGCCGGATCCGGAGGTGGGTGCGGGAGTGGGTACCGCGGTGGCGGAGAGGGTCGGGTATGTGAAGTAGGACGAGGGGCAGGATCCGGGGTGAGCAGGGTTGCAGCCACCCGGGATACCGGAGATGGAAGTGAAGGTTGGCGCGGGAGCGGCGGTGGCAGTGGCAGTGGTATAGGTGAAGTAGGAGGAGGGGCAAGATCCGGGATGGGCCGGGTTGCAGCCGCCGGGGATGCCGGTGGAGGTAGGCTTGGGGAGGTTGGCAGTCGCGGAGGCGCAGTACTCGCGGTTGCGAGCGTTGTCCTCACCGACGCAGGCGGTCAGAGTGCATGAGCAAGCAACCTCTGGGGTACCGGCCGCGATGCAGGCCTTGTAGGCATCCTGGCAGGCGTCCTGGCGGGCGTTGAGAGGAGCCGCAACGGCGACGGAGGCCATGGCCAAAGCAAAGAGGATGTTATTCATCATGTTGGTTGGAGGTAAGATATAGTTTAAGTAATGTCGGAGATGGCAAGTATTGAAACGGATGCTTGCAGATGAACTGTCTGTAGAACTGATGATGTTGTTGATGAAGCTGAGTATGATGGAGAGGGATTACAACAATTCAGCAGCGATGTTGCAATGGTTATATACATGTTTCTCGAGACATCGTAAGACAGTCAAAATTCGATCTCTCCGCCTGTCTTTTGGCGAGAAACTTCAACATCTCGTGTTCGCCTTTGTGCGAGAAGCTCGTCCGTGGAGCCGAAAGGGCGGGAAAAAGGTTCTAAGTTGTTCGTATTGACTAGCAACCCACCTCGCCTTAGCCGTTCGCCCCGGCAACTAACCCGTTAAGGTTAACAGCACAATATCTCCACAGGCCTCATGATCTCATGGCTCAACTAGCGTCTCGAGGACCCCATATTTGTGGCAGGGGCTTAACAGACCATCGGGCTGTCTTTCACTTCCCAACCAGGCCGAGCCTCATCCGAACGGGAAGAGGCTCTTTGAGAACAGAGTTTGTTTGACGTCAGAAACACGCTGAAAATAGACGCTGGCTTCCAGCATGGGATATGGAGAGGAAGCGTGCCAATCAGCCCACCAGAGACCCTCTCGTCTTTGGCCAAGACCGGGTTAGTCGGTTGCTGCCGAAGGGCCGATCAACCCGGCTCCGCTGTCCGCCAACCTCTTGGCCGGGGTCATTGAACCGAGGGGAAGAAAATGCATTCCGTATCCGTAGAGCTTTGCCCAACCATTGATTTTGCCTCCCCCACGAGTCAAGCCATGCTACGTTGCTCCCGAAAACCAAGAATAGCAAAGGCTAACCTCAATTTTGTGACTAAACGGCCCTCTGTTGAAAGGCTGAATACATTCGGCTTTGCCTACACCCAGCTCGAGACTTGGCGTTCGCATTAGCTCATCAGTGCCGGATTGGCTTGGAAAACCACCAAGGAAAAATGGTTCTTGCTCACCAGTATCTGTTTTTCCATTTAGGTCCCTAGGCCTGAAGTCGGGATACATCAGCGATCTTACTCCCAGATGCTGTCATCGATGTTGTGAGAGCGCGCTTCGGAAATTCCACGCACCTTTGATTACAAGACCCTTTGAGGCAAAGACGTAAACCTTTGCAGGATTTTGCCGAGGAATGTTGCAAGACGTCATATTAAGGGATTTCGCATCCCGTTTTCGTATCTCGTATTGATCGCCACCTCGCATCGTGCTCGCTTAAACACTAGCTAAATGTGAGCGCGCGGAAAGTGCAAGGCATTTCGCCGCCTCTGGTCATTTAGTCTTGCCTCTTAAATCATCATGAAAGTTCCATGTCATCAACAGATCATTCGAATAATTGAAGCACGTAAAATGGATGGCCTTGGTCACATGATCGCATCCATTCTCGGGGCTTTCCCTTATTCAGTCAATATCCCCTTGGTGCAATGTTCACCGCAGACGATGTCTTAGTCCAGTCACTTCGATTCCGATGACAATTTCATCCTCAGAGCCGTTGTCAAGATCATCGCGTATATGCGTCTCCGTTACGCTGATAGAGCATCCACTTCCAGCACTGACTTTACAGTCTTACTGCTAGAAGTACTCGAGCCTTCATATCCTGTCTTTTAGAATCTAGGACATTTACTTCCTCCTGATAGAGAAAGGCTCCGGTAGCTACGAAACCGGCACCGTCTGGTCTGGTGGACTACTTTATCGGGTCCTTCTTTCTCCCATAACGATTGATGATTTGGCATGGTAATAACTCACGAACCTTATAACGCGAGTTTCGATTCAAAAACCGGGTTTCCGCAGAGACTGATGCATCTGAGTAAAAGACACAGCTTTGACTTTCTTTGGGTTTATCTGAAGTAATCCGCGGACACAAGATTGTTGATCATCACCATGAAGTGAGAAAACAAGACGATTTCCTGAAGGCATGGTGAGAATTGGCATAACTATGCTTCTGTCGAAAAAACGACGCCGTTAATTGCGGGCAGCAATCAACGCCATACATACCCTACGACAGCTTCAAACGTCTCCATCTCATTACAGGGTCGTTGTGAAAAAGCTGCAGACAAAGCCCGAGAGGCAGTCGTTTCATCGTGGCCGGTCTGGCTTGATGGGATGCTATGCAGTGCCACACACGATACCTGAGTCTGGGAAGATGCACCCTTGACTGTTTAATGCAGATATAAGACAGTCCGCAGCATGTTATGTTACTACTCATTGACCATATTGATCGTTATAACGGCCTTAGAGACGCACTGGAAAGTAAACCAGTCCAAAAGGCGATAGGCTACTAAGTACATAGTATCAGTACACAGCAGTCGCGCATCAGACTATGAAGCCATTCCCGCTAGATGGATGTTGGCTCGTATCTTTGAGAAGCTTGTTGAATTTCTTGCGAGAACATGAACTCAAATGTAAGCTCGCCGTATGTCTGATAAGTCAATGTTTCCAAATTAAAATAAGAGGTCCAAAGCGTTCAAATTTGCTCAGCCCGATGAACACATACACTCATTTTGCAAGTGTACTTGAACAACTTTACTCCGGATCCCAATCCCAGCCTTTGTATCAAACCCATTCCTAAATCTCGAATGCCAATAATGAACCGTTCTTTGACGCCAAATACCATGCAAATAATAATTCCTCAAATCAGATGCGGTGTTATGTTCTTACAACGCGTTGACGAAGTTGAACCCAACGATGCCCTCAGCACATGCGTGATCCATCTCCGTCCCGGGAAAGACGGAAACTCTGCGACCAATGATGCCATCATCGCCAACTTCCAGCGAGACTGGTCTTTTCAACACCAACTCAAGTGTAGAACCGTTCTCGAGGATCGAGGCACCGGAGAAAGCAAAGCGTTGGAATAAACCGCAGTCTTCAAGTTTACGAGTGAGGTCACCGGACTGACTGTTGAAAATATCTTTGTTAGCATCCAGTACCACTCAATTCGACTCAGCGTCGTTCTCGTCAGGGGGACGTACTGTATAACAACAATCATTTCGGACAATGACTGTAAATCGCATCCTTCGACGCCTGTGATTCTCGCATGAGTAGCGAAAGAGCATCCTGGTTCGCCTGGCGTGTGAAATGCGAGATCTCCGCAAAGTCGCTGCTTCGATATTGATGGGCTGTGCTGGCTGCAAGGTTGGTTGAGCACGGCCAAAGCGCCACCACGGGGCTTTGTGCAGGTATCTGGGCCGCACATGGTGAAGTAGGAACGTGTTGTGGGAATGGCTGACTGATCAGTGTATGCTCTTATTCCAAGAATCAGGACAACAGTACGGCTCAGTCTTTCTCAAGACAGAACCTCCGGGATGCTTTTAATTGTCTCGATCGACCCTAACAACTCCCTCAAGGTGCTCATTCTGTCTCTCTGTCCCTGTCATCCCAAAACGAAGGTGAACGGGTCCCGGACTGGGGCGTCACTAACAATGAGTTGACCAATCATAGCATGTTGTTGACCCCGAATTAGGCGCTGAAGGACCCTGCGCGGGTTTCCCGGTGAGCAAGTTAGAGCAAAATTGATCATGTTTAAGCCGGTCTGCATTAATTGCATCCATCACCGCGGCAAACAGACAGATGAAGACATGAAAAGTGTTGCGAAGATGACAATGGTCCTCTCAATGAAGCACTGTGATTGAGATTGGGTCTCATGGCAGTTGGGCGGGTGGAGATGTCCAACTCGTCTGTGAGTGTTAGCACCATGACCCATGCAATGCCAGAATGGAGCCGGTCAATGAGACGTGGGAAGGGTAGCCATCAAGGTGTCTGTCATATCCTCGGCCTCAACGGACCTGAAGAAGACGCTTCTTGTTACCGAGATGATGAAATGTGCTCGAGTTTACCCCTCTTTTGGATCACTAGGATGTCTCTACCAGTGGGGGTGTCTCTGGAACCCAGATCTTTACCCCTCGATACATATCTCGATTGTCTTGACTTCATCCTCGCATAGCACCAGAAACTGAAGACATTCAGTCGCCTCATAGACCAGCTCACCAGACTGCATCCAGCACCATACATTCCACAATGACCAGCACTCAGTACACGCTACCCAAGCTTCCCTATGCTTACGATGTTCGTATTCTATCACTACTCGATGAAGCCTGTGCTGGCTAACCTCTTCCCCAGGCTCTCGAGCCTCATATCTCGGCTCAAATCATGGAGCTACACCACAGCAAGCAGTAAGTCATCTCGTGTCTGGACAAAATGAAGCAGCAGTAACTTGCTAATGGTCGAAAATCAACAGCCACCAAACATACGTGACAAACTTGAACAAAGCCATCGAGACCTACAACGTCAACCCTCTCCAAAGTCGCTTCGCAATTCTCGCGGCCCTCAACTTCCACGGTGGCGGCCACATCAACCATTCTCTCTTCTGGGAGAACCTCTCACCGGCTTCAAGCCCGGATGCTTCGCCCGATGCGGCACCGAAGGTGATCGCCGAGATCACTCGCATCTGGGGAAGCCTCGATCAATTCAAAACGGCCTTCAACAACGCTCTGCTTGGTATCACTGGCAGCGGCTGGGGTTGGCTGGTCAAGGACGATGTTACCGGCCTCCACATCGTTACCACCAAAGACCAGGACCCCGTCACCAAGGGTGTGCCCATCTTTGGAGTCGACATGTGGGAGCACGCGTACTACCTGCAGGTTTGTGCCCACAGCATGAATAAACATTTGAGAGCCAGATAGACTAACCAATGATGATAAAAGTACCTCAATGGGAAGGCGGCATACGTGGAGAATATTTGGAACGTCATCAACTGGAAAACTTCGGAGCTGAGATTCTCGGGCAGCAGAGATGATGTCTTCAAGGCATTGAAAGCGGTTCTCTGAGAAGAGAATGTCACGGTTGAGACTACACAGAGTTTGGGATGATAACTAAGAATAGACACATGTCTTTGGCCCAAAGTTGTTTGCACGGAGACGAAGAGGCACAGCTACTCCGGCGGACCGCCAAGCCGCTGCAACGTGCATATGATCTTTATTTCAAGTCAGTGGAACTGGCAACAATCAAACCAAGTGGCTGGGGAGTGACTGAGCCATCGGTGCCGCAATGTGGCCTTTCTCTAGCTCCCTGCCCGGTCGTGTAACCTGCAACCATGAGAAAACTTGGCAGTGGTCCCATTCCAGACCGTTTAGAACTTAAGACAGTCTCAGATACGTGTTTTCCCTCTATCAGTTCTTCTACTCCAGGTAGAGCATCAACTTGGTCGCATTGTGCGAGGTTCGATGATTCAGGTCTTGGTGATGTGGCACACAACCGGACTGTGAACACCTCGGCCACGCATCGAGGCGGTACTGTTGTCTGGACAGGTGAGCGCAAGGTTTTGCCAAACAGAAAGAAATCGCATAGAACAAGGTCTCTTGTACGGGGACAAACCCGAGTCGTCCAGCCGCTCACCTAAATCCCCGAGGGTAAGCAAAGACAAACATCCACGGGTGTGAGACGGCCCACACAGCCCAAGATGAAGTGCAAACAAAACGTGAAGCTTTGCTGGCGTATTTAGAGAGGCGAGGATTACTCCTGTCTTCGGCCGATGAAAATCCTTCCGAATTCGCTTTTGTAACGGAAACTCTCAGACAAACGCGCTTCCCCATTCATCCCGGCGTGGCATTCGCACAGCCCTCGTGTCTACTCCCGCAATCAACCGGTGACAAGACTGTCAGGTCTACGGGATCTAAATGCACGTCTGGCCCGCCTGCAGGACGCACCTCTCCGATACGGCTGCAAGTACCATGAGCTATTCTTTTCGATCTTCAGATAGAACTAATGCATAGGAACACTCTCTGATTTTCAACTAAGGAGACAAGCTTTGAACTTGAAATTGTTGTGAAGGAGACCGGTGTTGTCTGTTTGGTCGCGTCCCCTGGAGGGCCGGAAACGCGCAGCTGCGTCGATGCAGGCACACACGCAACGAGGCCGCCGGCCCTGGTGTTGCACCATTTTGTTGGAAGCCAACGAAAAAAGCGAAAAGTTCCTCCATGTGGTGTCACCTCATGTATTATGACGAGTACGGCATCTGTCGTGCAGGTGCGTGCTCAGAGAATGTGTTTCCAAGCCTTCGGAATAGCTCGAAAGCTCACACATCTTACACCCAATTCTGGGCGACGACGACATCAGGTTCTCGTAAATCTGCCCACTATAATACGAAGATCACATAGTAGTAATTGCGTGCTTTAACTTTAGGCCGCTGGAAACACAATCCCATGAGTCTCGCCTAACTTTCGTTTGAAATTTTTGATTGACTGTGCCGAGTTACTTGGAGAGATTGTGTAGGACGGACACCCGCAGCCGTAATCAGGGCATCTGCAGCCGTGTTCATTACGGCTCTGCTTTCTCATCGTTCTGAAATACCCACGTAGGCTTTTCGTCGACTACCTTAGAGAAAACACGAACACTGAGATTCTCTTCCTACTTTAAGCGACGGGTGAACAGTGGCTCCTGAAGTGCCAGCTCGGGAGCCCCTCCGAGCCATGCAGCCTCCCACGTTGTATCAGCGTGACATGCATTGGGTGAGGATGCAGAATGGTAGGATTTCCCTGAAATTTCTTCACAACAGTTACATCAGGTACGTATAGCTTAAGCCATTATTCGGGGAGGCCAAACGGTCTCATCAAAGAATGTTGAAGGCTTGAATCGAATGGGGTCAAGTACCCATCTCTTCGAGCCCATGCGGCAACGACGGGACTCGAACGTTGTGATTTGTACGATCTCACTCCAAACAGGCTGAAAGGCAAGCCCCGATGCTCTATCCAAGTCGACAATACGATATCAAGACACTCGAACTGATTGCTGTTTTGTTGGCCCTCGGCGGCATCCTGCATGCAAAGCCTGGCCGGAGTGCGTTCTAGACTGGGGCACCGGCTTCCGTGACGAGGATGTCTGCCGATCCTCCCGTCGGCATTGCAATCGAGCATGCTCATAGGTGTCTGCCGTGCCATCTGCAATTGGCGTACAGAAGATAAAATCTTGCTATAAAGCCGTCTGGACGCAAAGATGTAGAGCTCGTCTTCCCATTGCTAACCAGCAAGCACCAGCGGTTGCTACATCACACTCGTTGAATACCCTCGCCTATCTGCTCGCCATGGTCACCGTCGCTCTTCATTTCGCCCTTTTGGGTCTAGGGTGAGAACTCCATCACGTCTTCCTCGAGTGTTTCTGACTGAGATTCGCAGTGCCTCTCTGGTTGGCGCCATCCCTCCCAACCTCAACAACTACCTCAATCCGCATCCCCCAGCCACGGTCACTGTCACTGCTTGTGGCTCTCAGTGTGCCAGTACCGTGACTGTGACCGAGATCTTGACTGTAACGCCGGCGTACTTTCACACCTGCGAGTCTTCCAGTACGAGCATCCCAGGAACCTTGAGTTCCAAGTCCTTGTCATCTAGCACTCTTCCTCCTTCCCTGACTACGTCCTCCGGCTACACCGACTCATCCACCTCCGTTGGCTCCGGCACTTCTTCTGAAGCCACTGGAGCGTTGTCTTCTTGGACTCCAACTACAACTACGGGAGTCACGGTCTCCTCCCAACTGCCTAGTGCTGGAACTCCGAGCTCCTCTCTCACCTGGAGCGTCAATACCACATCGTAAGCAAACCTCACTTCGCAGATGCAACTGTTTGTTGATCAAAGCTCCAGAACTACCAGCCTCTCCAGCTCTTCCAGTTACGGTACTGGCACTCCTGGCACGAGTGTTTCTGCTGGATCCTCCTCGAGCCTCTGGACAAATTCCACACGCACCCCTACCACTCGCACCGTCACCAAGACTATCCGGACCACCGACGCAGACTCGTCCACTTCTTCCGAACTTACGACCCAAAGCGTTCCAAGCATCCCTACGATCAGCATTCCTCCTCTTCCATCTTTCTCTACACGGTCCGACGAGTCGAGCGTTTCTTCCCTTGTTTCCTACTCGTTGACCACTCTCACTACGACGTCAGTCTTCAATACCACTGTCTCATCTCAGCATCCTGGAGTATCCACCCTCTCTCCTTCTACTTCTCACACTACCAAAAGAACCACGGTTGTCGTGACCCTCACGAAAACTGTCCCTCTGAGCACTGGTACTGCCTACTCGTCGACTAGCCGCGGGACAGGAGTCTCCAGTGGCTTTCCATCTCTTTCATCACCGACCTCTATTCGACTTTCCACCACGCTCAGCTACCCTACCACCGCATTGAGCTTGTCCAACACTACTCCTGCCTCTCACAGAAGTAGCACTGTCTCCACTGCCTCCGCTGAAAGCTCGTCCACAGGACTCACACCTTCCTCGGCCTCCAAGGAACCTTGCACCACCCACGAGGAATCCTCTTCTATATCCATGTCATCGTATCTCTCCCCCTCTTCCCCTTCTCCAGGCTTCACAGTCTCCAGCGCTCTCCCCACCCTGGTCACACCCACAGGTACAGCAACTCTCAGCACTATTTCCGGCGAATATGACTACCCTCCCTCCTCCAAGGCGTCCACTGCGCAACCGGGAACTACTGTAGACAGCGCCAAGCCGACACTCATCTCTAGCAGCACTTCAGATATTCCAGGAGGCTATGACACCGAATACCCTGCTCCAACCTCATCCCCGGGAATCACCGTCTCGAGTGCCCTTCCAACTCTGGTCAGCCCAACTGCCAGCAGCATCCCCGGTGGTTATGACTATCCTCCCTCTTCGTCTTCCAAGTCGTCTACAGAGTTGACCTCGACCGCGTATCTCGGTACCACCGTGGCCAGTGCTCGACCGTCCCTGGTGAGCCCCTCTATGTCGGAGGTATCGCCCACCCCGACTACCTTTGAGACTCGCAAGTCTGATGAGTACACCTCGGCCTCTACCATCTATGGTGGTTATGAGTTCGGCCGCCGCCGGGCTCTTCGAATGTAACTTCTGTCTTGTACAAACTTCCGACCCTCCGGATGATGAAGTCAAGTTTGACGGTGCCTGATAGACTGATGTGGGGGAGCGGGCAGCGATGGGGGCTGGAGTACAAAGCTGTTATTTCTCTTCTTGACTCTCGTTTAGACTTTTTTATGTAGGGGCATTTGGAGATATTATTGTGACACAAGATGGATAGGAAAACTCGAATATGGTCAACTACCTACGTAATGACTGGGATGACACTTTACTCAATAACAAAAGCGTTTGTTGTCACACGAGCAGCATCATAGGTCAGAACTGGAATCATACAGCTGTGACGCTTTTCTTGAACCCCCTATTTTAAAAGGATGCATGCCGCTAGCTCTAAGCTGCCACTGTATCTTGTCCGTGTGTCAGTGAACTCTAAAGATTACCCTTCCCTGGGATCCATTGTTCGAGTAGGTGCTGTGGAAGTTATCGAACGACGTAGGCACCATTCACATCTTATGCTTTGATCAGCGTCAGGAAACACGAGGGCGGTTGGACGGTGGCGATGTGAACGGGTAGGCATAAGACCGAATGTAGTACCTACATGGGGCGTAATCCCTTCGGTCAGCTCCAACTACAGCACAATTGTCTCGCCGTGTTTGGCAACAACTCTCGCAACTTCCTCTCTGCTGTCGGCGCTGAGATGTTTACTCGAGTTTCTCGGTCCGAAATGTAGTCCATCTCCAAGTCCCAATGTCTCAGTCCTAGGGCTGAGCCTTGGCGGCATTGGTGGAGGCTAGGGAAGATAAACTCAAAGCTAGACATGCGTTAGGAAGAATACCTGGCTGAGTCCCCAGTGATTTGTCTGCTTTGGCGCAAGTCTAGACTCTGGTAAGGATCTGGTAGTGGTTGATGAAGCTGCATACGGCCGCAAACATCCAATACCCTCTTGGAGATTCATTGGCTCAGATATTGTGGCGCAAAAGCGTGAATTTGTGAACTAGACAGATGGTACCACACCCAAGAAGAAGGGCTTGGATGTTGCTTGACTCCAATTAAGAAGCCAGGCAACGGAGTACGGGTTGACGGGACTATGCCTGGCCACGTAGATTGAGACAACACAAGGAAGTGAATCATCAATTTCGACATATTTGCGCTTGGCCACTGCCTGTAGGCTCTGCTCGAATCGACTGCAAGTAGCTTTGATACAGGTAATCTAACTCTGTTGACATTTTCAACTACAAGTAGGAGTGTCCCAGATTTCTGAAGACTTCGACCTCCATGTGAGTACGGTAAGTTACCGACTGAGCTCATTGACGTGCAGAGATTCGGAGATGGATCGAAGCACTGCGGCTGAACCACCGCCAACGTTTGTGGCTCAAAGAGACAGACTTGGCAAGGGCCGTCCAGCTCGTCAAGCCACCTTAAGCTGCCAGCCTTTCCCCGCATGTATGAATCAGAAATTCTGAATGCATCCAACCTTACTCTGCTAGCAGCCAGCGTGGCGTGTTCCGACCATCTGGGTGAAGAGACCCTCATAAAATGGTTTTGGATAGCTCAAGCGAGGTCTGTAGAAGCTCCAGATGAAGTGTATAATATTGCCGCGGTCTTCCAAAATTTGGGCCCACCTCTGCCCCAGATCAGTGATGAGTGAGAACTACGATTGCTGCAAATTTAATCTGACTCTAACATGAGAATCCTGTACTTTATATGTCTCGTATCTGGGCTATCGTCTTGGGCCTCTGCTCAAAACTTTAGCAATCTTTCGACTCCTGATGCCCCGGCTTCCTCTACTGCCAGGCCACCGGTGCCAGACAGCTCTCCAGGTCAGTATGCTACTTGAAAAGCCTTTGAAGGGTATTTGTCACAAGAGATTTGATTTCTTTGAGTTGTTGACTGCGGGAGTTTGCTGACATGCGAGCATACAGAATCAGCGGCCCCTCCACCCCCGAGTAGTAGGCCCAACATACCGCCAGAAGCATCTTCCGTAGCAAAACCACCCGCATCAGAAGCTCGTCCAAGTTCAGCACAACCCTCGATTCAAATCGTCAAACCCTCCACGAATCCCGAGGTAAAACCCAAGGCTGCTTCTGAATCATCCGCTGTCCCTGCCTCACCCAATTCCCCAAAAGAGGCAGCGTCTTCGGTCCAAATCAGTGTGTCTGGCCAAGCGGTCCCTTCGAAAGACGTACCGAGCTCGAGAGATGCTGCTTCATCGAGAGTAGTTGCACAAACTAGCGCGGCATCAGCAAGCATTCCAAACTCGAACCCGGCACAGCGCAGTACTCAAGCGCAGACCGGCGGCCCAAGAAATTCCGGTAGCTCTACATTGGTCCAGGTTCAGGGAACAGCAACCACTGCGCCTGGTGCACTTCAAGCATCTGGCACCCGAGCAGTTGATGACCCGGGCAATGCTTCATCAACCCAAGTGTGAGTGATGCTCGATACCTTAGTGACTCTTTATTTTTGCTAAGTTTGGAAGGTCTGGCACCGGCTCTCTGGGTGCTGGTCAAGCTACTTATACAGTTTCGTCGCCGGAACTAGCTACTACCGCTTCCTTTGCCGCTCAACCATCGGACAGCTTCCAAGATGTCAATGAGACAGCAATTCTAGCGGTCCCAGAGTCTGGAGTTGCCACACCTCCCGACAAATCAACGATTGAGCAGTTTCAAGCCGAGCTCAATGTCAACATTCCTGCAAAGTCGATAAACAACGATAATGCTAGGGCACTTGCGATCCTTGAGACGGCATACTTTGAGTACTTTGCCAAGAAGGACCCTGCACCTGTAGACATGGGAAAGATCTCTATCCCAGCTAACATCTCCGAGTGCCAGAATACATACTCTCAGAGATTGGCAAAGAGAAGGGACTTTGTTGACAATGTACTAGACTGGGTCCCTCTAGTGTCAAGAGATCTCCGGGGCTTCAGCAACTGCAAAGCAGTTGACTCCATGGAAGTTGGAGTATATTTCCATTACATGAGAGCCTCTTCAACCGCCGAGAGGCCAAATGAGCTGGAGTCAAGGGTCAAAGAACAGGTAAGCCCCCACAGATCAATTTTAGATAGAGTTACAGTACGGGGGCTAACAGTACGTAGGTCGATGTCTTGAACGAGGCGCTGGGGGCAGTGAGGATCAACTTTCGTTTCATGGCACTCAATTGGTGGGAGCCGAAGGTAACTGAGGATTGGTCAAAAGTTACCAGACGCGAGTCTAAACTACTGGACTGGCAACGCCGGACACGCGCCCCTGGGAAATTGACATTGACCATCTGGATCGTGAATGGGTTGCGAAGCACTGATAAGGACGACCAGGAACTCAACAGCGTAAGGTCATTCCAATCGTGGGAAGAGGGAATACATACTAACTAATAATTCACACTATACTTAGTACGTCACATTTCCGAACCAGCAGCTCGATGATGCAGACGGTATTGTAGTAGAACAGGCGCATGTTCAGGGAGGCGATGCCACAACGCTTGTTCACGATGTCGGTCACTGGTTCGGTCTCGGCCATACGTTCAATGAGATCGGCCAGGAATGCCTCGTTCAAGACGGATTGACAAACGCGACCCAGACGTCGGGTAGTCGTGACGTGGTATACCAATGCTCGCAGGTAACATGCGCTGGTGGTCCAGTGGTTGAGATAAATAACTACATGAGTGTGAGTTTCCTGCAACCTTTAATTCGAACACTCAAAGAAGAGCGCTAACGGATCACTCTTCATCGGAAAAAGTACTCGGCGTGCCGTGGCAAAATTCCACAGAACGGCTTCACCACTGATCAGAAGGCGCGGATGTTTGCCAATGCGCTTGAATTCCGGCGCGGGTACGAGGCGGGAGAGTGCATGGCAGACGGGAAAGCGGCCGTGGGGAAGAGGTCTAGCATGCAGGATCTTCTCGATGGAAAGTGTCCGGATGTCAGCAAACAGGCAAGCATTCTCATGAACACACCGCATAGCTTGGGGGCAACTATAGCTGGATCTCCAGCTAAATTTCTGACGACAATTACCTTGGTATGCACAATTGTGCTGTGGTATCTCTAAGGCGGAACCATGCGACACATCAGGATTCTTCCACAAGATTTTCGGATGAGAGCATCTTTGGACTTTAAAAACCAGTTAGGGCAAACCACATAATATTAAAAAAAACTTGTAACGTTATTGCTTTTGAAAACTATATGCCCGGTATCAAGGCGCATCTGCACCCATGATGCCGAGCAATAAACCTCTGTACTTATGACTGGAGGAATTTGAAATCATCCAACGTCAACCATGAACCGTTTCATCGCACCTTTTCTCGTGATTGTACAAAGGACCAACCCGTCCATTTTTGCAGAAAGCTCCAGGGGGGGTTCTACTTCCATGAGCCCTGTCTCCAATCGTCAGGTAGCTTAGATGGCAAGAGCACCGAGCACGAGCATGGCAAGACCACCGATAGGGGCAAGGCCTGCAGCGCCAGCCTGAACGGCGGAGGTGGTGGCGGCAGCGGTACCGGAAGCGGTACCAGAGGCAGAGGCGGTGCCGTTGCTGGCGCGGGTCGACGTGACGACAACGCTGCTGGCAGAGGAGGAGGCAGTGACGGTCACGGCCGTGGTGCTGGCAACGGTGGGCATGCTGGCTGGGGGGACTGAGGAAGCAGCAGAGGCGGCCGAGGAGGCGGAGACCGAGGCGGACATGCCAGACCCAGACGAAGCGGCGGCGCAAAGCTTGTCAGAGGCGGGAAGGACCTGGTCTGTTGGGAAGTGAGGTTAGTCCCTGATGATGTTACTTGAGTGGTATAGAGGGATGTAAACATACTCAGAGCAACGTCTGCACCGCAGGCTCCGACGACGCAGCTAGTGGCGGCGGCCTGAATGGCTGACTTGTTGGCGGGCTGGCAGGTGCATACGTAGTCGCCATCCTTGCAGCTGGTGGCCGAGGCAGTGGCGTCCTGCAAGCACTTGCGAGCGCACTCGGGGATGATGGTAGGGTCAACCTGAGCGGCGACGACAGCGGCCAGGGCAGCGAGAGCGTAAGCGTACTTCATTTTGTTGATTGTTGATTAGGGGTGGATTATGTGTGTGAGGTGTTATGATAGTGGACAGCAGGTGTCGGTATGATAGACAAGCGAGTGTGGATGAAAGACGGAGGAAGAGAGAGTCTGAGGAAAGCTGAGGAAGGTAGGGCTTTATGTAGATATAGAGGTCGGAGCAAAGGGTACATGTGGTTATACCCTGATGCCTCTCGGCTGTTTAGGTATAGGAGGTACGTTCGGACTGGGATGACTTGGAGGTCTATAACGGAGAAGAAGGAAGGAATTGCATGGATCCAGTTGGCTAACCTAATAAGCAAGGTTCTCAGGGCTAGGACGGGGCAAACAACTCAAGGCGGACTTTCAAAGAGTATGTACAGGCAGTTGCAGTAAGTACAGTGACTAGGTACTGGCACGCACCCGGAGTAGTCAGAGAAACCCGGGAGGGATGAGTATCTCCGTCAGTAGAGTTACTGCGCAGGCGAGGCAAGAATCTGGGGGAAAGTGGATAGCTGAGAGACCCTGGTTGTGAAAAGTGATTGCTAGGCCCGAATGGAGTCTGCTTGTGCATGCGCGTTGCAACGATATGATGAAAAAGAAGGGAGCCAGAACAGGGCCTACCTCGTAATTGAAAATTCCCCGCGCATACCCGACCTTTGAGTGGTCTGCGGGCCTCAGGGCTGCGCCGGTGATCGTATAAAGCAGAGACGAGGGTTGCAGAGGGACAGGGGGTGTGGACGGGTGGTAATACCGGATTGGATAGTCTCCTCCGTTAGGACGGGGATCATCTTGGGTCAAGGCGATGCCGGGGAAGTGGGTTTTCTGACCTCTATTACCTCTTAGCTAAGTTCCGAATCCTAGCCACTGCGGCGCGTGAGCGCGTATTGGAGATAGTGGTGTGTGTGAAGGGCGCAGGTTGTGCTCGGTACTCATGTCGTTAGACATGTGAAGAAGGAGATCGACTCCCAAGAAGGGGAGTGGCATGATGCAGATGGACCTGGGCTTTGCAGTGCTGGGAAGTTGGACCTTTGTATGTTGGGTCGGGCGTAATTTCGGAGCCAATTCGTACATCTTAGTCATTAGCTGACAAGGCGCTTCGCTTTCATGGGCGTTGAATCCCAAGGACTGGTGAGATTGTGGCTGGGATTTGGCGGACGTGCAACAGCCATGATCATTGATTTGATTACACTTACGGAGTAGAATAGGGGGGTTTTTCCGTAGCGGGGATCTAATGCTCCTCTTCTTCTTCTTTTTCCAGGTAAAATCCGGGGTGACCGGGGATGACGGTGGGAGCATCTCTTGGCTGCCTGTCGCGCTATTGATGGGAATCGAGAAATTGCCATTGGCCAAGCGTCGCAGTAGCATTAGACGTGATGATTCAGGTGTTGGATGAGCTGGAGGCCGCAGCTGTCAGATGAACCTCTGGCCATGGTTCCTGACTCTCTGCGGATGGGTGAAGTAAGTTTGGGGGCTTTGGAGGTCTGTAAAGTTAATCCAAAAGATGATGACTTCTGGCCTTGCTAGACCCAGGATGCCAGGCCACAGTCCCACATACGGAACAATATTGAGCTGTAGTCGGGTGGCACATGCGCCCCCGGGCCCGAAAGTGCAGTCTTTGCTCGTATTGAACAAGCTGGAAAATTCTCGACACCACGTCTTAGAGATCGTTGGAGACACTGTCATATTGGCTCTTGCCTCCATCTCACCTCTGCGATTGTAGATGGATCAGGGCGATCTGGTCATCATGCAGACTTTGATAGAGCAAGAATTCACTTCTGCCTCTTCATGACAATGATAAAAACGCAGAGGTTCCGCTTTTCGGCAACTTAGACTGGCAATGGCTTGTCAATCTATCCGGGTCTGGCGCTTTAAGGTTGAGAGAGAGAGAGAGAGAGAGAGAGAGAGAGAGAGATGGTGGCACCAGACATGAAGCCACGCATCATACCTGGAAAGACAAGAAGACACAGACTCAGGCAGACACAAGCGGGACAAAGTGGGCAGATGCAGGAACACACGGCAGCCACCAGCAACCATCATGATCCCTCCGTCCATGTATCCCGACTAGGTAACACCCGTGTGTCATATCAGCCCTGATTGGGCCGACCTCACCACACCTGAGGCAGACTCTGCACTCTTCGCGTCCTTTCGGGGGGCCTTGACGACGTGGACATGGACACATAGCTTGGAGGAGGCCCAGGAGGCCCAGGAGGGGAGGGCCACACATCGCTGCTTGTCTGGGGAGATGCCAATTTCCCCCGCACGACGCCATTCCTTTGTTGGAATGGCGCTGCCTGGGTGCCCCTGTCCCTGACTACATACATGTACTGCTTGGATGCAAGCCTGCCGAGGTGAAGCTGCTTCCTCTTTACGTCTTGTTGCAGGGAAATATGGGAAATTGCGGCAAGTAGACGGAGAAGAAAAAAGCATCTGATTATGGGACATTTGTATCTTAGCTGCCGTTGGCGATGGATCAAGCTGCACGCCATATTTGCTTCTGTCACATGTAGATACGCCGTGGCACTGACTGACACTTGACACTGACATTGACATTGACAAGATTGATAGAAGACCAATCCATCATCTCCTTTCTACTCCGTAAGTACGGGATGAATCTGATCGCGACTTGACCTGAGATGAAAGATGCTCATCTCATCAATGGGGTGCCGCTTTTGATTTAACTCTAAACCAGAGCGAGCGGGAACAAACGACCATAACGAGGACCCCGATGCTACCTTTGCTGGTCCTTTGGCTGGCAAAGAGCCCAGTCCGGTCCTTTTGCTGGGGCGGTGCAGGGATGCGCCGGCGGATATGGCTCCAGTCGCTCAAGAGATCGGCCGAACAAGCCGGCTGCCCCCCTCCCCCCTCCTCATCCAGACTTCCTCTTGTTCTCTGAGCCATGTTGTCAGCGCGAGTTGGCCTACCTAGTTGTCCGTCGTGGCGTAGGTAGCTTTGCAACAGCTTGAGCTTGTGCCACGCTTTATCTTGCATCACGCATGGCGCGCTCCCTCCAAGACGCTATTCGGTCTTGACTTATTAGCTAGCCGCGTAGCTCCACGCGACAGTAGAGGCTTGCGGTCGTCGCTCTCAACGGCGCGTGTCGTACCTGAGCGTGCGTGCGTGCGTGCGTGCGTGTGTGCGCCGTGTGAAGCCGTCCGAGAAAGATCTACCTCATCTCACCTCGCGGCACTGACGGCACAACGGTCTGTGAGCCCTGAACAGACAGCCGCTCCCTGGTTCTAACTTCTGTGGGGACGAGACTTCGGACCTGGTCTGATATTGCCTTGTTGATGTTGATGGAGAACGTCCATGCTCAACGCTTGCTGAGATTTTCCACGAGTCGACCGTAAAGGTTCATGGCCACTGGCCAGTCACTTCAGTCTTGTGACGATGCAAATATCGGCAAGAAATGGCCTGGAGTCTGCCATGGCGAATGGTAACTTTCCCGTCGCGGTTGGCTGTTCCGTGTTGTGGGCGATGGTTGTTGGTTGGCGCGTCTCGACCCCCTAGCTAAGGTTGCAAGCGTCGCACCAGACGACTTGGGGTGTTTCTGATGATCCGGCTGACGATGAGACTTCAGAGGCGATCATCGACTTCCAAGATTTTCCGAGCTGAATCCCCGAGGCTGCTCGTGACAGGCGAGGCGATCCGAGGTAGGCGCTTGGTGCCTTGTTTTTTTGGAAAGAGGAGAGAGTAACGTCGGTTGCGATCCGAATGTTGTCTTAACTTCTCAATTCGATGCCGGCTCATTTACTGCTGTTGTCGGACCTCTTTTTCGTGCAATTCCTTTTTTCCCCCTGAAAACCTCATATTGGCAGTGCCTTGATATCGTGCATCCCATTGCTTTTCCAATTCAACAGCCATTTGCCAAGACCCAGGACCTGGCCTGCAAAATTCTCCGCAAGGTTGCAGCGTATTTCTGGGCCCGGATGCACTCTTTGCTTTCCCACAAGTCCGGGCATTTTTCGACGTTTGACGTGACACTTCTTATCAAATCATCTGGCCTTTTCGTTCGGACCGTTTGCCATGGGGGTAGTTTAGAAGTGGATGATAGAATATTGCTTATTCTGAAATGTAGAGACGCTTGCAGTCTTGTCGATAAACGCCAATGCCGCCAAATCGGCCGAGGAGGTATGCCGGAAAGTGGCCGGAAGCATCAACACACCGCTTTGTGTCTTGGGGAAACTGAACAGGCTGGTCATTGTAAAGACTGAGAAGCTTTCCGACGGTTTCTGAACAACAAAAGGAAAACTGGGTGGGCACAGCCAGCTCTTAAATGTAACTTAGAGGCACCTTGCGCACCTGATGTGAGCACGACATCGGCTAGGGTGATGAGGCCAACCATCAAGCACCACAGCACCTCAAGGATTCACACATCGCCTTGGCAAAACATCAGCCGATCAACCAATATTGACAATCTGACACCTCAACATGCTTGCAGCTACAGTAGCAACTAGTCATATATCAGCTTGACAATCTACTTGATTCTAATGAGTAATGATCAAGGTCGAGTCTGGTGGGAGGTTGTGGATGAAGGCGCCAAAAGACACCTTCAGTGACATCGACAGAATCGCTGGTCTTGATTCCAAAGTGGATACATAAAATCTGCCATTGAAGACTAACATCTTTGCACTCATCGCAGTCCTACTCGCTTGAGCTCTGCGAGGCGGCGTCCTCCCCATTTACTCCAATCACGATACCCTCTGCCATCATCATAAGCAACAACATGGTGCCGATGGAATGATTCAAGGTCCTAGATACAACTTGAACTAAAGACTGGGCATGAATAACTATAGAATAGTGTCGTCACAGATGGCCCAATATTAGGATGTAACGCACATGGTGTGTCTATAGCCCGACGACCGGTTGACTGAAAAGAAAAAACCGGATGAGGATCCCCCAAACAATTACACTAAATCCAATTCGACCGGTCTTCGTCGACTTATGTCTCCAGTTTGAAATTGGTGGCCGCTAACCTGGTTATTCTTAGATTTGGAGAGCATAGCAGACTGCTTCGCAGATTCGGAAACTAAGGTAGATGGCAAACACCCGAGGGTTCTACTATTCACTACGAAGATGACCTATTCCGATCTTCCCATCGAGCTTCAATGGGTCTCAGCACTATATACATGAGTGAACTGACAGCAATTCCAAGTTCTATGCCGATATCGCCGGTCCGTAATGCAATGGGTCCAGTATACCAGGCAGTGTCCATAGAAGGGACGATCAGCCCAAACGAGCAGCAAAGCGATACCACGGCCGCGAATCCAAGCGGGAGCGCCTTGTGATTATCCCAATTAGAGACGTTGTAAGCAGAATACCGACCACGACGGAAACAGAAGTGCTCAGTAAGCGCAATGCTACTGTAATAAGCCGTCCAATATCCAACGACGCTCAGGAAGTTGGATAGGGAGTTGTAGAAGTTGGAGCTGGCGACGATCGAGATGGGCACAATAATCGCCACAATGACAACCGAGTACAGGTATCGGGGAAGACGACTGAGAATCGGGTGAAGGGATTGAAAGCTAATGGAGAGTGAATATAGAGTGCACGCCGTGAGGCCGAGCACAGAGAACGCTAGCAGGACTGACAAGAACTTTCCAAATCCGCCCAGGGGAGAGTTCATAGCATTGATGATACCGCCGACGGAGTATAGTCCGTACGCCTCAGCCCAAGCGTGGTTGGCTGGCACAGCGGCACCTGCAGCAGCACCTAGAATGAGTAGCAATATTGAAGGTACGCTGTAGCCTGCGTAGACGCATAAGGTTTTGAATCTGTAGGAGAGACAAAGTGAGCCCGAGGTATCCTCGTTGAACGCTGAGGTATGTATGAGCAGACGTACCTTGGGGTGGAAGGGTCAATATAGACGACGAAGTCCGAGACCAAAGGAGCCCAACTAGTACACAGACTTGCACACGCAGCGGCAAATGTCAAGAGATTTCTTGGTGAGATTGCAACGGACTCCGCACCAGTCCTCGCAAGCGATTTCCCACTGACACCGGCAAAGTTATGAGAGCAACAAGAGATGGAGCCCACAGGTATTGATCAATATAATGCAAGTACTTGTAGCCAAGGAAGGAGATGGGCAGTGCGCCGACAACACTGATTGTGATACCAACAGCCAAGCTGAGATTGCCTTGGGAAACAGCCGTGAGAGTATGTCCACTGACAATAGACGTCATGATAGTGTAGCCGATCAACGTGGCAATTTGTAGCAACGCAATGCCAACGGCAAAGTAATAGCTATTCTTCGAGTTAGCTGCAATGGAAGACACCAGTGCGAGACACGATGTCTAGAATACCCGAAGTAGTATTATCTTGTCTGAATCATTTGATGCATCCCAGTCTTGGGCCCCATCGTGCCCAGCCAGGCAATAGGAAGCATGAAGATGAGGGTGCTGATCACGATGACGGCTGAAGCAACAGCAGGATCTAATCCAAAGACCAAGGTTCCGGATATGCCGGTGGTCATTCTGGTGGTTTCCGTTAGTCTGATGACCAAAAGCAATTCTCCCCAAAAGGAGAAGATGGAGAAGAGATGTCAAAGCTTACGGAAGGGTAGTGCAGTTTGCAGTGAGCCACAGCGTGAATAGTTGCAAAGTATTCCTATCGGTCCTCTCTTCGATCGGAACCGGCGCTACGCCTCGAGTCTCGGCAGAGCTCAATAAGGCTCTGTGCAACTTGGCAAGCCAGCTTTTTGGTGGAGGGTCCTGAGAGTCTGCTTCGATGGAGTCATTGTCGGCATCGTCTCCGAGCTTTTTTCAAGATCGACAAGAGCGGGCGTTTCGTGTCCCGCGGCCATTGTTTCTAAGTCTGCTGGGTAGGTGAAATCTCAGTTGACAAGATGGCACAGCTGCTAGAAGCATACTGCTAGTTGGTCTCACGAGTTGGTCCCAGGAACCAGGTGCACTGGCTTCTTTTAACATCTACTATCTTCGAATGTCCTCTATGCTTTGGAAATCGTTGGTTGTGGTCGATTAGAATCTAGATTACACGGGAAGGGGTAAATCGATTTCGGATGACACCACAAATGACATGAACTGGCGCCAATCTATCGATAATCGACCCCCCTGCATGTTCCATCTGGCAGATGAAACACGGTCGTTATCTTATCATTGCAATTATGTATTATCTGGAATCGGGAATCACGTATTCTGACACGTAAAGGCACGACACAGCGTCGGGTAAACATTGAGTTGTGGTCGGATTTAGTTTGAATAGATAACCCCCACAGCTAGTGATGCGGAAGATGAATTCCGCCATGATGTTCTCTTTGAAACGGGTCAGTTTCTAGTGACGAGCATCAAAAGAACCGATTGAAACAAGATAAGCAAGATAAGAAGGCCGGATCGCAGAGATTGGGTAGAACTAGTCCTTGCCATCCTGTCAACTTGCCGATAGCATGCTACATGTGCTGACGCCTTTCTTCTAGATACCTTTGTCACCATGTTGCGTGATATACTTGACATCAGACAAGCAGGTATCGTTGACATGATTCAAGAGCGTTGTGACAAAGCTGCATCGTTTTGTTTGATAATAAAATATGCGATGTTTTGATAGTCTAGTGCCGCCAAAGAGCCGGAATCTCTGGCCGCACAAAATGAGACCATAAAATCATCAATGCTCATATTTATCTGACTCACACCCCATGTCCTCAAGCTCCCTGACTCACGCACCATATCTTCCAATAATTCGGCCGGCACTACTGTCCTCATATCCGTCCCTGCCCCTTTCTCATTGCCCGACAGCCATGTCCCACCTCCAATATTACGCGTACGCGGACCACGGTGTCAGGCAGAGAAGAAACTTTTCTTACAGCCAGGCAGTTCGCATTGGTGACCGCATCGAATGTGCCGGCCAAGGTATGCATGGCTACATCACCACCCCTCAATCGCTCTCTGGATGGGTTTGCTGAGTTTTCATCCATAACAGGCGGCTGGGACCCAGTATCTGGCGAGTTTTACAAGGAAATCAATGAACAAATTGATCAAGCCTTCAAAAATGTGGAATTGAATTTGAAAGACGCTGGCGGGAAGGGCTGGTCTCAGGTATTCCGAGTCAATTCGTACCACGTGCCCATCAACGACGAGGCATTGGCAGCCATGGTGAGGAACTTCAGACGGTACATGCCAGATCACCAGCCCATATCGACATGTGTTGGGGTTCCGCGCTTGGGTGAGGATGATATGCGGGTGGAGATAAAAGTCGTAGCTTATGATCCAACAACACCCTCGCCTCCACAGTGAGGTGTTGCCCAGGAAGAATGGGAATCATAGGATGTGAAGACCTGTTTTTTTCAGTCGTCAAGCCCAAGAAATCATCTTATGATTGTTATGTTATGAATGACGTCGTACGTATGGTTCGTAAGAGAATGGTCTGTTGGAATTTGGACCTTTGAGAACTCCATTCTTTTCTAAATTGCGAGTGTCATCGCTTTCAAGATGAAAGACGTTCCTTCCAAAGATTGAAGGCGTCGCTAGTATAAGGCTACTCTACTCCCGAGCCTATTATTACAGCTATGATGGAATCTCCCAACGGAAATATCAAGCAAGTCACTCAATCATCGTCTGAACAGGCGACTGGTACCAGCAGAGCCTTCATCAAAGTGTTTACTCAAGAGACACCGAAACAACTGGCTCTACCCGTATTAGATCATCATGTTCTATTATAGACTCTGAATGTAATATAGCAATGGTATGTTTGTTCGTAGTTATGTAGTACATGATGCTCTCGCAAAAAACTGCAAGACGCCGCGATGTGTAAAATGCATGTTCCCACACCGAGGTTCGAACTCGGGTCTCTCCGGAACGCTTCCAGGGGATTGAAAGCGGAGTATCCTAACCACTTTCCTCTGTCGAGTCGACTAGGACTTTTGTGTTCGTGTATTGAGAGCTCTCTACAGAAATTACGAGTGACTTATGTAACAGCTGAAGGTTAACGCTTGCAGCCGTCTTCGCTCGTCGGGCGCTGTTTCAAACGGGGATTTTGACGTTGACAATAACGCCTGGAACCGGATGTGCCACCGGTCAAGAATTCCCATGTATCTCTTGACCTGATGTTTAGGAATTTTTGGTAAGATTCGTAGGAGTCCTCAAGTCCTCGAAATGTAACGCCGAATGCATCTGTGTTTGATATATGATGAAGTGTTGGATAGCCTCCCACCACCGGTGGGCCTCTGGAAGCGTTGCAAAGCTCTTTGAAAGCTCGTCGACTGCATAGCGACTCCTTCTGCCGCGGCAGCACCAAGGCACCCAAGTTTGAGTCTCGGTCGGATGATATCCGTTCATCGTCCATGATGACAAGGTGAAGCGCTGAAATCCCGAGATAACCTCGTCAATGGGAGGGCATTCTCCACTCACACCATGCTTCATAACTTGGTCAAGCATACTGCACACATAGTTAATGTGGGTAAGCGCAGCTAGATGATTGCCCTGTATGGCTTCGAACGTCACGAAGAGAATACAGGAGAGTAGGGCGCGAGGGATGCTTCTCTTTGACGCAGCGCTGGATCGGATGATGTGAATGGCTTTTCCGTAATGTTGCAAAGCATCCTTCATGAAAGGGCCTGAGCCATCGGTGCGTTGTCGGCGACTATCGCTGCCTAAAGTGGCTGCGCCGATGGCAAAAGCCGCGTGTCTGATGGCCGGCTCTTCACGGGCAATTTGCGGTAATTATGAGCTGCGTGATGAGATCCGACGGAAACAGGGTGAACTGTTTGCTGAACGTCATCTAATACTCAAATTGGTCTTTCTCTAGTTGTGCAGTAAACATGTACGTCTCGTAGCTGGGCCGAACTAGCAGTGGGCGGTATTCTTGTAGTCTATATTCGTTTCCCTTTGTCTTTGGTGCGTATTCTTCACAAGCTCGCCTTGATTTACCGCAATTTAGACAAGATGGCTTCCCCTCGTCGCAGCGGACGCGTCGTTTTCTAATCATTTTGTTAGTTCGCAACATCACAAGAACTGCTGGAAAGCCATATGGGCGCATTTCCCTAAGCGTAATGTTGTGTCTTGCTACTCACTTGCATGTGATACAGCCTGCCCGAGACTTCGGAGCTTGTCTCCGGTTTGCCTTTGGCCGGTCACTGAGGGCAAAGCTCAGTATCTGCGGCGCCGAAACCGGAGCCACCGACGATGAGGTGGGCTTTGAAAGGGCACTGTCTGCCATGGAAGATAGAAGTTTTGTTTTTTACTTATTGAATTGCCTGGTTGGATGCTGACATTGCCGAGGGCCCTTCCCTAGGCGGCGGTGGGAGATTCTTCGAAGAAACCTGAGCTGCGTGGAAGGAACGGTAGGGCTGACATGTAAAGGTCGCCGCCACAATCGAGACTCCTCCTCTCCAAATAATAGGCCAAGCAAATGATGGCGACCCTAGCCGCCTCGCTTGTTCACTCACGCCCGTCGATCCCGGGCGGCGCAGGCAGCATCCACTGTCCTATCAGAGATGCGAATCCACTGGAGACATGTCGCGTCAGCTTACCACATTGGTATTATTCCCAACCAGGAAGCGAGGATTGGCAGCTAAACCCCGTGTCGTCTTCCACAAATGAATCTTGAAATAGTGCGACGGCCTTGTTGAAATAGTGGGTAGAAAGACGCGAGCCATTTTGCCCAGAGTTGGGATCGTGCCAAGATTCTCTAGATACATTAGTATCACAGCATTCAAAGGTGCTCAGGTAAACCTTTCAACGGAGACACAATCATTGACCACATCAGTTTTCATCAAGTGCCCGAATGCAACGGTCCGAAATCACGGTGGAGGTCTCCTATTAATCAGGGCAACTCCACATGTAATTAAGATTCTTATCACGAAAAGGCTTTGTTAAGATTTGCCGCTTCCTAAAGTTTCCCGGCCGGCTGGACATTGTGATAATTGCCGAGTACTTCACCGAGGCCGAGCTGTAGTGACAGGGCCAAGCCAGGGGTTTGATAGACGCATGGGTAGTCAGAGAAGAACACGAATAGCATTACTCAAGTACTATGCAGCATGTACGTGCATCCAGCCCAAAACGAAGAAGTAGCCATAGTTCCGCTTCTGAACAAGTGTGTGTGACAGCATCGGAATACCAGTATCATCATCTGCAAGCAAATTCCAGAAAGACTTTGTTCTACCTTAGTAGACGTAAAAGACAGCGGTCTCGTCAGGTGAAGCCCTCAGCTTCTCGTTGCGCTTCTTCGAGATAATCTTCGCCAGCCATGCCAGCAAAGCTGTCGCAATGCTGAACGCGGCGCTGCTTGACATGGCGATGACGTAGCGAGGCTCGTCGCTACTGGGCCAGAGGTAAGGCGTCCAAATGAAGCTGATGTTCATGATCATTGTTACCATCGAGATGGCCACTGCTTTCTTCTCCTTTGTTTGACCACAGACACTGCCGCACCAACCTAGAATCAACTATTTCTGGAGTTAGCTACGTCGACAAGTCTAGTAATAAGTAAAAGGGAACAGCAGTACCGAATTGACTCCGTATGTGCCGATGGTGAAGATCACCATTGAGACGTATCGACCGGCCAGATTCATTGAGGCAGTTGCCGAGATAAAACCGACAACCGCGACGGCCTTGGACGCGGTAATATGCCATGTACGCTCATTGAACTTGCCAGATGACCAAGATACGGCAATGGTGACCGCACCAGCGATGAGGTAGGGAGGACAGGTGAGTACGAGCGTGATAGTCGTATTGAATCCGAGGGTCTTGACAACGCTCGGGAACTAGTTGGGAACCTGTCAGTCTTTTCCCCTCTCACGTGTCACCCGAGGTCACAAAGAGGCTCACAAAGTTTTTGAATCCGTTAGCAGCCAGATGCATGTGGGCCATCGCGCAGAAGATCCACACCATGGGGTCCTTGGCAGCTTGACGAAGACCGTTCCACGTGCTGGTCTCGCCCTTGTTGGCAACGGTATCGAGTTCCATGCGGTTGTAGGCGAGGTCGCGCTCCTCCTGTGTCAACCACTTGGTGGTCTGGGGGAAATCGGGAAGTAGGAAGAAGCCGATGACAGCAATGACGAATGTCACGGCACCCTGGAGGATAAACAACCACTTCCAGCCTGCAATGCCAGCGAGGTCATCCATGCCGTGGAAGATTCCTGCTGCAATCAGGCCGGCGAAAGCAGTGGCGAGAATGTTTCCGGTATAGAGGATGGCAATACGAGTAGCAACCTCTTTTCGGGTGTAGAAGATACTAAGCAAGTAGACAGCACCGGGATAGTATGGAGCTTCTGTGACTCCGAGAAAGAATCTGGTGAGAAGAAGTCCAGTAAAGTCCTTCGAAACGGCAGTCAGAGCGCTGACAACAGCCCAGAGCATCATCATGGTTCCCTGGATAGAAGCAAGGGCGTCAGTATCTCCTCGAGTTTAGAGTTGGGGGCTGTGAGAAGGTAATACCATGTAGCGGCTAGGCCGGGTTCGAGTAAGAAACATGTTCGAAGGGATTTGTCCTCTAGTGGAATAGCGTTAGCTGCGAAACTAGTGACGGGTATCTGTATGGAGTCTCTTACAAGATGTAACCGACGAAGAGAATCGAAACACAGGTCTGGTACTCTGTCGGATAGACGAGTTAGCGATAGCCTCAGCACAACTAGCAAACGTTGTCAGACATACGAGAACCAGTCAAGTTGAGGTCCTCTTCAAGGTCATTCAGACGGGCAAGTGCAATAGCATTGCGGTCAAGGTACTAGCGCAAAAGTTGTCAGTACTTGTTGACTCGGGGGTCCAGAACGTGAACTTACATTGAGCCAATACATGGACCATAGCATCGGCTGAAGGGAGGCATCAGTCAGTCAGAGAATTACTTAATCAAAGAAGGCATCGTCTAGACTAGGAAGGTGTAAATACCATGATCCATCTGTCCAACTTTTTCACAAGTGCAATCTCCTTGGGGTCGGTCTTCTCCTGAGCACCAGAGTAGTCGATTTTGCCAGTGTTCCTTGGAATGGGCTTCTCTGGGTTTTCGTCCTCAAAGATCTGAGGTTCCATGTCCTTGACTCTGTCGGCTTCATTATTAGCCGCGGTGTTGGTTTTGGAGGTCATGATGCTGGCAGTTCCTTGGGAGGAGACTTCACAGAAGTCTAGACGAGCAACGAAAGAGGTGAGAAGGAAGATTGGCAGGTGGATAATAGCAATGCTAAGCTGGTTGCACCCTGTCGAGCGAGGTTTTTTTTTTTTTCCATCCATTTCCCCACGGGGTTTGGAGCCCTTTTGTATTCGTACGAGGCGGGAATGCCCAGACCTGACCGTCGTGGGAGGACCTCCAGCCTCTGTCCACGTTGTGCTCCCATGTCGTGCCCGCGATCGACTAGGGGCATGGGCTCGGCGAGTCTTGGATTGCTTACGCCTACACATAACCATCACGAAATCTCACTTATTTTGTTTCTGCCAAGTCACGCCCGACATATTCCGAACACCAACGACCACCCCCTGGCTATTTCCAAGAATGAGAAGGCTTGCCCAGGCGGACGGCGAGCGATCCTGGATGCGTACAGCTGGAACTGATGGTGTACATTGGCCAGATAGCTGCTATTATAAGCGTTGACAGGAGTCATGACGAATCACTATGTGCTACAGAAGAAGGTTACCAAGACATACCTAGCTTGGGGAATGTGACATGGCCTTCCTTTTACCCTTGACTGCCCTTGTCTCTTGGCAAGTAGTAGCGTGCCTCTCCCCAGCTTCCTCGTGTTGTTTTCTTTTCAAAGTGGTGACATGGACTGCCGGGCGAGGGATGAAAATATCCGGAGGCATGGCTTTCGAGGATGAATGTGGTGGGCTTGATTCTTGGCTCTGCGGCATGATGACTCGTCCCAGGTTGAGAACTTCATGTTGTTCATCCAGTGATGTGAGTTAGAAGAGCGTGATACCTAGGGAAGATGCCCATGCCGGTGCCTCATCTGGGCCGCCACATTCACTTGAGGAAGCCCGCACTTGGTCAAGTCGAGGGGGGCGGTGCCATTGTCTCCGTCTGGGGAAGTGAAAGGTCGGTTTCTGACCTGGGGAAAGTGGACGCAATCAATATCGCGCTAATCCAGCTTTCCCCGCGTTTCTCCTTGCTGGATACCTTTAGATTGAGCACGGTGGCGCGAGCTTTTTGGGGGGGGGGGGGAACATTGCCGGGTGGAACGACGCAGCTCGAGGTTGGTTGTGGAAGAGAGAGCCCTCTTCCTTGGCGAAGGCAGGCAGGTCGTGTGTAATTTAGCTCGGCACTTGAGGGAGGGGAAAGCTTCGTTCCAGCGCAGCGCACTAGAATACTTGGATTAAGGCTAGAATGTTGCTTAAGTTGTTCTTCGATGGCTGGCCCGAATGGTTCTGAACGAAGCCTTGCCTACGGCGCTTCTACAGCGCTTCTACAGCGGCTAGTGGGAAACGCTGCGTTGGACACACAAGCACTATCACGATGGAAGCGGGCGTAGAAGCTCGCTAGGAAGCTCGTACCACGTAGTACACCTTTAAGATGACGGGGAGATGTATCTATTCAGCATAGTTCGGGCGAAGGGTGTCTAGCCTATGTCTGGAAAACGTTGGAATAACTGGATCCGCAGTGGCAGTCCATCAATGTCAGGAACTCACATCCGCTATCCTCAATGACACACCAATAGACCATCGGTGGCATCCATGTAGGATTTCGCACGGTAATGGCCGACACGGATGCAGAGATGCGGGATCGCAGGTGACCATCCACAAATGGCGGCCTGACTTGTCCATCCTTGCAAACCATCTCTGGCGTCGAACAATCAAGGAGGCATTCGTCGCAACTGTGAGGTCTCAGCCCCATCAGAGTGGGGGCCTCGCGGTAAAATGCTAGAGACAGGATGAACGTCGTGGGGAAAAGTCTCATTTGGAGCTTCAAGGGGATAGTACCGGTGGCACGTCCCCGGGAATGCCCAACACGAGGTTGATAGTTGACAAGCGATGCGGCCATGATTCCCCGGATCTCGAGCCCGATAGCGACCCTCACCGGGCCCTCTAATCCAAAGTCGAAGTCAAGACAGACTAGGACAGCTGTTCGAGTCGTTCCAGTCGTTCTTCCAGGGCATCGAGATACATGTTTCCAGGGCTGCTAGCCTGATTTGCTCCTTGACCGGCGCGGCGTAAGTTTGATTTGTCGGTGACCATGAGGCATATTCTTCTGGGCGCCGTGATTGTCCACCCAGCCCACCCAACAACGCTGGATTGGATTATCTCTCGACATGGCTGTCTGGGCGGGAGAGGAAAAAAGACCATACACTAGCCAAGAATGCCCAGAGCTAGGAGGCGTAGCTGGGCATGCAGACGCTTGCTCTCGGTTTCTTGGCGAGAGGGGAAAAAATCGACATGGACATGGGAGCAGTTGCACACGTTGAAAATGAAGTCTCGCGAAGGTGCACGAAAGTCAGTCAAGCACAGAGTGCCAGAATACTTTACCAGGGGAAGAGGGAAACTGAGGGAAATGGTTGAGGTCATGCAGGACGGACCGATCAAATGAACCGGATCGTCTCCGTCCACCCAAACGTGGTACCCTGAACTCTGGAACAAGAGGTCACCACTTCCCCGTTCCTCCCCAGACTTCGTTTTTGATATGATGCAGAGCGTCCGGCTTGCTTGCGATTTGTAGGTCAAAAGGGACTGACTCATTGGAATCAAGGAATGACACTGTCGACTCTCCGGCCCCTCGTCTCCCCCAACCTTACCCCATACCCAATCTTTCCCCTCTTTCTTCCCCCAAAGTTCACGCCAGATGGGGCCGCCAAGGTGGTACTATCCACAGAGGTTGGAAGCATTGGTCACGCCGGAGTGAACGCCGTTGGTGGCTGCGGGTGGAATACCGGTCCAAGAAACGGCTTGGCTGCAGCGCGCCACCGCAATGCAATGGGGTCTTGGTGTATGTCGGCCAATACCATAGACCTGAATCTTTGATGCTCATCTCTCACGTCCCCGTGGGGAAGTTGCATGGCTTCTTACTCTTGGGGTGCTGTGGGCAAGAATCACTCAGGACCAGCTCCCAAGCGGGGGTGGGAGCGTTTGATGCGATTATTGATACTGACATACGGACTGAACAATCTAGGCCCCGAAAGTACATTTTCTTTCGACTGTCTTCCGGCCGCAATATTTTCGATCGCTACTTGTGGCCCAGGTTCGCCCCTTCAAGTGTGTGCTCTGTTGAACGGCGGCCAAGTGTGTCGGAGTAAGACTTGTCAAAGCCACCTTAGCACATCGCCGCCGGTCCCAGCCTACACGGTACATGCTCAATGTATATGGACTATGAGGTCTGGGATATAAGGTATGGGTAAGCTAGCAAGATTCAAATGATCCCCCCCGCAATGCGCAACATGTCCGGATCTGTTACGCTGCAGCCTTTCACATTGCCTCGCTCAAGTTGGTTCGCGTTTTTCCGAACCAGCAACGGCTGCGGGAACAGCATGCGAAGAAGGTCTCACGATTGGCCCCTCATCCAAGACCTCTGCTTCGGGACTGTATAGCGGAGACTGTGGAACAGGCCATGGAAGTCAAGACGTGTGTATTTAACCCATGGAATTGGTCCGGTTCATTGCTTCTTCTAGCTCAATCTTCGAGACGAGTGTGTGTCCGGACCTGCAGCATTGCTTGATTGATAAGTGTTCTACATTCTAGCCCTCATTTCCAGCTGAAGTGGCTAGCTAGACGATGCTTTTTCCAATGAAATGGTATTCACCCCGGCGCTAGGCTGAGAGGCCGCGATGGCAAAGGTATCCGCATGGTTCTACAAGCCCGCCAAGTCAGTTGGCATCGGCCAAGAGTCTGCTAGCTAGGGTTTCGAACCTTGTGAGCGCCTCAAGTCTGGTCTCTTCCGACTTCTCCCCTTCAAGAGGCTTATCATGAGCTCCTCTACGCCGGAGTGTACATGTCAATTTACAAAGAAACTTTGACTTCCGTTTGGCGACCTCAGGGAAGAGGATAGATTGACCTGTCCGGATCACAGCAATGGCATCTGACTCTCCTTTGACTCTGAATCAAGAGAATTTGTTGCGGAAGGGACTTTTGCTCTCGTCAATCTCCATAGTCATGCCAGTGTGACCGTCACAAATACTCAAGCGGCAATTACTTCTAGAAGTCGCGCAATCAAGTATTGGACTAGGTAGGTACATTCTGGTCCGACGTTCAAGGAATCACACCATGTTTGACATGCGGCGCAGCACCGCATGCTCGAGCAAACTAAATTTGCAAAATTATGAGAATTCCTCCCACAATGTGTGAAGACTAAGCCTGGTAACGAGATACTGCCCACAGATCTTTTGACAATAGCAAACGTGGCCAGGTCAGATCAACTTCACCACACAGTCTCGGCCATTCTCAACCACGTAATCCTCCATCCCATCTTCATCGCTGGCTAATATCAATATTCCGATCCTTTCGTACGTCCCATAATTGGGCCCCTTTGAAGAGTCATCGTTCTTTACCTTGCCTTTGCTACTTGGACAGCTATCTGCATGAGTGCCTTCACCATCAGCCACCTTTCGGAGGACGAGGGAAAAGACTTTGGTTGGCATCTTCTTATAGCCTGTACCGTTCTTGTTTCGAAGTTCCGGCTCTCTGCACAGGTGTAAGAGATAAATAGTGCTGCCGAGCGGCACACAGTCTTTCCCTGGCGCCCGGAAATCGTAGTCAGGGGCTATTTCGAACATCGTGCTACCATGGAAAGCGTAATATGTTCGGTGAAGACCGTTACTTTCCTCCTCTTCATCACACTCTAAGCGCGCTGTAATCATCGGGCCGAACAGAGCTATGTGACCCGAGATGACCTCGATCGTGGGATCTGCTCCCGCAGACTCCGTTGAAGCTTCAATGACCACAGTTCTTTGCCCCTTCAAGTCGGGTTCTTCAAGGAACTTGGACGCCAGGATCGTACGCAGGTTGGAGTAGTTGATTTGTGAAGTCACAGATGCCCACGACCACGTTGGTGCTGTCCATTTGTCTGGTCGATGCAAAACGCTTTGAGTAGCCTGCCAGGCGAGATCGTCGAGTAGGCTGTCTTCCCAGATCCCGGCTAAGTACTTGTCCTTTCTGAACCTCTGCATATTCTTCACTACACCTGCAATGGCCGGGAGGATGTCGTTCTGATAAGTGAGCCTCGTCTTTTTGTAGTTCTCTACCGTGCTGCGCCAATCTGGGTACAGCTCTTCGGCCTCAGTAGCAGATGATAGGTTTCGTGCGTGAGCACCTTTGGTATGCGCCCATCTCGGTTCGGTCTCCTATGTCGTAGTCTCTCCCATGCACTCGCAGGCGCAGACCTCGTTGCATTCCCACGCCATCTCTACGTCACCCAGGTGTAGTATTCGGGGAGACAGGAGACGCTCCTGGAACACCCAGCCACGGTTCAGCAAAGGGAAGTCGCCCGGGCTGTAGTTTGGTTCCCCAGATGCGTCGGACGAGAAGAAGTGCGGAACGGTCTGTCGCACATTTGTAAACCGTCTCTTCCCTTCGCCGTCGCAATGCTCTACTCTCTTTGCCATGTACTTGCCTGGGCTTTGCGTGAAGTAGCTCTGGTGGGGGCTTGAGGACTTCGTCCCTGAGATGGTGACGTGAGCACCTTGGAAGACAGATGCCATGCGAGCTGCCTCTGCCCTCCAATCGTCCTTGTCGTCCTGAATGATACAAAGCGAGTCAATCCAGATGTAGCGGATTCCAAGCTTGCGCGTGAGTCCGATTGCATCTCGATACCCTTGGGGTAAGGATGACCAAGTAATGCGATGTGTGTATGAGTGATATCGATCTTTTGTCAAGCGGATATCTATGGTGCCCCCCAGCAGTAGCTCAAACAGACATATCTGTCGCAAGTACCTCGAGTCTCGTGAAGTCGGATATCACCATCGGATGTCTCTTGCGAACCCTCGCTCTCAGTAAGACCATCGAAAGGCCCTAAGTCTAGAACGCGGGTTGGCATTCGACCGTCGTCGTCTGCCGCCCTGCATAATGAGTGCTCCGAAATGCAGTGCTCTAGACGCGCTCGGAACCATCGAAAAGCTTCGTCTGAGGACGTGTCTCCGGATATGTGGTAAGCGATGCCGATGGAGTCCCACGATGCCGGTTCCTCTGTTGTACTGGCATTAGAACGGCCTTGCAGATTCCACTCTAGACACTTGACTCACCTTTGGTACCGAAGAAGTTGAGTTCGGCAACAACATCCTCTCGCAACTCCGTCGAGGGGACAAAGACATTGCTGATATCTAGATGGCTGCTCCTGACAACAATGACGCCGTAAGCACCGGGGACTGTTGCTGATCTCCTTTTCGTTCTGATAAACTGGCGTCCAGCACATCCTGAGTTCCAACTCTCCATCACAGAGATCTTGGAGCTACTAGCAATCTGCCTTGGTAGGCATGCTCGCACGCCAGCTTTGATGATACTGCAAGACGGACACCCAGCCACAGCACCCTTTTCAATATTCATGATTGGAGAGAAGAACCCTTCGTTCATACCTCCACATGTCATGCAATTTCCAGTCTGGGGGTCACGGTATATTTCAGCCTTCCGTATCCCAACCTTGGCGAAAAACGTGTCACATTTTTTCGCCAAGTTCAAGGCGACAGAACCAGCTCGGATGAATGGGTTATTCAATCTCCCGTCGAATAAATCATCGTCTGAATCCGAGTCGCTTTCAGACTCGGCCTGTTCCTGATATTGTAGCCAGTCGTTCTCCTCCCGGCTGACGTTATCGTTTTCGGTGTCAACTTGTAGAGTCAGTCCCATGTTGAGTCGATTCTGTCTCCAGGTTCATGAGACAATAGAACGAAGCCGGGGTGCTCAAGCTACGACAACTCTTCAGGTCGGCTTATATGGACGACATGAAGCATTTGAATAGAGGCAACCGGGAGCCCGAGGCTTTCTTGTCAACTCCCCCGAATCCGAACTTCGTGGGACACAGCGCCAAGAAATCAGGCGCGCGCTTCGCCCCTGGAGTGGTGGTGGCTGAGCGCAAAATGGAAGAGCTGGGATGGCGATCACTCATAGTGTCGGTCGGTTCATGGGCCTCAACTTCAGCTGGAAGGACTTGGGCGAATCAGCAACAGGCACCTTTCACGGACAACTAGCGATTCTCAACACAGACACGCAGTCTGGAATTACTCTGGCCTGCACTGGGCATTGTGTATCATGCTCTTTCCGACAGGCACTCTCGAGTTAGTCTTTGCTATCAATATGATCTACATTGACACCACAAGTGATGAACCCAGCCCCTGCGAGGAATTAGGCGCCTCGTCCGAGGCGCGTTCAGCGCGAAGCGCTCAAGATTGTGGTTTTCCTACATCTGGGATCAGGTTTGCCATGTCTCAGCAGCAAAGAAAACAGGAACTTCAGCAAATCATGTTTACATGTACATGTTTCTCCTATCCACATCACACATCAGCACAAGTCTTGTCTGGCTACATTCTTGGATTGGTCATGAATTTTCGTTGACAGTTGCTCAAAACAGGGAATCTAGCTTCAGCCTCAACACCGCGAGGGGCAGACTTTGAAGGCTCAGCCACATGGTGTTATCCATTGGAAAAGGTAAGGTGAACCGGATTGTCAAGCAACATAGATAGACTCCAAGTCGTAGAAAGTCTCATCAAAGGCTTGACGGACTTTGGCGAGTGGCATCATGCTATTCCCTTCAACCAGCAACCAGCAACCGACCATAAGCGGCTCGTGGAATTGAAAGGTCGGTATCCCGTTGACCCGGCCCTACTGTCCGCCGACCGTTGGACTCGAGGTGCTAGATCGATCACCCGCGTTTCTTTTCGGGGCTATTACCCACTTCGCGCTCCACATGTATCCGCATGCATGCGGGCTTGTTGGACATCGGGCGGAGGCCCGCGTGGCAGGTCTGACGGAGTACTTGAGTAGATACTGGCGCCCGTTGTAACTTGCGATTTCTGTCGTGAAGATGCGTTAGCATGAACTCACGCGCGGCGAGAAGGAATCCAACTCGGATTGTCGCGTCTGATTGTCTCATCATCCCATGGGGCATGGTACCCGTAGCGAGAGTTCGATCCGGCAGTCTCAAGTTGCGACTTGGAATGCAGCGAAATGGTACTTAAATCAGGTTCGGACGTACCAGTGATGCCCGGACAACACGTGCTGTCCAATATCACGCTCACTCGGTACTATACCAGACGCTATTTTAATATGCAAAAAAACTCAGGCATGGTTGCAGCAATGGTCGATGGACGAGTCAGGGTCACCATCTCAGTTTACCTATCTGGCTAGCAGCGCAACCTTGTGCTTCCTCTGTCGGTCCACGCGATAGGCTTTGACCAGGGGTTCGTTTCGGGGAGATGGGGAATCCGTCCCAAAGGAGACCCCTCGTCGGGAGCGAGTCATCTTCCCACGCAATAAGACAGCATGACTGTATAGATTTCGGCGTCGGATGGCGAGCTGGAAAAGAAACCATCAACAAAGCCTCCCCACACGGGGCTGAGATTCCCAGCATCTGCAGCTTTTGGCGGTGGGCGAGGGGGGGGGATGCATGGATTTGTGAGACGGGCAGACGGTTGGGTGCGCGTCAAAAACGTGGCATCCCCTCGTCTGAGCTTGAGGAATCTCAGGAGACCATAGAAGCTCGGCCCCCTACAACTCAGTTTCTTGCGAAATCGCCATGTACGGATCACGTCGCAGCGCAAGTGATAGTCGTGATGGTATTCCAACTCCCGGCCGCTGTCGATGCCGAAGCTGTCGCGGTAATATGCTACTCCTTCATTTGCTTCTTCTCTAATATACTACTGGTATGGCTCCTTTGGACGCATAATGACCGGACAAGCTGTATGTTGCCGATCCTCTTTCCTCCATCATCTCACGGCCAACCAACGGACTCCCGTCTTACACATTCTTCTTAGACATTGCCTGCATCTCCTACGCTACTCTCATCATCACGACGACAAGTATTTGCCAACAATTCTACGACTACGCCTATTGGCGAGACATATTGACGGAACAATTTTACTATGCGAGACAAAACGCCGACAATGCCGAGGTTCAATTTTACAAGGGATCCCAGGGCATCAAGCTCGTGCTCAGCTACGTTCGTGCGTGCATCCTCTCTTGTCGGGGCTTGCCTCATATCAACGTGGATGACGGGTGGCGCTGACTGACCGGAACGACAGGCATCTTTGGGTTCACCATTGCATCGACGTTTGTCTTCTTCTTGTAGGCCCGATATCAAGAGTCCCCTAACGAGAGGCATCGCGTTTCTAACATGAACAAAGTGCCTTATCCCTGGCCGCTAGCGTCTACGGCTGGTTCGCGACAACACCGAGGACAACTCACACTATTTCCATTGTGGGAAGAGTCCTGCCCATCATCCTCACTACTATCACCGTCGGGCTGATGCATTCCCCGCCAGCCCAGAATTCGTTCCTGGTGTACATGTTTGTTGCCAATACACAATTCGTCCTCAGCCTCTTTGGGAGTGCTGTGCTGCTTCTCATGATCCTCTTGAAATACGTCCACTCGCGACGGAACCTCACCAGTTGGAACGTGCTATACGGGAACGCGGACATTGACTCTTCGCTTCCTAGCAGCAAGGCACGGTCCGTCTGGCTGGGAAGTGGTTCAAGCCGAGGCGGGCGAAGTCGAGCGTACAGCGGTGCCGGCACCAACAGCACATATGACAGTTGGTTGGTGATTCGACTGTCGATCGCCTTCGCGGTGCTTTGGTCAGTCACGCCACATCTGACCGGACAATTGGGTACCCGGATGTTAAACCTTGCGCCAGGACGAATGCTAACTGTTGTACATATACATGCAGTGTGTTCGAGTACACAAATGTGATACCTCACATCGCCGCCGCAAGCCACACCATCGACACCGCCGACAACCTGGAGCCCGACCTCAGCGTGAAGCGGGCACGATCCAGTATCAGGGGTTACGTGACCGGCGTGACACCGAGCCTGGTCGCCTTTCTCGTCTTTGGGACGACCAAGACGTTTCAACGCAAGATCCACGACACCTTTATGCCAAAGGGACTTTTGCCGAGGAATAGACACAAACAAAACCTGTCCCTCTCTTTGGGAGACTCGGCCGCCGCGTCTCCACCCCATCCACCAGCTCGACGCCCGCAGCAAGTAGACGAGTTCTCCCTGGCCGACATGAGCCCAAAGTCTCTTCAGAGCGGCAACTACGGCCCCCGATTTCCCACTGGTGGCAACCTTAGCCCGAGGCTACCGTACGGAAATCATGCAAGCACAAGCCCTGAATCGAGTCTCAACACGCCGAGGGGTATGCCCCCGCCTAGGGCTCACGTCAACCCGGCTGGACAGTTTGTGAGCCAGGGGGTCGGCGCTCCCCATCCGCGGACGCCCAGCATTAGTTCCAATCCGAGTCTGCAGTCAAAGTTTTCAGTGTATGGCCGGCCTGAAGCACGGGTCAAGGCTCTTCCTCGGATACCATACGACTAGAGGCCGGTTGGAGGACTGGAGGGGTCTCAGGCATTCTCGAGGTTTTTTTTTGTTTTTTTTTTTTGTTTTTTTGGCTAGTGCGACGGAGTTACAGGCATCGGGAGGGGGACATCATCATACAGATACCAGACAAAACTTTGACGGCTGTATTTTAGTAGCAGAGTAATACAATTTTCCCACTTCATGACCTGATTGTGGATTTCTCCGATCACGGAGTCCGCAAGGTTCGTATGAATCATACAATGCCCGACCTAGTCTAGAGGATCATCGGGCCGGTATGGAGCCAAAGAGTCAATGGTGATACGAGGAAAGCTAGGACGAGTGGAAGGCTGTGGAGAGATTCCTAGCCTCTCGGAGTGAAAACCCTTTTGGGTTTCATATGGACTCATGTATCTCGGTGAAAGTGACTCGAAGTCTGTGAGACGAAGGGATTGCCCTTTGTACAGGTACTTCCATCATGTCTTGTGCTGCATTTCGGTTTACCTAGGATACAATTGCGCCAACTTTGCATTCTCATGGGGTAGGATGCGGCGTGAGATGGCACGAACATGAACTTTTCCCACAGAGGGCCAAGCCTGATGTGAACAGTACTAACTAAATCAGAATCCCAAGTAACTAGTTACGGAGTTCTTGCTGCCGCTGTATTTATCGTCCCCTCCCTGATCGCTGCCGTCTTCCGATGACCAGTGACGCCAACAAACTCATGGAACCGAGTCCAGATTACATGTACGGTTCCGTGTCAGAATCTGACAGTTCTGTGCCAGACTCTGATAGATCCCATAGTTCCAACTCATCCACAACTACCGCCATGTCCAATTCGTCGTTGTCTGCCCTAGAGAGGGGGCAGCACGGTCTCCAGGCTCGTCTCAGATAACATCTGCACCCAGCGCGGGGAGGGTGCATCGGGCTGAAAGTTCTGGCACACACGGTCGAACCAGGCTTCTCTCCAGTTGGCAATGGTCAGGAACTGATTCGTTCGGATGATTTGTTCAATGTCGCACAGTCCGCTCCAGCTCCCGTCCATGTGAAAGTTGCACTTCCCGACAGACGTGCCAGCAACGATGTCTTTCATGACTTGAGGAAAGCCCTCGAGGATGTACCACTTGTTATCCTCGTCGGCCCAGAGTGCAGGAACCCTAGTATCTCTCTGTCTGACGTCCCAGGCCAATGCTGGGAGTATCTTGCGCTCCATACATGAGTCGATGGCCATTTGCCAAGCAGCATCTCGTTGAATCACCGTATGGAAAATGTCGGCGCATGTAGAGTCTCCTTCGAACGTCAAAGTAAAGGAGCCGCGCGGCATGCCCGCGTCTGCTAGTTCCACGGCTTCCGCGATCTAGATAGCGGCACGATAGGATATCTGGTCAGCAGATAGAGGATCATCATCCCATGGAGGCATGACGGCGTCTTGGTGGCCAGAAACAGTAGTCGTCTGGAAGACTGTCCGCCACATATCAACGCGCCGGTCCACGAGAAGCAGGGGGGTTTTCCTGGCAGTATGGGATGAATGCCACGCCGTGGCACTCTGCAAAGCCTAACAGCCTTCCAATCTTTGTTCAAAACGATCCGCCGAATGTTCATCCTGGCATCATGCGACAACGACTCAAGGAAGCGAATGGCGACGGCGGCAGCCGAGTAGCGATACTTGATTTGACTTGGTTGCCTTCCTGGCTTGCTAAAGCTCCATTCGAATTCGACATGTGACTTGAGCCCGCTGTCCGTAGATATGGCAGCATCCAGCCACTCTCGAGTCGGAACCGCCCATGGGTTGGGGTTGAAATCGACCAGGCTCTCGAGGGCGGCGTAGGGCTGGGAGCCCGCGCAGTATCTTTCATAATGACGCAACTGCTCAGGGTCGAGCCCTGTGTTTGTGGGACAGAATTATTTGCACAGCGGAGCGGAGGAAATCGCGAAAGACAGACGGCGTTTCGCCGCAGCACCCATCCGGGCCGGAGTGAGTATCCGTTCTGTATTCCGGAAGGCGCTCTTCTGGTCTGTTTCTGAGACGGGTCACATATGGGGCGAACTTGGGATGGGTTTCCAACAGCTCCGTCCAGACGACATCTAGAAGGATCATATTGTCTGGACAAATGATATCCAGCTTGTGGCCTAACCGCAAGTGGAGATTCTCCACCATCAGGTTTGAAACGGCCGGCGGTGGCGCGATGCTCCTCTGAGTAGACGGTTGAAAGGGTTGAGCGTATTCGATGCCAGAGCCAAACCCTTAAGATCACTTGCCGCCTTTTTACAAGTATGAGTAAAGGTCAGATCAAGGGGCTCGTTTATGGCGCCTCGGAGTGTGTTGCTGTCGAAGTCGTAGGTATGGCCGCCCTCGACGGTGACGTAATGGTCGTATATGAGGTCGCGGGAAGTCGAAGATGTGAACCATTGCGAGCGAGAATGGGGGTTTGGCGATTGGAAAAGCGAACGTCGATCGTGTGATTGCAATGGGAGAAGGAAGAGACGGTTGTTGCAAGTGGGTGAGCCTGTTGCGCTGGGATAGGCTGTGATGACCCAGTGAGAGCGCAGAGCTTCTAATGGGATGGGAGGCACGCGACTCTCGATGAGATGAAGGGAAGAAGATTGAGATTGAAAGCTGCCTCTTCTTGATGGCATTATGTACTCATCTGTGTGGCACTAGTGCTCGCAACTGTCAGCGACAGCGCAGAGTTTGCTGCCGCGAGGACACAAAACTCTAAACAAGCCACGTTGCGATAATGGGTTCAGTCAGGCCGTCAGGGTATATGTGTAGTTGGTATCATCAAGGTGCAATGGTCGTGTGTTGCCACAAGGTGGGCATCGAGATGTGGAACGGAGGTTGATGTCGGTGAAAGGGGGATCGCGGCTGCGCGAGGAAGTACGTCGTTGCGTGCGTCTAGATGATTATATAACCAGAATCACGTGATGAGTGAAGAGTAGATTTGGCACAGAGTTCGCAGCAAAAATATGGGAATCTACAACACAGTCAACGCCGAGTCGGCCGGTAGAATTCCTACATCACAAATGAGAGCATCGAGGGGAGGGTGGGGAGGGTTTTTTTTTATAGGTTTTTTGAGCCCTGCTAGAGGCTACTTTATTGGTTCTTTTAATTATTCTAGGCACATAAGTGCGTAAAAAAGCTCACCCTTTGCAAATTTCTCTGTACCTGATTACCCTTTAGTGGTGTATACTAGCATATACGTATCTCTGTGGTTTAATCCAGTAACAGGACCCTTTAACCCGCGCAGAGCTTTTGCTGGAAAAGGCACCCCTCTGGGCCCTCTGGGCTGACGAACCGGATTAGCATTCAAAGGTCATGGGCGCGTACGTAGGTATGCGAAGTCGGAAAAGGCGAGACAACGTACCTGTCCAGCCGCACCACCAGCCATATCTTCAGTGGCAGAACCTTACTCACGGCGTGACTGACGTGCCGAAGATGTCCTCACTAGCGGGGTGGAAAGCAACAAAAGTTTAGCCCGGGCACACTAATTAGTGGACAGGACGTGCGTCGCAAAGGGCAGTTTGGACCCTTACTCACGACGTGACCGCAAATGTCCTGACGTACCAACATACCTTACAGTACCTTGATGCTTTTTGAGGCGGGCATAAGAGATTTGTCTGCTGGGGAGGTACCGGCGGTCAGCATGACGGTCATACAGCGAGGTTCGGGGTTGAGCGCAAGGCTTACTGAGCTGTCGAACCGCGGGCAGATCTCTTCCTCTTCAACATCCTCTCACATCCACGACACCTCTGCTTCCACTCGCGATGGGTCAGCCACGCCTACGCCAACACCATAGACAACGAGGACGACGGTAATGCCATGAGGTTAACGACAAAAAAGATGACGACAATGGCAACGAGGAAGAAAACAATAGCATAGTAGAGCTTTTGGGGGCAGCCGTGACGGCGCCAAAGCGCCTGGTGTGCGTGCGTGTGTAGGTGTGTGTGTATGAGGGAGGAAAGATTTCGGCCAAGAGGGCGTTGTGCTCAGCTCACTCGGCAGGAATCTGAGGCTGAAGATGTGCGCTCAGAGCAAACCTTGCCCTGGGTAACCAAGGAAAGGTTCTCCCGGTGCAAGATGTTGGACGATGGAGATGGTCTTGACGCAACGTGATGAAAGCAAGAAAAGAAGAGGCAAAGGTTACAAGTACGTGACCCTGTATGGCTGTTAGTAAAGTGGTCCGCCATGAGAAGACGGCTACGCCTCTGCCAGCAATCGCTCAGTGCAAATCTCTATAATGACCAGTGGCCTTTAGGGAAAAAGGATGTCTATTTTCTATATATTTTGAGTATCAAGGAACATGGTTATCCAAGAGATGAAGCCCGCGTATGAAGAGCTCCGGTTCCCCCATGTGCCTATGCCTGCGTTGGCTTACCGGGCGGCCTTTGTGAACGTCGAGGGAGGCCTACAAGGTTGGTGGACGTTGCAATCGCGGGCGCGTCGTCTTTGTCATCTTTAGGTACCCGTAGATGGCGCTCAGGCGCACTGTTAGCGGGCGTTTAGGCAGCGGCGGGTAATTGTAGGGGCAGCTCTGACGGGCGGGGCCGAACCGCTGGGTCCCCTAAAGACCCCTGAAGGCAACGCTTAAGCACCCGCTGTTCAAGGTCCCGTCAACTTTTTAGGCCAAAACTCTGTGCGAGTATCGCCGACGTGTCCTCGGGACCCGATCAACTGTACGCACAACCCGTCTGCACCAAGCCACGTCCGACTCGATCAAGCCACCACGTATGCAACCAAAGTTTTGACCCTGTAACTGTGGCAATTGCTTGAAAATTTGGGCCAAGTTTGGCGTCTTCCAGGTTTCGGGATCCTTGGCTCGAAAAACAGGTACATTGAATTACCTAAGCACCTTGTATGTATGTGTTGGTGGCGTTGCCTCGACAAAGATCCCGAGGCACATCTCCATAACATGATGCTAAGAGAGTACAGGTGCAAAGATGTGTTTCATATAATTGTCTAAACCCTGATATCCAGGACTGTTTGATTCTGGTTCAGAGAATGGTAATGGCATCTCTACACCATCATTTGACCAATGTAGTCTTCAGATCAGCCTCCAAAACCCCAGGCTTAGACGCAGATGACTATGTGTTGATAGACTATGGCCTCCACCGGCCGTACCTTAGTCGCAGTCGTCGCAGAACGCGAGGCAGGCAAACTGGCAACTGGCCCGCTGAAGAGACTCCTGTCTGCCCGGTCCGTTGTAGGCTACACTTTCGTCAGTATATAGATCTATATATTGGACATGTCAAGTTCCTCCGAGCTACACTCACTGTCGTGGCACTCGACAACGCAGTCGTTGCAAGTCCCCTGGAACGGCGCTCCCGTGCATGCCGCGAGGACCGAGGGGGCCACCGTGGCCGTGATGAGGAAAAAGGTCTTGAAGAGCATTGTGGGTAATGTAGTTGACCGGGTAACTATTTGGATGATAATTACACAGAAGATTTTGTTGAGTTTGTTGAGTCTGTTGCTGTTGCTGTTGTTATAATGAGAGTCTGCCGGGAACTAAGCCTCATATTTATACTCGCTCTGCCCGACGATCTCCTTGCTTTGAGTATTCCATGCCTTGAGACTTCAGAAGCTCAGGCATCACAATCAGCCCATAATCTCTACGTCTGGCCAAATATCCCTCAACTCCAAGCCAAAGGATCACGCATGTCCTCTTGGCAGACACCATAGCGCTCACGAAACCGAAATTCCTCTTGGCATAAAAACACAAAATCATCCCATCCCACTGCAAATCTCTTCCCCATTCACGTCGCCTATAATCCTAACCCACTTCCTCAGCCTCGCGATGGCGACGCATCACAACTTGATCATCGAGATAAGATTGCTATCCCGGGAATCCTCAACTCGGGACCACCGGTAGGTCATGTCCCAGACACCCAATGAGCCGACTTCATCAAAGCCCCATCTGTCAAAGTGAGGAACTCTGCCGCCCTAGTTGCGGGCGTGTGGGCGGTCTTGGCGGTCGGCCGACCGTTGATCTTTTGTTTTCTACCCACTCTATTACCCCGCAAGCTAGACAAAAGATCAATCCTTCGACTTCAGCAACTCAAAACTAACGCCAAGAAGGACCACGGCCAAAGTCCCTATCTTCCCTCAACTATCCGTAGATGGTGTCACGAAAGAAGTATAGCAGTGGATATCTCAGGGGTAGAGATAAGGGGTGGACAGGGGTATGGGCATACAAAAGGGGCTCCCTCGAGGGCTTCCCTTTTCCCCTTTCCATAGTTGATTAGACCACAGTTGAGATCCCGATTTCCATGAGCTACTCTATATGCTGATTTGTGACAGATGGTCTGCGTTTGGAAGTTGAGTGACTCCACTTGTTGGATGACAACATTGATTTACAAGTCTCAGTTTGTTGACCGTTCTACCAAGCGCTAAACAATGAGACACAACTTAAAGGTTTAGAAGTCATGGTCAGCATGAGATCAACCATAGGCCTTTGTAGTGACCACGCGGGTTGTCCATCTCTTCACAATTCCGTTTCGCATAGGTAGACAGTTTGCAGAACGAATTGCAAACGTCAAGTGCTGTGATTCATCTTGCATCTGTCACTCCTCTTCCTCTTTCATCAACAGCTAAACGATCATAATCAAACCTCCCCCGTCTTTGTTGTCAGCCTCCCATCGTCATAAGTCACCAACCACGCCCCAGCAATCTCATGCTCAGGCAACTTAATCTCCGGATTGCGCCTATTAATCCCCTTTGCAAACAGCACCCTCGCATACACCGGATCAAACACAAACACCGTCCCCCCCGTCGCTCTGTTCCTGACCTCCGCCGTGGCTTCGATCTCATCAATGGAGATAAACTCCTCCGGCTCGCCAGCCGTGGTCGCCCTCTTGATTTGCGCTTTGATGTGCTTCGCGACGTCGGGGTCGAAGCGGGTATCGATAAAGTATAAGCTGTTCTTGCCCGCCGCTGCGACGTAGGGTGTATCCGGCGCCACGATCTGTTGACCGTGCCAGGCTTCGATGAAGTTCGGTCTGTAGATGCCGCGGTATTCCTCTTGGAAGGTCGGGGGCCCTTCACAAGGTCGGACAGGGCTGAGACGCATGGCGATGAAGGGTGCGCAGAGCATGTGTAGTTGGTAATAAGTATGGAGTTGTTCATGACGTTTTGGAGCCGGATCTTGAACGGTTTTCGAGAACGCGCGATATTCTGTAGTTACGATCAGGCTACCTGCTGACAACCTTACATAAGATACATCACGTCGTTATGCGGCAAGGTCAGAAAATATGCCGAATACGAAAAGTCGTTTCCTTTCAGCCAACAAACTAACAACCAACACACATCTTCGGATCAAGCGGCGCAGCTAGTACCTTTACAGGAACCTCCTTCCATCTTAGACTACTCGCTCTAGAAGTTGCAGTCTCACTTCAGAGAGCCTTTGAGAGCTTTGGAGTCGTTCGCAGAAGTAAAAGAGCAGTAGGCTTCAAATGGCATGTAAGGAGCAGAAAAACAAAGAGCAGCCTTTCTTTCACACCTAGTGAATGCGATGTAGCCAACGTTGGGTTCTTTACCTCGTGAAAAAGCAATTATACGTAAATCAAAACACCTGTAGTTGAGGCAAGCCTGAAGATCTCGGATACGCCCGTCTGGGTCGTGGCGCAGGCGAACCAGGGCATGTGGAGCGGGACATCATTCCCTTTTTGCCGGTGCGAGGGTATGGCGATTGCGCCGTAAAGCGTGCTGAACCAGGGCCGGTTCCAAAAGGCGGAGGGATTCAAGGCCCGAGAGGAAAGCAACCCGGGACGCAACTCCATCGCACCTCGGAGCGCGACAAATAGGTCTCGGCGGTGCTGGAGGCGATTGCGGAGGATAAGGGTGTTGGGTTATTGCACGTCGCGCTGACGAGCGCGATACAGAGGACGCCGTATGTGTTTTCCGATTATCGGCGGGAGGAAGATCGAGCATCTGGAAGGGAAGTTCGAGGGGTTGGAGGTGGATAAGGTGCAGGCGGCGTATGAGTTTGATCCAGGGTTCCTTCATACGTTTTTTTAGCGGGACTCTGTTTAATGGCGACACGCCGAGGGCTGCGGAGGGTCTTTAGGATGTGTGGCTTACGAAGGCATCGGGGACGTACGACTGGGTGCCTCCGTTGCAAGCGATTCGGCCGTCGCGGGGGTGAGTCGTGGGGACAAAAGTCGTCGACATTGACATCGTGTTTCCGCCTGTATGGGTGTGCCAGTTGCTAAAATGAGAAAGAAGAATGAATCATCGTCAATCTCCCAAGCTTACCGAGCCGGAGTCAACCTCTCGGACATGTGAGGGAGTCTCCGGCCTGGGCGGCGTATCTCGGCCCGGGTCGAGAGGAGATGGGACGGACCCGACTCGGAGAAGCGGGGCCGATCGGCGGACGAAGGCAGGCCGACCATCGGGTGGAATTCACGAAGTAAACCTGATACGAGCCAAGCTGACCCATCCCAGCCTTGCAGATATCCGGTAACCCAACTCTATCGGACTTCAAGCTCGCAAAAGACTTGCAACCTCTCACTTGGCCGGTTATTCGACTTGCCAAGGACATCTGAACCCCTCTTCGCGCGCGGCCGCTTCCCCAGCCAGCCACAACTACGAGGCAGACCGACGCTGCACAGATCTGCAAAAACCTTCAAAACGCACCTTACAAGTGCCTTGATGTATCCGGCCAGCTTGATGATCCTTGGCAGCGCGAATCGATTCGTAAAAAGTGATTGCTTTGCCGGGAACGATCTCCATCACGACTGCAAGGGGAGCCATCTGCCCACAGTCCGGTCGTCACACGGCATCCCACATCCATCACAGCCCATACGTGCGAAAGACCAAACCATCGTGAGATCTCAAGTCACACCCCGAGTCGCTCTCCTGACCCTTTTCGATGTTGTGATGCTTCCCAAACTAGAAGTGTCATGTCAATCCTCCCTTTGGGCGCAAGTCCAACTGAGACACGAGGCTAACTCGCACCAACCCAAACAGTCCTCAACCCACCTGGCGGGGGAATGTTCATGGAGACAACCTTACCCCGTATCCCACTTTCTGGTGCTCCCGAACCCCCAAAAGTGGCAGGCTGTCATGGCGGGTGGTCGTGACAGTGGCGGTGACTGCGGTGGAGTGGTGTTGTCCCACCGCGGACTGGAATTCGGGATAGATGAAGCACCAAGACAACCCATCTGACCGCATTCCAGACGACAGCCATGTCAATTTCATACATCAACAAACCAACGGCCTGCCGTTTTGCAAAAAAGTCACCAATTCTCTTCTTCTTGCTGCTCATCCTTCTCGTCTCCTAGGTTCTCGCCCATCCCACCGAACACGCGTTTAGACTGTACTCCGTAGACAACAGACATCAATACGCGCGAACCACAACCAAGATACTACTACCCAGAAGCCTCACGATGCGCATCAACAACCTCCTCGCCATCCTCGGCTCAACAGCGCTCGCCGCCGCCGCCTCCGCGCCAGCCGTAACACCCTTCCTCACACAACCAGGAACCCAACCAACAACCCTCGTCCCACAACCATCCTCCTCCGCCGCCCCAGCAGTTCCAGCACCACCAGCATCCTCCCCAGGATCTTCCTCCTCCTCCTCCTCATCAGCAACATCAAACTCTTCCTCCGCAGCATCAGCCTCCCTCTCAACAATAACATCCCGCCCCGCGGCAACCAAAACAATCTCCCTCGCCCCCTCAAAGACAAACATCTACCAAGAGTGCGGCGGCCTCCGCCCGACGCCCAACCCCTGCCCCGCCAGCTTCGAGTGCATCGACGATCCCTTTCGCAAGGGCTGCGGCCTGGCGTGCGATCAGACCGGTATCTGCGTCGTGCCCATCATGTGCGGCGGCATCGCGGCCATCAAGTGTCCCGCCGGCAAGTGGTGCGTCGATGATCCGCGGGATGACTGTCACCCGCTTCAGGGAGGTGCCGACTGTGCTGGGCTTTGTGTTTGAGTCTGGAGGGGGGTGGGGGGGGACGTGGGTGGGTAGAGAGGCGGCGGGGAGGTGAGAGACGGGATACTTAATACTGGGGGGAGTCGAAGTGGCACCTAGATAGGCGTTATTGGGAGAACTGCTCTTTTGAACCAAGTGTTTCCTTTGTCAAATGATCATGTTTGCTTACTATGAGGTAGTGAGTCATATCCACATATCTCATTCATCAATGTCCGTCTCCGGAGGTTCTCATGAAGCAAAGGTTCTCACGGGAAGGCTCGGTGAGTCCGGTGAGGCCCGTGATGCTTTCCCGCAAACTCTCGGTGAAGGGGAGAGGAAGTCGACACCCAGCAGGATAGCAGAGGCAAGCGGGAAACACCGGGTCAGCTGCCATCCCTCCAGGTTGTGAACCATGGAAGCCGCGATGTCTCCCAAGGTGTCTTGCCGTCCCGCGTTGACAGAAGTGCCCTTACCGCACATTCAAGACCATCCATGAACCAAACCTTCCGTCTCGTCAAAGTTCTTTTTGGGGTCATCTCCGTTGCCTCTAGTCGCTGTCCTCTTTATCCTCTTTCCTATGGCCTCTTCCTCTTCAGATTTTCTCTTCTCGATATAAATCATACAATCAACAAGATCCTTCATCACAACAACTACAACGCATCACTACAACCCACTCAAGTCTGACATTACTCACCGCCAAAATGTGCATCAAAACAACTTATCACTACGACTGCGGCCACAGAAGCTCCTCCACGCCGTACTGCGAACGCGCTTTCGACAACTGCTCATACCGAATCACTGCAAGAAGATGCTCAAACCCCACCTTGGCTGAAAAGACAGTCCGCGGTGTCTGTGACGCCATCGAGTGCAAGTACGAGGAATGGGACAGGCGATGGATCTGCCACAAGTGTGACATGGATAACGAGAATTCCATGACGTGTGAGGGTAATGGCTGTGAACATGTCTTCTGCCATGGATGCGATCCTTGTAAGTGTCTCCAGTTCTTGGGAAGAAAAAGACGAGTGCTGACTTTTTATGATAGGGGAATCTTCTTTGGCGTATATACCACACAGAACTCCTGAGGAGATGAGACTGGCGGAGCTTCGAGCTATGGGGCGCTTGCCAGAGGAGCAATCTCAGTCAAGTGTCCAGTCTCAGTCAACCATCCAGACTCAATCAACTGTCCAGTCCGCACCAACCCAACTTACCGAGCCAACTCAGCAGGCCGAGCACTCTGAATACCCTAAGCAAGCTACACCGCCAAAGTTCCACTGTTCGGGTTGCGGCACATGTAAACCAGCCCGGGAGGCATTGAGACAGCGACAATCACAACGCCAACCTCCCAGCGTCCCGGTCTATGAATCCGGGGCGGGAGATTGGGTCCGACAGCCTCAAGGTAGACCCAGGATACAACTGAAGAGGGAAGACACAAGTACCATGGGAGTCGGTGGGAGAAGCGCAAAGCTAGCGCAAATGGTCGAAGAAGGAAATTAGACTAGGCCAGGCAAAAAAGGCCAGCCTTTCTATTCGCGTCTGGGGGGGGGAGGTGGTTTCTCTCAATAGTCTATCGGTCATGGCTCTATAGCGGCAGTAAAATAAACACCAAAAGTGAAAGTAAAAAAAAAAAACATAGCAATCAAGCGACAAGTTTATTTCCCGCCCGAGAAAGACACCACGGCCCATTTGCCGCTCCAAGCCCACTTTCTCGAGCCAGAGTCGCCGCCGCCGCCCTCGGTCGCGAGCAGCTTCTCGTCCTCGCCGGGCTGAAGACCGACGACGACGTCGGCCTTGCAGGTGCGGAGAGCGAGGATGTTGAGGCCGGATCCGGGGCCGAGGTTCTTGAGGGCTTTCGTGAAGGGCGTGGCAGCATCCCAGTTGGCCTAGTTTAGTATTAGTATCATCATCATCAACACAAGTTTCATTACCCAGTACTCACATCACCGGTCAACTTGCGGTAGTTGAGATCGCCCTTGAAAATGACAACCTCGCTGGCCTTGAGGTCCTCGTACAGGTCCTTGGCCTCTTCGGGCAATTGCCAAAAGGGGCCGGGGTGTGTCCAGTAGCGGTTGGGACGGAGGATGAGCTGTCCCTCGGCGTGGAACTGGCTCCACTCCTGGAAGAGGAACGCGAGGCTCTCCGAGTCCGCAGCCGAGAGAGGTTCGGGGGTCTTGCCCTGAAGCTCCTCCTCTTGTGAGGGTGTCTCGTAGAAGCGCTTGGGGCTCGCGATGGCGCTCAATAGCTGGGCAAAGTCGCCCGGGAGCACGTCGGACACGAACCACGGAATGGACTTGGGGTGCAGCACGACGTTGGTGGCCAGGCCGGCGGACAGCAAATATCCGGCGAGAATGAGGTCGACATACAACTCAAATCCGGCGTTGTCGAGCACAATGTCGACGCGGCGCTCAGCCTTGCCCTCGGCCTTGGCCTTCTTCAGGAGCTCGTAGACGGCGGGGAGGTCGTTGACGACAATGTTCTTCTCGGACGCCTTGCGAGCCTCAGAGCCCTGCAGCTTCTGGATGTCCTCGTACGTCAAGCTCGTCAGGAGGGACAGGTCGGTCGCGTTACCCCAGAGGCAGATTTCGCACATTTCGGTGAAGAGAAGCTTCTCGGCGGCCTCGTCCTGGGATGCGCCCTTGTTCTTCTGGAGCTGCTCGACGAGCTCCTTGTACTTTGACGCCAGCTCTACGACGGCGGGGCGGGACGATCTAAACGTGCTCATCTTTTGGCGGGCAAAGACGTCGTAGTTCTTCCAGTGGGTGGACCGGGCAAAGTGCGTGCTGATACGTCTGCTGCTGTGTCAGCTCGTGTCCGCCAAGTGGTGTGAGTAATGCAGCTTACCTGAAGAGGTAGCACTCGGTGTAGAGCCACGGCACGTTCAGCCATGTGGGAGAGCCGAGCTTCTTGAGCTCCTCATTGTAGATGCTCACGTCGGGGTATCCATCGTCCTCGATCGGTCTGGTATGGTCAGCAACAGCAGCGCTGAGAGTATCGATCGAGAGAGCCGTACGTCAATGCCCGGTCGTGCTGAACCTCGTATTTGATATTGACAATATCCTCAATAATCTTCTTGCCCTCGGCTTCCTTCTCGGCGTCCTTGGTCTGGGCGACGGATCGGTAGAGGTCGTCGATGGCTTGGGTCTATGGCGGGGCTGTCAGCAAGGGATCAACTGTCAAGAAGGATACCAAAGGCATACAATGATGACGGGCCAACGCTCACGGGCAGTGACCCAGCCAAACGAGGTCTTGTCGCCAGTCGAGTAGGGAGCTGTCATTTGCACGGTGATTAATTAGCTTGGTGTAAGGTTTGCGGTGACGGTTGGAGGGGCCAATGGCGGGGGGGACCCATACCAGGCATCTTGGATCTGGACGGAGGGATTGGGTATCTAGAGAACCGAGCAGAGGTTGACCTAGAAGAGAAGAAGCAATCGAGAGAGGAAAGCAGCGAGATTATCAGATTATCTCGAGGAATGGTTTGCGACGACGTGTCTCATCTTTTTTGGTGCTAAACGTCGACCGCCGAGTTCTGTGACAAAACGGCAGCAGCTCCCCGCCATGGTGGGGCAGGGGCTGTGTGCACGGGCCATTTTGTACAGGTTAGCGCGGGGCACATCCCCGATACAGAAATATCAAGCGGACTGACATAAGCCCCTTGTTTCGGATAAATGTATTCATCTATCCGCTTCAATCATCTAAAGGCCTTTTTCTTATCTAATCACGGCCAGCAAATATTTGCTTGTCTTGTCTTCTTATCGTCTCTCAACATCATCACCAACGCCTGTTCAACATGTTCGGCCAGGTAGTGCTTTGCTGCCCCTAGGTTACAAGTTAATGGAAGCAAACTCCCGTCCAAACTTCACTCCCAACGTACCACTATGTCAAGGTAGATCTCAAATGAAAGTCCTCCTGCGGAATGGCCAAATACCATCAAATTGAGAGAAACGACAACAGGCACACAGACTTAGCTCCGTTGAGTATAAATACTGCAGCGTTCTTAATGTTTCAGAAGGCACAAAAGCACAAATTTTGAGCATCTACTTTGGTTGCATTGACGTAGTCAGGCACAAGACCCTAGAGGCGGGATGGTTCAAATTTCAGCCATTGACACAAACTCCTCACAGATGACAAGGCCATTGTCAAAGGGCTTACCAATTCGAAGATTCTGAATGTTCCCCCTCGTTTAGCTTGTTGTCAGGTGGCATGCTTCTGACTTCCTTGGAACGAAGTTGACCAGGCCTGATCCTGCTCAGATGATAGAGCTTGCAGCACCTGCCTTTGGGGGTCTCATCGTGACATTGGTAGACCGAGCTTGCGATGCAGTCCAAGCCATTCAATCTTACGGAGCTTTAGATTAGGTCAATTGTTGAAAGTTGCGATGTCAAAAGATGCCGCGCACAGAGTCGTCATGTTCCGTGCAATACATCATCGGCTGGTGGTTGTGCTTTGATGATGTTGTCAGGCCCATCCCAGTACACTCGTTACAACGATTGTCACACTATGCCTATGAGACAATATGGTCTTACACAAGCATGACTAAGTTTGGCAAGGATATGCCAGTATAAAGGGTCTTCCACTCACTATATAGATAGTCGGGATATTCCCATAGCCACTCGTTCTTCATACTCATCAATACATCCCATTGACCCCCTACCTGATAATCGCTGCCCAACAGATGTCAACTAATCAGGCAGACTCAAACCCACAGAACCCCAGAATTTACCCCGGCCTCTCCGGATGTCTCTCCAGCCTCAACGGGAATATTGCGGGGGGACAAGCCTGACACTCCCTTCCATATGTGCTCTCTAGACTGCATAATGTGCCCAGAGCCAAGTGTCCCTCTCGCTGTCGACCTGCGGGACTGCCCGCCTTCAAAGGTTACCTTGCATTAGCAATGCCCGGAGTAATCTTCTTCGCAACTGCCGTCGATGGATCCCAGGAATCATGGACACTCAATCTAAGGGACCCAATGACATGACCCCGCATCGTGGTTCACCCACGTGTCAGATGCACTTCGGATGACTGCCGATCGAGAAGCTGAATCCCACTTCGTCGTTACCGTAGGATTTACCATCATTGAGAGTCGCTCTGCGATTTCAACTTTGAACTTTGAAGACCATGACTCCCAAATACATGTCTCGAGTCCGCCTGCACGGCTCCCGATCGATGTTTGTTCAAAAGTGGTCTGAGGAATGATCAATGAAGGTTAGGTAGCTTATAATACTTTTGTTGTTGTTGTTCTATTTAACGCCATGAGCTTATAATACACGAGCTTTACGCAGTGTTGTTTGCCTCTCCAGACGCGACTGTCTTCGCATATGATCCTTGATTCCATACACATAGCGAAGCTTACCTCAGTCGGCCGGCCTTGGTTCTCAGTGCAAGAAATTGTGGACTGAGAGTATGCTTCTTTTATGCTCCTTCAAGCTTTCCCTCTTTAACAGGCATGTCCCTCATGTCCCTGTGCGGTTTCAAGCCTCCCAGGGTGCGTAGCGGACAGAACGCGGGACCTAAAACGTAACAACGTCTTGACATAGTGTGGGAATGTACCACGATTGCAACAAAACAGCATGTCAAATTCATAGTTTCAATCTCACAGATGGTGTACGTGCCGACGAAAATGCATCTGGCAAGTCGCAACCCACGCAGGATCCATCAGTTCCATGTACGCTTCCCGGCAGAGATTGCCGAGACCACGACGTATCGAGTCAGGAAGCAAATCGTCAACTCCGCTATTTTCCCTCGAGCATCTCCCAAAAGACTCGGAAACCGACATCGTGGGGCATTCATCATTACTCTTCCGACTTCACCCGCAGGTGGAAAACGGGTCCTGTCGTGCCCCCACCAGTAAAGCCAGGATCTCATGCGCAATCCACGATGCACCAATATCGACTTGAAACGGTGACGAGTATTTTGCCGGTAGAAAATTTGATGCCATCATGGGATCATGAACAGACGTTTGCCCAGTATCACAACTATGGAGCTCTCTTGGTTAGCGCCGGCTACGTAAGCCGACTAAATATCGCCGGAGAGAACACCGAGCTTCGATGTTTTGCGATTCAATGACGCAAACTTCATCGGTCAAAGGTAAATAAAATTCGAGCAACTCGGCCGGGCCCTGCCGACACGACAATCGCCTGGACGAGCGCACTGCAGAAGCGAATTCGTCTGCAGAAAAATTCTGCCTTTGATTACAGGGACCAGTCAGAAACCAACCCCGCGGGCAACGAGGTCGGGCACACGCGAACTAGCCTGCTAGGTAACGTTGCTGTGGGACGCTTAGTCAAGCAGCAGCATGGCGCCGGGGATGGCATGACCCCTGACTTGCAAGTGACCGGGCTCAATAACCATAAAAGCAAGTCTGGAAGCATCGAGGAGTGGGCAAGTTGGGTAATAGCGCGTTCCCGGCACTGTTGCCAAGGGTGCGGCTCAATTTGACTTTTTTTTTCGGAGCTTCGACGAATATCCCGGTATGTGTCCCGGTATGAGGGATGTTTTCTCATCCGGGAACCATCTAATTAACGTGGCGGCCATGTGGGCGGTCCGTTGAATCTTGGAAAACATTGAGCTTGTGGCCGGTATGAAGTATATCTGCACGTCGATCAGTTGATGTCGACCCAACGGCGTCTTCTCGGTGCTATTGCTGACGAGATGGGGATTTTCCCCTCACAATCCTCAGTCGAGTCTGGTGCCAGCGGGATCCCCAGAGAAGTCAAAACATTCCCCACGGGAAAAACACCTTAGTCACGACTCACGAACACAAAAGTCTCTGGCACTCTGCCGCGGGCGGTGGGGAAGTGGTAAAGATTTCTGCTCTGAATCCACCCAGACCAACTCGGCCAACTTCCGCTTCTGATGTTAGCTCCGGGACTTTTCCCCGACGTTACATGCCTTGGCCTTTATTTTCCCGTAATTCTTTTTTGCTGTTTTCTGCGACGGAGAACCCGCTGCGGGGGTGGACCAAATCGTGTGATGTGCCAGACTTCTCTGTGTGTGGGTGGGCGGGGTATGTAGGAACTCCATGAACCAGGGGTTGGAAACAAGACGGAGGACTCCGCTGCTTGTTCCTCGAGTTATTGCTAGAGGAGCCGAAGGATTTCTGAAGGGGTTGGAGATGCTTCGGGCTCGGAAAGTCTTGAGCGAATAGGTGATCATCGGGCAAAGAGCAAGCGGCAGCAGAACGCGTATTGGAGCCGACGTCCGGATCTGGGAACCATAAGCACCATGTCGGTCAGTACTCAGATCCCACCACGCTGATCTGACATACCCCGGATTTCCAACAATTGAGAATCTCACCAACGCAGTAGATGAAGCAACATGTCTGGAACATGACAGACGAGAGGGTTCAAACATGTCAATGATGAACCCAAGGGGCTAGCAATAACATTGACATGAGGGACGACCCAAGAATCTAGCCCATGGGACCCATCTCGTTCGACCTTGCGGGACGGTCTACACAGAGTCGCATCAAAACTTGACACATCCTGTCCCCATCTGGCAAAAGTTGCCCCATCGCCAAAGGACGTCTCCCTGGTTAACCACCCCCGAGGAAGGCAGTCCTTAGCGTCGGTGCTCCCAAGAATAAGTACAGACGATGGCCCGGCCTGTTGGGTGAGGTGATCGTCCTGTTATTCTCGGCTCCTGCTTCCCGTGACTGTCACTCGGTGTCTTGCGTTACGAGGCCAATTCTCAATCGCAGGCTAGAATCCTCGGTATCTTTTGCCATCATGGCCGTTCAAGCCGCTTCCGCCGCCGAGGCGCGCACACAGCTTGCCTACCAGAACAGATGGAAGTCTCTGGCAAACAACCCCAAGATTCTCGTCATTGCTCTCTTTGCATCCTTTGGAGGTTTCGAGTATGGTTACCAGCAGGGTATATCTTTCCTCTCCCAAGCTTGGTGGTAGCTATTCCGTCACTAACCTCCCCGTCCTCCTAGGTGTTCTCGGACAATCTCTCGTCATGACGCGCTTCAAGGACAACTTCCCTTCCGTCGTCGGCTCTTCCAGCGCGACGGGTTGGTTGACATCTATCCTTCAGCTCGGCGGTATCCTGGGTTCCGTCAGCGCCGGTGTCTTTGGCGAGGTCTTCTCCCGCAAGTACACCATGTTCTCCGCCTGTCTCTGGGTCGTGCTCGGCAGTTACCTCTATACCGGCGCAAGCTACCACAAGCCCGAGCTCCTCTACGCCGGCCGATTCTTCACCGGTCTCGGTGTTGGAACCTTTAGCGGTGTCGGGTAAGTCTGCCGTCTGTCTGGAAACTTGCACCGAGGACACGATGCTAAACATCTTCTCAGTCCCCTGTACAACGCCGAGCTCGCCGCCCCCGAAATGAGAGGCTTCATCGTCTCCTTCTACCAGTTCGCCACCATCCTCGGAATCATGCTTTCCTTCTGGATCGGATACGGCAGCAACTACATCGGCGGCATCGGCGAAGGCCAATCCGATCTCGCCTGGAGACTCCCTTCCTACATCCAGGGTGTCCCCGCCGCCCTTCTCGCCCTCGGTATCTGGTGGCTTCCCTTCTCCCCCCGCTGGCTCGTAAAGCAGGGCCGCGACGAGGAGGCCGTCAAGACCATCGCGTACCTCCGCAAGCTTCCCGAGGACAACGAGCTCGTCCAGGTTGAGTTCAAGGAGATCAAGGCCGAGGCCCTCTTTGAGCAGCGTTCCTTTCAGAAGGCGTTCCCTCAGTTGGCCGAGAAGGAGAAGACGAGCGTTTGGATGCGCGAGGTTGCGCAGTACTGGCGTATACTCCGCTCTTGGGACCACTTCAAGCGTGTTTCGTACGCTTGGTTGGTCATGTTCTGGCAACAGTGAGTCTACCATGAACATCTTTGATCACCGCAACGGAACTAACGGTGCTGCTCTTTAGGTGGTCTGGTATCGATGCAATCATCTACTACGCCAGCAACGTCTTCCAGAGCCTCGGTCTCACCGGCGGCACAACTGCTCTGTTGGCTACTGGTGTCACTGGTGTCGTCTTCTTCTTCAGCACCCTTCCCGCCATGGCAATTATCGACAAGGTTGGCAGAAAGCCCATTCTGATTGCCGGTTCTATCGTCATGTTGATTTCCATGATCATTCCCGGCATCATCGTTGCCAAGTTCAGCCACGACTGGCCGGGCCACCCCGTTGAGGGATGGGTCGCCGTCGCCTTCATTTGGATTTACAGTACGTCAACACTTTTTGTCTCCGATCGAGATGAGTCAGTTTGCTAATCCTACATCTCAGTCGCCGGTTTCGGAGCTTCGTGGGGCCCCGTCTCATGGACCCTTGTTTCCGAGATCTTCCCACTGTCCATCCGCGCCAAGGGTGCGTCAATCGGCGCGTCAAGCAACTGGGTACGCGATCCAAAATTTCCCCTTTTTGCATCTGGATATGAGACTAACACCAGGATCCTAGCTCAACAACTTCGCCGTCGCCTTCTACGTCCCCTCCATGCTCGAGAGCTGGAAGTGGGGAACCTACATCTTCTTCGCCATCTTCCTCGGCGCCAGCATCATCTGGGTGCACTTCTGCCTCCCCGAGACCAAGGGTGCCACGCTCGAGGAGATGGACCGTGTCTTTGGAAGCAACGCAGGTGCTGAGGACAGCATTCTTCTCGAGCAGGCTAGACGGGATGTCGGCTTGACTGAGGACTTGGAGGAGAGCGCCATCCACGCTGAGAAGAAGGGACTTCACGAGTCTCATCACGAGTCGGCTTAGAGGACCTATTGTCTTGAACCGTGCTCATCGGAAGAGCTAGATACCCACCCTCCTGCAAGGCTACATGTAACGTAGTCACGATATTAGTAATGAAATGAAGGTTCTGTTGTCGTTTGGAAACACACATCTTCCACAACTAGGAATGAGATCTTCTTGTCACACATCTTTGTTTGGATCTCTACCGTGCCGCTCTTGTCAGTGTCCAGGAGTGGAATCAGCCACTCATGGCAATACACATTAGGAACCATTCACCCAACACCTCAACTTCAATAACACAGCGCAGGCGAGAAAGAATGATTTCGGAACGGGTTGGTGGTCAATTGCTTCGCACTCATTACATCTCGCTCACATGCGTTATACTAGACAGTCTATCCTTCATTCCTTCATCACACGTCCACACCAATCTACAACTTTGGCGGGATGCGAATACCCAGACCCTTTGCAATAATATCCGCCGCCTTCTCACCGACCATAAACGCCGTATTATTCGTATTCGCACCCACGTTCTTAGGCACAATACTCAAATCAACAACCTTGAGGCCCTCAACACCATACACGCTCAACGAAGAATCAACCACACCCCCGTCATCCCGCGGCGCCATCTTAGTCGTTCCAAGCGAATGCCACGTCGTGTTGATGTTCTCCCTCAAGAACTGCTCAATCGCCTTGTCGTCCTCCTTTGAGTACTCAATCGGCTGCACGTTCTTATACGCGTCCGCTGAGACGGAGTCTACGAGAGCGGCCTTGGAACCCGCGGCAAAGGCAGGGTGTCCGCCGGCGACTTCGCCGCGGTAGAGGGCTGTGCGCCGAGCGACCTCGCGCGAGTGCTTGTAGGCCCAGATCTGCTTCTTGAGGTCCAGGTCGTCGGGGTCGCTGAAGAAGCCGGTTTCAAAGTCGAGGGGATCCGTTAGGGCGGGACCGGTGATGTGGATGCTGCCGCGGGAGTAGGGGTATGCCGTGTAGTTTGCGACTGTTGTATATTGGCCTTGTGGGATGGCGGCGTGGTCACCCAAGAACCTGCATATGTCAGTCTCGTTTTGTTTGGGATGTTGGAATGTGTGGCAAGGAGTGCATACCCGTGAAGGAAACCAGTAAGCATGACTGGTCTGTTGGGGTCGTTCTTGAAATCCTTCTCCCAAGCCTTTTCGAACTCGGGACCAAGCTTCTTCACCTCTTCCTCTGATGGCCGGATCTTGCTGACGACATCGACTCCGTTCCAGCCAAGCATCTTATCCTTCTTGGCAATTGCATCCTCGTGGCTTATGCGTCCGCTAAATATGTTATCCAGTGTCTCCTCCGGCTTCAACGCCGTCTTGTACGGCATCAGAACCAGGTTGTGGTCCTGGTAGTTGCTTCCCACGCCGGGCAGGTCCGCCACAACGGGTACGCCAACCTTGTCCAAGATCTTCTTGCTGCCGAGGCCAGAGCGCTCCAGAACTCCCGGGGTTCCGCAGGCACCGCATGACACAACCACCATGTTCTTTGCCTTGACAGTCCGGACCGGCTGTTGTGTGGTGTTCAAGACGGCCTGGTAGTCTGAGTTGGGGGTGTATTCGACTCCGACGGCACGCTTATGGTCGTCAAACAGCACGCGGATAACCTTTGACTCCACCAACACGTGAAGGTTCAGGTGGTTTCCATCCTCGAGAAGTGGGTGTAGGAAGGTGTGTGCTGCATCCTGTCGTCGGCCGTCGGGAGAAACATATCTCATCCACCTTTCATAGCCGTTGTTTGCCTCTAGGTTCTGCAAGTCCCGGATCTCGGGGTAGCCAGTCTGCTTCGCGGCGGCCAGGATATCGTCCTCTGCAGTCTCGACACGGAAGCCTCCAGAGGACACATGAACCGGGCCAGAAGAGCCGTGGTGGGCCGGGTCTCCGTGGCCGTGGTACGTCTCGAAGCGCTTCAGGTACGGCCACAGGTCTGCCGAAGACCAACCGGGCGTTGCCCACGAGTCAAAGTCAGACTTCTGGGCGCGGGTGTAACTGGGAATAGCATGGCTCGTTAGCTTGGGTCACGGAGGGGAAGTCGATCGTCGTGAGAGAGTCAGAACAGCTCATGTGCCCCGAGCTAGAATGGAGCTACCCCAACTTTTTATCCCCTTCCCGGTGCTAACTGCCGCCCCCGCATCCGGGGCACGGGATGAAACGGTCCAGGTAGAATGGATCGTGCGGGAGCGGGTATGGGGGGTTGAAGGGGCCGAAGCTGGGGAAGTCTCATCGGATGCTGGGTTGAGGCTACGAACTTGAGGGGGGACGGAGACTCGAGAGGGTTCGAGTGAAAGGGGAGAGGAGGGGAGGGACAGAGATTCGGTAACGTACAGCATAAAATTAATCGAGGAACCGCCACCGAGGATTCCTCCAGCCGGGACAATGGGACCGCGGCCTGCCAGCTTGTCGGATACGTTGCCCTGGTAGAAGATTGCGGTCTTGCTTGTCGGAGCAAGGTGGTCGAGGAAGAAGGCCGGGTGTACAACGTTGGGGAGATCGCGGTTATTGGTGCCGCCTTCAATGACGAGGATAGACAATTGGGGATCGGCGGCCGCGAGACGACCGGCGAGAACGCAAGCTGCTGTTCCACCTAGAATTCAAGAGTCAATAGGATGTTTACGGTGACTGTAGAGTAAAAGGCGTGACGAATACCTCCAGCAATGATCACGTCCACCTCTGTGATATCATCGGCCAGTTTGCTGTAGAGACCCATGGCTACGGTATCGCGCAAAGTCAATGCGAACTCAATTGAACGACAAGAGATTTCAGAAACACGCGCGCGTGGGGGTGGTTGAGTGTTGAACAGAGAGTCGGGATGAAGCAACCAGCACAAACGGGCGGCTCGCGGACCGCGATTGTTACTCTTCTTTATATATCCTTCTCCGCACGCCACGTCGCAGCGTTTGGAGAAAATCCACAGGGCTGTTACGCACGCTCGGGCGGAATGCAAGCAGGGTGTATTCCACCGAGATTCCGCGTTGCGCTGATCTATTGACAAGAGAGATGCAGAGGGCTAGACGGGGACCATTGAAGGCTTGGGTCTGCATTTCGAGAAGCTCGAGGGGCCACATGGCCGCACAGATGGCGGCGAACACGTCGCAGGTTGCGGACAAGCGGAGAGGCTACTGAAGGTCCGATGTGACCAGAACCCTGAAGAGGAGCTAGTTATCGGGTGCGGGGATGGCTACCATAGACACATCCAGATGCAGATGCAGTGATTGTGCAGACACAACAGAGTACGAATGTTGATGTTATGTTGCACTAGGCAGGACAACTATGGGGCGAAGTTGATACGGGGGAAGCATGTCTGAGGTGTGGGCGCTTGACCGAACCAGCCAATCGAGGTTATTTGATTTACCAACTTGGCCAGATACAACTCCAGGGTTCCCCAACACTATGAGAAACTAAGTGGGCTGCTCCAGTTCGCTCCATGTTTTCCGGATGGCGCAGCTGGCAGCTTTGAGTTTAGGGCTCTCCGGCTGGTCTCTTTTGGCGCCTTTTGGCAAGGCAAGTTCGGACTCGGGCGCGAATTGTCAAGTTATACAACGAGCCCAGAAGCATTCATACGCCATATGAGAGTCTTCTGAGTCGTCGGGGAGTCAAGCGTTGAGGAGAGATGCATCCAGTGTGTGTCAGGACGGGGCTGTTGGTGGACGATCAGGGGGGAAAGAGGGGACCAAAGATGCGGGGAAAGGATCACTAAGAATAGTCTAGGGAGATGGATGCAAAGCGCACGATGTCGAGTTCCATTGCCGGGTATGTATTCGTAGAGAAGGACAGGCATCGAGTATTCCTCACAGTGCCGTTGAAGAAACGCAGATGTTCGCAAGCTGTCAATGACAACGTCGTACTCGAGGGCCGAGCAGGGATGTTGCTGACTGAAAGCGTGCCACGGCCCAATGTCTGAATAGGGAATATCCGGATGATGCGTCCAGAGCTTCGTTCTTCAATATCATCATCCCAGTACCTTGCAACTGTTGGCTCTTAACCATTGACCGCAAAGTATAAAACGGGACTTGGTGTTCCTATGCGACCATGTGCTTACTCACTACTACCTGAGCAGGGCGAAGGGGCCGTTAGCTCTGGCTACAAGGATCGGCTGGCCCGCATTGGCGATGGAACGTGAACTCGAGCTAGGGTCACCGCGACTTTAACCGAACATCCAAGAGTCTTTAAGGCGTAAGTAAACAGCTGCAATACAGAAACCCAAGTTTCGCTGAATATGGAATTGCCATGGAGAAGTCTGACTACAGTCGCAAGAAATCATTCCAATAATCCCAATCCAAGTTTGCCGAATCGGTAAGCCCCAGCGGGTCCAGAGTCTGGGAATCTGCCGCTGGCACCTGTGGAACTGGCGTAGCTTTCTGTTGCCTCTGTTCTCGAAGCAACTGGATATACCGAGGTGGGATATCGGCTTCATGACTCCCCTGGACGTTGACCAACTCCCTCCTCCTAGCCTCCCAAGCTTCCAACGTCAGATCCCCCAGCGCGACAAAGAAGGAACTTTGCGTATTCTCAATCAGTTCCGGATGATCTCCGTAGAGGTTCTCCACAAGCTTCCAAGCCAAGGTGACACGCTCGCCAGAAACCCTCTTGCGGAGATCGCTAATGATGTAGATGTAGACATCCACGGTGAACTTTGTCGTCATGTGAGCAATGAAGTGCGAGGAGAACTTGCTGCTCATGGCAATCTCCATCATTTCTAACCAAGTCACACTACAGTCAAAGACCAAGTCACCCTCTTCGCGCGTCATGAACACTTCCCCGTTGCTGTTTGCTCTGCCTCGTGGGCTGTGCACCTTGCAACGGAAGCGCGCAAGCGTGAGCCTGGTCATTGTGTATACCAGAGCGTGGAGCGGGATACTTCTATCCAGATGGCGAATGAACTTTTCGTGGTACATGGCCTCAATATGGTTAATCGCGTCATCTTCCAGCTTTGATGGCGGCTTATCCTTTCTAGGGCCATGAATGATGACATCAAAGACCTTGACAGCTGTCGTAGAAGACCTGATAATGTTGAAGATCTCATACTTCATCAATACGCAGAGCATTTCTGTTGCACCAGGGTGCTCCGGTGGTAGCTCCGTCATTTCCGGATGCAAGTCCGCGTCGTTGACGTTGAGCGGGAGGCGGACATCGCCAAACTCGCTCTCGGATGGCGGAAGTCGCATACCCGCAACCTTCACGATCCTTACTCTAGAGTCTAGCCCATTTAACTGCCACCATAGACGTATACGCATCTCGGACTCGAAGACCGATACTTTGGGATCTGGCTTTGGCCGATTCAGACCCATCTTCTGGCTGATCCTGATGGCGGCGCCGGTCAGAGTGGATGTCAGCTCCGAGTCGGGGTCAGAGAAGAGAAAGAGAACAAAGGCTTGCAAGACCTCAAAGTCTCTCGTGGTGAGGAAGTCGGCCGCTATGAGAGCACGCAGAGCGGCGGTCCGATAGCGCAGTATCAGTGTGCTCCTAGCCTCGCCAAAGGTAGCCAGGCAGCCATCAATGGTCGTTGAAGTGACAGCCAGAGTGTAAATGGCAAACAGCATGGCTGTGAGTGGCTTCGAGGCGCCAGCCGGATTCCAACTTGCGTCTAGGACCTGCTGCTGCAGAGTCGGCACATGGATGACCTTCGTCAATGGGTTGACGGCCTCGACAAAGATTTGCCAAAATCGGTAAATGTGCCTTGGGTCTAGATGCAGCTCGGAAAGCTCTGGTTGAATGGTCGTCGTCAACTCAAAAAGTGATGGCATTGGGATGTGAAGAGGGTCTTCTTTGCGCGTCAGACACTGGACAGGCGGGTAAATGAGCTGGCCATGAGTCAGATACAAGTGTTTTCATCTACAGCACAGCAACTCTTACCTCTGTCGGAAGAGTTGACCAAAGACAACTAAGGATACTTAATCAGCACACGACCCTATGTTGTACTCCGTGCTAACACTAACCGTTCTGTCGCCAATGGAATGTCTTTCAACGTCTGAGTTGTAGAGCCCTGGTGATCAAGGGGAGAAGTCGCAGAGAACATCGTCCCAGATTTGTCCTGCTTAATCTGCCCCTGAGGCCCAGATGTAATCCAGCCATGAGAATGCGAGGCAAAGTCGACATTGTGCTTCCGCATAAGATCCTCGTAAGCAGCCAAGCGCGCAAGAAGCTCCTCATCAGCCGCTCTCTTTCGCGGTCGTGGTGGAGCTGGGCCTTCGTAGAGACATTGTGCCTGCGCTTTTGTGCAATTTGAACATGGTTCAGCTTTGTCGCATTTGATCTTTCTCTTTGCGCAAAGCGAGCATGCATGCTTATGCAGCCCTTGGACAGCTGTTGGTTGCGGGGTCGTCATGGGCAGAACTTTGAAAAATGGGAGACCGGTTGGTTGAGTCGAGGTAAGTATTCATCCATGCGTATTAAAGGTCATTGGCTTTCATAAGATATTTGGACTCTCCCCGGACTTTTGGAAAATGTCCGGTTGGGCGGTTACGTTGTTGCATGTGGTGAGAGATGCGCGTCGGAATGGCGCGAAGATGTCGGGGCCCTCGGTTCTCAAAGGAGTTTAGCGCATCTCCTCGGCTTCCGTCTGATGAATCCCTCTTTTCTTACTATGTGACGCCAGACCAGTCTAACCTCTTTTAGATATTTCGGGCCCGAGATGTCTGGGAGGATCGACAGTCTAAACCCAAGATGCGTCAACAATGGCTCTGCAATGGGTCAATTTTGCCGTTTCCCGACGACGGACTTTTCAAAAGTCAGTTTCTTGAAACAAATCAATTTCCTTGCACATGTATAAAGAAAAAGGCATCCCGAGGTGGTCTTGGCTTCCTTCATGTCTCTACATCTCGACAGCCTCAACCTTACTTCAAATACCAATCACTCGATCCAACCATAGTCTAATACTTTAATCTGATTACTCCACTTCCAGTATCAAATTCGCCATCACTCCAACCAACATCTCTTAGTTCACATCAACGTCGACGGATCCTCCAATATGTCGACTCAACCAAGCACACAACCCGAACCAACAACAACAACTCTGGACGACGAGTCCAAGACTTCGACCGTTGTCGAGCCATCTCTTCACAGCGATGATAAAAAGACCGAGAAAAATATTTCAGAAAAGCTCGAGGATGGAGGAAAACCCACAGACGACACAGAGTATCCAACTGGACTCAAGTTCGCCTGTATCATGTCATCTGCTTTCATGTGCATGTTCTTGACTTCCCTAGTAAGTTGGCCGTCTTAAACTCCATCACACATAACAAGAGACGAGAACCTAATAGATTCCCAGGACCGCATGATTATCACAACAGCCATACCTCAAATCACCGACGAGTTCCATTCCGTTACCGATATAGGCTGGTACGGATCAGCGTACCTCCTTACCCAGTGTGCTTCTCAACTCCTCTTCGGCAAACTCTACACCTTCTTCAACCTTAAGGGCACGTTTCTTACTTCGATCTTCCTCTTTGAAGTCGGTTCTGCAATCTGTGGCGCGGCCCCAAATTCGGTCTCTTTCATCATTGGAAGAGCCATTGCTGGACTTGGCGCAGCTGGTATTCTCAGTGGCGTGGTAAGTCTCGGTTCTGATATTGTCCAGTTAAATCAGTCTCTAATCATCAGCTCTACAGGTCGTCATCATCGTCCACGCTGTCCCGCTTCATAAACGCCCTACATATCAAGGCTTCTTCGGCGCCATCTTTGGTGTCTCTTCTGTTGTAGGGCCTCTACTCGGAGGCGTCTTCACCTCCAAGGTCACCTGGAGATGGTGCTTCTACATCAACCTCCCCTTGGGAGGCTTGGCGGGCATCATCATCTTCCTGATTCTCGCCATCCCCGACAGAGACACCACAAAGCTTGATCTGAGGTTCAAGCTAGCGCAGCTCGACTTCTTCGGAACCGCTTTACTTATCCCTGGGTCAGTCTCCCTGATTTTGGCAATGGAATGGGGTGGCTCCACGCATTCTGTAAGTTTGTACCACCGGAAAACGACTTATTTCGGTTCTGACCGTTGCTCTTAGTGGAACAACTGGAGAATCATTCTCCTGTTAGCGCTTGCAGTCGTACTCCTAGCAGGGTTTGCATTGGTCCAGATTTTCATGCCCAAGACGGCCACGCTCCCCGGCAGAATCTTCAAGCAGCGCAGCATCCTCGCTGGTGTCTATGCTACCATCTGCAACGGATCACAATTGATGATCTTCTGTAAGTCACATGAGCAGTATCGTGCTCGCACGTTACTCAGACTAACGAATCTCAGCCTACTATCTCCCGATTTGGTTCCAAGCTATCACAGGCGTCTCCGCGGTTGAGTCCGGAATCCGTCTCCTGCCTCTCATGCTCTCAATGGTAGTAGCTACGTTGTTGACGGGCGCCCTTGTTCGTCGCATCGGCTACTACACACCATTCATGATTGGCGGAGTCTGTCTGATGGCTGTCGGCGCTGGTCTGATCTATACTTTCGAAATCGACACTGATAGCGGCAAGTGGATCGGATATCAAATCATCTACGGCTTTGGCTTGGGCTTGTCAACGCAAGCACCCAACCTCGCAGCTCAGACAGTTTTGCCGAAGAAGGATGTGCCGGTGGGAATCTCCCTCATGTTCTTTGGCCAGCTCATTGGAGGAGCCATTTTCCTCGCAGTCGCACAGAACATTCTCAACACCCAGCTGCTCGAGCGACTCTCTTCGGTTCCGGGGCTCGACGCCCAGAAGATTCTGGATAATGGTGTTACCTCTTTGACCAATCTTCCCGCCTCCATCAAGACGACAGTTCTGATTACATATAACGAGGCCATTAGACATGTATTTATAGTCGGCCTGGTCCTCTTGTGTCTCGCCATCTTTGGTGCTTTGGCTTTGGAGTGGAGGAGTGTCAGGCAACCCGAGAATAACAAGGGTGGCGGCAAGGCATAGGGGTAGTATCAAAACTTTCCGGGTAAACTCGTAGATTAAAAGGTAGAACGTAATACGCAACTCATCAGCACACGGTTGATTTCATTTCGGACGTAAACGTAGTTCCAATGGTATCAAAATCCAGTCTCATCGAAGACTCAAGTAATCTTCGGAAGTATTCTTCCGCAGGTTACTTGCAATGAGGCACTTGCGAGCTGCGCGGAAACCCAAGTCTCTCAAGTCGCGATCGGCCGTTCTAGCCGCAACTCCTGGACGCTTGGTAAACACGGGAAGATAATTGGGTACATGTGAGAGACGGGATACTGAGCATCATGACGGCCGCAAGTAGCTTTCGCTGACCAATTCCAGAGGCTTCAAAATACCATAACTCCAGTCTTCATGGAAATTTAGTAGAATGATGCAATCACTCACCGCGTGACAGTAAACGGGAATGATTGGGCAAATTCCGGTCTAGCCTTCCCCGTTCGGGACTCCCGACCGACATCCGAGGTGACACTCCGGAGTCCCGGCGAACCAAGTGGGGCACCCGACCCGGCCTCGCTTGCCGTAATCATGGAGTTATCTTGTCGAGTGGAGTTTTGGTCCGAACTCTTGATCAAGGGTGGACCATTGGCAATGGCGTGCTTTTCCAATGAAGGATATAAGGTTTTAATGAAGATGAAGACGAACCTGGCGACCATGGTTGCTTGCTTTCTTCGCTCAATCGTTCCCACCGAGCGCCAAAGCTTGTCATCAAGATGGTCAAACTGGTAAGTCAAACCCCCCACTTCCTGGCACCCCCCTGTTTCTGGCACCACAAAAACGATGGGATCACAACCCGACCTCCTCATTACTATTAACTATTGATCCTCAACCACACCCACTACAATACAGCTGCCAGCCTCACTAGGGCATTCAGAGTCGCTGGATTCAGCCGTGATAACCTCCTTTTCACCCGCTTCGATTTGAGCCCGATGGATATCCCTGATGTTCGCGAACTTCGTGTTGGGATCGATTTGAACAGTCTTCCTCTTCCTCACTGCAGCGTTGGTAACTTGAGCCCTCAGGTGAGCTAGTTGCTGCTGGGCAGCTGCCAGTTGCCAGGCCTGCTCTGTGAAGCCTTTTTTCACCTTCCTGAATAGCAGCCGTTGAGTGCTGGTATCATTGTCGAGTTGGGTGTATAAGTGCAGTTGACCGCTGAGCTCTGCCAGCTTCCTGGGTGTCGACCAGACCACTGCAGAGGAGGCAGAATCCCATGGCTCAACAGGGGTAGTTTGTTGACCATTATGGCATCGCTTTCTGCCCTGACTAGTTGGTTTGGGTGTGGTGGGCTTAGCAGGAGGCTCAGGTAGTACCATAGGGTTCATCAGGGGCTTAACCATCGCCACAGGGTGTAGACCAGTCCACTTCCAACCACTTCTGATGTTCGAGACTGATAGACCAGCAAGTCGAGCCTTCTGGTAACAGTCCAGGAAGTTCCTTTTACCTATAATGGTAGAGTCGTTCCATTGAGACAAGTAACCGAGCTCCTTCCGATAGGCTGACTTAACAGGGCTGAAGACAGACTGGTCAAGAGGCTGGAGGACATGAGAGGAGTGTGGTGGTATGAACAGTAAATGGATATTGTTAATATAGCAATTCCACATGAAGTCTGTCGTCGTATGACTCCCATGCCCATCCACAATCAGCAGTCGAGCCTCCCCCTCAGCCTCAGGCATAGTCTGTGGGATGAACACCTTCTCTAACCATTCAATGGCAGTTAAGTCTGTAGTCCAGCCATTATCTGTTGCTGTGAACTCCCACCCATCGTATGGAACGAGATGTAATGGAAACCACTGCTGTTGGACTGTCTTCCCCTTGAAAATGATAAGAGGACGAAGTGCCCTACCCAAGGCTGAGATACACTCAATGATAGAGACCCATGCCCTCGACCCAGGTTGTTTCTTGCGAACAGACGTCGTCTCAGCCATACCCAGCACTAACCCATTAGCTCCCTGACCCTCGAGGATGCCAGTCTCATCCATATTATATCTGTTGGCTGGTTTGATGTCCTTGATCTCAGGGATAGCGAGGAACTTAAACCAGTTCCTAATGACCTCAGTAGATGCCCCATTAACGCGTCTAGAATCGATAGAACGACTTCTCTGAACCTTAATGATAGGGTTCCTTCTCACAAAGGCATAGATCCAGCCTTTTCCCAGTGGTTTGGTATCCCCAGCAGCAGCCAGAACTCGCTCTGCGAATTCCTTCACCTGTTGGTGCGTTGGTGCGAGGCCCAGCGAAGCCTGAATGCGAACCCATTGTGCCGGCTTACTCTCCTGGTCAGGAGACAGCCTCTGCCAGTCAGCAAAAGCCACTTTCCTAGTCTGACCACCTTGGAGACGTAGTTGGAGGGTTGATCGTGGTATCCCATACTCCAATGAGGCTCTCTTTTGACTCTTGCCGTTTGAGATGTCCTCGAGAGCCTGACGAAGCTGATCTTCGGTATATTGAGGGATTAGATATAGAAGAAGGTATGTGCAAAAGATGAGCCCATTTGGACGCGAATTGAAAATGTTGTGATAAAAGGAGGTTGGGGGTGGGCATTGGGTTGTGGTGGATTTTCGCGTTTTTGTGGGTGCCAGAAACAGGGGGGTGCCAGGAAGTGGGGTGTTTGACTTAATAGAATGCCCCTGACAAGATGCAGAGATTGAAGTCGCAGTAATGTCGCAAGGTCAGGTGCGACCGAGGAGATAGACGAATCCGAGCGGCCTTGGCATTTGGTGTATCTCTCAACAAAGTCCTGGAGCGACGGTGCTGGTGGGTATTCCGAAGTTGAAGCGCGGACTAGGCTGACAAGGCGGATCAGCTGAACCACGTCGGGTGACATGGACACGGAGGAAACGTAATCGAGGGCCTTGGGCCCGACTTGCGAAGACGTAAAGACCCGGGACGCAGCCGGGCTGGCCACGACGATGTGGTAAATTGATCGGAGGTCAGTGATGGAGAAGATGATCTGTTCGAGGATCTCGGGCGGGAGGCCGTCGAGATTGGCAGTTACTGGTGTGCGACGCGTCATGGTGAGGAAGAATTGAGCTGCTCGGATTACATATTTCAATACTTGAGAGCTTAGAGCGTACTGCGGGCTGAGTAATCATCTTGAAGGAGTTGACGTTGCACTATGTTCGAGGGATTTGCATGTGATGATGATGATGATGATGATGTATTTAACGTCTGGTAACAAAAGGACGTGCCGGGCGCTATGCCGACATGGTCTATACTAATCTAAACTATGTTACAGGCTACCGTCTTCACCTAACGTTCCTGTTCAATGACTCGGGCAAATTTCGGAAAAGAAATTGGTCTCCTCTATCCATTCGCATAAAAGAGAGGCTCCCTTAGCAGAACCTAACAAGAAATCAATGCTTACTTTGGCCATACGTTGGCGGAGGTAGCGCGGTATAGCCTTACGTCCACGCTTGCAGAAGTAGAAATGGACTGGTGTCTTAGGTTTCCCACAGCTACAGTTAAGCAACGCATCTTAATAAGCAAATCTCTCGTGGTATGCTGCAAAGTCTCCATGATGGGATCTTGCTGCGTATAGCCTTCCTAGTAAGTGCCGAGGGAGGCGGAGTTCGGGCGGCTTGGGGTGAAGAATTATCTCGAGGTCGGCATATTGCCGAGGGCATTGGGACAGCCATTTTCTGGCAAAGGCTTGGAAGGCAGCTGCTTTAGCTTGCCTTTCTAGGTGCGCTAATGAGGGCTGTGGTTGTGATTTTGGGATTAGTTTGCAGGCTTCCTTGGCTAGAGCATCCGCTTCTTCATTTCCTGGTACTCCCGTGTGCCCAGGGCACCACCAAACATAGACCCTGCCGGGGGTTGTCCAGCTCTCTCTTTGTCTCCGAGTCCAGGAGGAAGAGAGCCTATTGAAGGCCCTAAATCTAGCCTGGCTGCTTCCTGTGCTCTGGGAGTATAGTCTAGCCGCGACTGCGACGTTGTCGAGGCAGATGTGGACGTTATCTGCTATACGAGCCGTAGGAGCCCGGGTGGCTTCCATCAGGCCGTGATACGCAGCATGTGCCTCCGCGTCATACACCTCAGTTTGGGAGCCGAGTGGTTCGGATCCGCGGAAGATCTGCCGTGTAGCTTGGTACCCTACCCAGCCTGCTCCGGCGGAGGTGCTGCTGCCGTCCGACATCTGGGACCCGTCAGTGTAGACAACAATGTCCCGCTTGGAGAAAGTTGCCATCCTGCCTGCGAAGGAGAGGGCCTGTTCTTCTTTGGTCTTATTAGGTTCGTAGCCGACCCTGGCGAGGGCTGTCTGCCAGTCCGCTAGTTGCTCCCAAGGGGGGAGTTCTAACGGATCAATGTATTCGGTATTTTTGCTTACGAGGCTTGCCATTCGTCGTAGCCGTGAGTCTGGTCCTGATTTGTCCCTGAGTCTCGTTCGGAAAGGGTGTCGCTCGTCCAGACGATGGATTCTGGTGGACGCTGTGTGGAGCTTCGCGTCCAGTATCACCTCTGCTGGGGGTAGAGCCGCCTCGCGCTGTAGGATCGGTACAGGCGTAGTTCTGTATACGGGGACCATCGCTCTAATGGCTTTGGTTTGCGTCGCGTCCAGTTGGTGTAGCAGACTACCAACGCCGTTTAAGATAGTACGTCCATTCTTTATCCGGCTCGAGGGATTTGCATGTGAGCCAGTCAGAGAGGGTGTCGTGATGGCTTCAACCATCTGTGGCCTCACTGCCCGTCACGTGACCTCGGTTACATAATCACCGAGGCCCACACTCGCTCGCATCACCTGTTTCAGAGCGAGCCTCGTACCTAATTTCTACTTCCAATGTGTAACCGTTCTCTATCACAAATCTCGATGCCCACATTGTTACCATACGACAGAGGGGTTATTTTTGTTGGCCGGGTTGCACCAGAAACACCTCAACGTCCAACAGGGATCAAAGTTCACCTGCGCCACAGTAATTATGCGCGGTAGCGGTCAAAACATGTCATCCCAAGATCACCCAGCTCACAATATCGTCGCGTCAGGACTGGCGGAGAGAATTTGGCTAGAAAAACGTATTGGGTGAGGTAGCTGAGATCAGGTTGCTACAGATTTTGACTATCTGAACGGTGGTTCTAACAGAGTCCCACCTTTCAGAAATAGAGCAACCATGATGGGTATCCAAAGCACGCTGTCTGAGTGGTTATTAGCTTGTGCATGAAGAGGTGGAAGAGAGAGAGCTCCGCTGACGTACACGTTTATAGCTTGATATTCGGTTAAGCCTAGAGAAGCCGTTTACTTCTTGCAGCAGCCGTCAAGTTCGCACTCAACATTGTTGTTCGGCTTGCCAGGGCAGAAGTTCAATCTGTCGCAAGCGCCGCAGTCAACACCACGGCGACCTGGCTGGCTGAGCGCTGGAGGAACTTCGGTATCAAGAGCAACGGCGGCGACGGAAGCGACGAAGAGGATGACGGCGGAGAACTTCATTTTGCTGGACTTTCACCGGAAAGTCTTATTTAGTAATTATATGTGGTAAAATGATGATGGTTTTGAGTGGGTTAATTGATTGTGCGCTGAAGGTGATGATTATTCATACCGTCTTGGCGGGTTTCTAAGGATATTTATTCCTTTCACCTTGCCCGCCATCTTGATATTCACATTATATTTTCTCTATTCCACCGAACCACTAATACTGCTGTCTTGTTGTTGAGTCATGGCAACAGGGGACATGAGACGGCGCCTGACATGTACGTTCTTGTCAACCCAGAGAACGGTAACGCCGTGAGGCCGCACTGAAACGCAGCAAGGTTGCAGAGGAAAGGGGCCTTGAAGAGCAACACATAATGTTAGACAGGGGCTTAAGTGACCTGCGGAAAAAGACAAACTCTATTTCAGCTCCACGAACCGCCTTCTTGGTGGCTTGGATGGCGGTTTCCACGCTGTTGGGTTCGATCATATTGCGCGCTTGGTATGAGCAAGTACTGCGTGGGTCGTGTCACATCTTCGTGTTTGCTCTATGCGTAGGCGCAGGCTCTAACTTCCACAACGTCCTATTGGTTTCCTTTTCCCATGTTAAAGTTCGACACATCAACCTCGACCTTAAAGAGAAACAGATAGATGTTGAATTCCAGGAAGGTCTCATAAGCCCAAAGCTCATACTCGATTAACATGTCTGTCGTCAACGCCAGTAAGCGAGTCCATAGGCATTGGTTTAGCTAGTCAGGCGTCTCCACTGGTTTCATCAGGACAGCGCCTCGTCAGAAAGGCCGCCCGCAACTATTCGAATTGCGGACATAGAAAGTTTGCTTGTTTGTGGGGTACGCATCCCGAGCTTGCCGAAGTCTCTGTTCGAGCCTAGATTCTAGAAGCTGCCTTTAGGGCGTTCGCCTCGTAAGGGTTGGAGACAACCCAGAGGTACATGTAGACATGGACGAGGAATATCTCCGTCGTCCTCGTCGGTAAAGTCGGCTTGTCTCAGCAGACTGTGAATGGCCAGTCTTTGTCTCTCTTTTGCTACCTCTGAAAGTCGCTGTTCTAGATTCCGTCTCCCTTCTTGGAACTCTGGTGAAGAAAGTCCGCCAATTCCGGCTCCTTGTGGTGCATACCCTCGGGAAAGTCGCTCCATATCATCGATGATGGACTTGACCAGTGCAGAAGAAGGGAAGAAGCGCTGAAGTGCAGCCAGACATAATGCCGCGCGGCTCAAGGCAAACTCTGGCGAGGGACAACCCGCCGTTCTTTGTGCTCGTGCTATGAAAAGTAGGAGCCTTGTTGCGTGATAAGCGCAAATGGCTGTGTCGAATTCGAGGAGCAGATGGGCTGTGCTGTGTTGGTTGAGGCCTGTCAATATCTGAATGATGGCGGCAGCATGTTTGAGGCAGTTCCGTTCTGCTGCGGTGATGTAGTCTATATCGACCGCTTCAAGAACCACGCGAGGTGCTGCTTCTGGGTACCCTGAAAGCAAGATTCGGTACAAGTCGCAATGCGCCTAGTGGAATGAGATATGCATGAACAGCCGCATCCTCAGCCACCGATCGCCGTCGAGAGCTTCGATGTTGCCGAAGGAAAAGTCTGTTCCGTCTGGCATCAGCGACCCAATTTCGCCCAAGTCACTTTCAAAGTCGCCAATGAGTTTCGCCAAAGGCAGGAAAGGTTGGTCGCAGAGAGTCACCCCTCTTGTCAACTTCATGATGTCCCTCCGAATTATCTCCAGCCTCACGTAGAGTCTATAGCAACTCCCATTGCCTGGGTCTCCATTATCATTGCTGAACTCGTTCTCAGAGGAGGGGTATTGCAGGTATATCGTCTCAATGGGGCATGCCTCAAACTCGGGTAAACCAACGGAGAAGTACCTCTCAGTGATCTTCAGCGACCACATGATCCGACGGCGTACCTCTTGGGCAACAAAGTCGAGATCAGGTCTTTCGTGGTTCAGTCGCATGGCAGCCGCAAATCTAGCCGCGGTAGCCGTAAGCATGAACGCTCTCTGGAACTTTCCGGTCTGCATCTGATAATTGATCACGAGCAGCAGGGCCTGTAAACGAGGTATGGTAGGGCTCTCGAGGTGCTGCCATATCTTTTGCTCCGCCGTCTGAACCCAAGACGTGGCTTTGTCGCGAGTCTGAAGATCCGAACCACAGTGAAGGGTCGCCAAAGCACAGATGGCGTGTGCCAGGGCTGAGTCAATCCTCCCCTCTCGACAGCGCTCCCTGGTCGTCTCGGGGTGCAGAAACGCATGGGATGGAAGAGGATAAACCTTCTCGAAGAAGCTTTCCACGGCGCCGGGGAGGAAGTGGCCGACTTCGACCCCGCAGGCTTCGTCTCCCTCGGTAGACGTGCTCTGCGGGGAAGATGCTCTCGCACATCGTGCCGGGGTCGGGTATGTGCACTCTCTCGCATGGCGCGCGCAGTTTGTACAGCGCGGTGACGTGCCGGAGCAGCGGACTTTCTTGTCTCGACAAGCTTTGCACGCTCGGCTGCCTCTGAGGCGTCGCGGCTTGGCGGAGATCAGTTGCCGCTGATCAAAGTCCAGTAGTCTACCGGTTTCCTCAACGGCGGCATGCGAACAATCGAGCCCAAGACGAGCACATGTTCCGCAGCGCAGTTCACTGCCACCTTCGCACTTGACCTGATTCATGTCAGTCCATGGCCACAGACCAACGGTAGTGAAATTCGGACGGACTTACCTTTCGCCACCGGCATTGAGAGCAAGTCTGACGCGTCGTGCTTGAGCCAGCTTGAAAGCAACCAACGAAAGAGTCCATCATGTTGTTGTTGAAACTATGGCATCCTGGCACTTCATTGTCGTCCTCGTCTCATGTTGCAGCGCCCTGCCGCAACTCAGCGTCGTTCGGTTCCGTGGGTTTGTGATAGAAGCTAATGATATTTCTATGCCATAAAAGTTGGAGCTGAACCAGGCATGATATGTCGGAGGTGTCGTTTGACTGAGCCGGCGGGATGAACATTGGAGAATGGACATTGGGAAAGGTCTGGATTTCGTCTTCTCACATGACGTCCCTTGTCCTCGCCACCGGGCTTCTTGAATGATTCTCCGGATCCCTCTACAAAGTGCAAACATGAATGCGGAGGGAGTCTACACTTTACCTACTCGAGCTAGACTGCCATGACGCGAGGAGTGGATAGGGTAACGACATCCAGGAATGGACCTCGGCGAGCCAGTTACGGGACTCGACGAGCGGTTGATCCTTGTCGGCGTCAACGAACCCTTGCTGGGAGATCGGGTCCACCTCTCCACCTTGATTCTCTGCGATTTCAAGCTGACTGTGACTTCCTAGATTCTTCATCATCGCGCCAAGACAATGGTCTTGAGCTTCAAGTAATTCGATGCGACCAGACGATGCGCCAATGATTGGAACAAACTCTAGAATCTTAGGATTATATCAGGGTTTGGCCCTTGCCCTACAACCTCAATCATGAAGCCGACTACTCTAGTTACTCGTTCGAGGTGGAATGGTCTGCGTTCTGCCTCACAACTTACTCGCCAAATTAGCCGACGCACCCGGATCACCACCTCTCGGATGAACAGGCTCGTCTCCAATTTGTTCCATCTTCAACTCCAGCAATCGTGTCATATGCTTCACGGTATCATAATAAGCCGGATCATGATAAACATTAAACAACTCCAACGGATCCTTCTCGCAGTCAAACAGCTCCCACTCCTTATCCTTCTCCCCACTGCAGCAACTGGCGGAAGGATTCGCCTTGCATGTAGCTCGGGATGTGAAGATTTGCAAAATCGAGGAAGGTAGGCGCAAAGCCGACATTGCCGATGATGTCGTCGCATACGGAACCCTTGGCGATTCCCGCGGGATATCGAATGATGAAGGGCATCTGGAAAGACTCCTCGTACATGAATCGCTTGTCGAACCAGCCGTGCTCGCCGAGGAAGAAACCCTGGTCGGAGGTGTAGATCACAATGGTGTTTTCCGCGAGTTCGTTGGACTCGAGGTAGTCAAGCATTCGCCCGACATTGTCGTCGACAGACTGGATGGTACGCAGGTATCGCTGCATGTACCTCTGGAACTTGAAATGGGCGAGGTCGTCTTGACTCTTGAAGGTGAACACCGTTCCGTCTTCGTTATCGATCAGTCTCTTGGCGTCGATGGGAATCTTGCGCTGCGCAGAGCCAGCCTCCTGGACGACGCGCTCGCCGACCTTGTTGCCGCCGTCTGGCTGCACGAGTCCCAGGTCCTGGTACGTCATGTCTTCAGCCACGCGCATCTTTGCAACCTTTGCAGCCTTTGCGCGGTTCTTGTAGTCGTCGTCGTATGTCTCGGGAACGCGTATCGGATCTTTATACAGGTCTTTGTGCTTCTCGTCGCGCTCCCACGAGCGGTGTGGCGCCTTGTGGTGGCACATTAGGAAGCAGGGCTTGTCGGTGTCATTGGTCTTTGAGATCCAGTCGAGGCACTTGTCGGTGATGATGTCCGTAACGTAGCCGTCTTCGATCTTCTCGCCCGTTGGCTCAATGAACTCGGGGTCCCAGTAGTTTCCCTGTCCGGGCAGGACAGACCAGTAGTCAAAGCCGGTGGGCTCATGTGGTCTGCCCTCGCCCAAGTGCCACTTCCCGACCATCGCAGTCCTGTATCCGCCGGTGCGCATATACTTCGCAACGTTCGGCAAGTGCTTGTTGATGTTGTCGTTCAGCGTCATGACGCCGTTGACATGGTTGTGCGTGTCAGTGAGAATAGCCGCACGGGACGGAGTGCAGATGGAGTTGGTGACATAGCAGTGGTTGAACTTCATCCCCTCCGCTGCGAGACGGTCAATATTCGGCGTGTGATTGATGCCAGCCCCGTAAGCGCTGATGGCCTTAGAGGCATGATCATCAGCCATGATGAAGACGATATTGGGTCTGGAGTTCGTCATTTTCGCTATTTGCGATAGAGAGATCAGCAACGGAAAAGGGTTGAGAAGCGGGAGAAGCAAAAGACACTCCAGTTGCTCGGAGGGTTTTAACGGCAACAGGTGACTGGACCGATAAAGCTTGGAATAGCTCCAGCCCTGGAACAATGCCCCTCCAAAGCTATGCCCCATGATCTCACCCATTAGCAATGAACCTCCTCAAGGAGTGTGGAATACGTGTTGACGCGGATTCAACATGGCATGTCACCCAGCCGAAACATCTTCAAAGGTATTTCTCGGGGTACCAATTAGAACGGAAGACCGGCACCCCTGTGCTTCGCCGGAGCTTACCCCATACGGGTCTCCCGGAGGCTTCGGTAGTCGGTCCGGCAACGTAAAGGGGAAAGTAGGGACACATCCGGCCTTGAGGCCATCACAAATTGAGCGTCCCGGCCGACTACCGGCATCCACACTCTCATTGAAGAGTGAAACCAGCGGGTCTTTTTCTGTTTGTCCATGGCTGACCCTAGCTCTCGGGAACAAGGGGCATATGGCGTGCTGGGAGCGTTCTTGAAATGGCTCGAGGAATTCGTTTGTTTAATCCTGTGATAGTCGGCCATTGGACGATTTAGAATTGCGTGCTGAGCCGCCGACGACAAATTGGTCAGAGCCGTTTTATTCTATGGACTTTTCGTACGTACCTCATCCAATAGATAAAGTCTCAAGTCTCGAGGTCTGGTGTCTAGTGTCCGAGGTGCCTGCCTCTCCGTACATAAGAGTGGCCGTTGCCTTTGAAGATCTGTCGTAGGGTATATATGGCGTTAATTGCTGCCCGTAATAAACGGCGTCGTTTTTGCGACAAGATCACCTAACGACTGCTCGGTAAATCAAACGAGTCTTGACTGCCGAAAGATCGCCTTTCAGAATGTCGAAACTGGAAATATTTTAAGCATTTTACCTCGTAGCTTTATGCTGCGTTGGTTCATTCTTGTTTGCATACGACACCGGTATCATTGGTGGCATCCTCACCTTCCAGGGCTTCCAGGAGGACTTTCGTTATGGCCCGTCCCAGAAGGCCACCGTCGGGTCGAAATCTACAAGTTTGTTGCAGGCAGGAGGTAGGCCACTAGTGACCCTTACTTTGGTCAGAGGTTCTCTGCTAACCGTGTCAAAACACCCAGCCTTCTTCTCCTGCTTCTTCATCTGGCCTTTTACTGCGAAATACGGCCGTAGATGGTCAATCAACCTCGCCTCGATAATATTCTGCGCCGGCGCAATCGTCCAAACGATCAACACCCACTCTCTAGCCGCCTTCTACGTCGCACGAGTTGTCAGTGGTATCGGCGTCGGCATGGCTACAGTCGTGATTCCCATGTACTCGGCAGAGATGGCCCCCAAAAACATCCGCGGGATGCTCGGCAGCATGTTTCAATTCTTCTTCACGATGGGTGTCATGACGTCGTATTTCATCGACTATGGCGTGAGCAAGCATGTCAAGTCATCTACCAGACAGTGGCAGATCCCTGTTGGGTTACAGCTTGTTCCTGGAGCAATTCTCGGGTTGGGAATGTCGTTTTGCAAAGAGAGTACACGATGGTTGGCCAAGACTGGGCAGAGGGAGGAAGCACTGCAGTCTCTCATTTGGGTCCGTGGCGGTGATGCGCCTGAAGTACAAGAAGAGTAAGTTTTTCGGTTCCTCGAAAATTGACATGGATATTGACCAGACCGCAGATTTGCCGAGATCATTGCCAGTATAGAACAAGAGAGAAATCAAAAAGAGGGACTCACTTGGAGAGAATTGATCCAGCCTGTCAACCGCTACCGCATCTTCCTCATCATTGTTCAAAAGTGTACATTATAGACTGCCTGACTTGTCGTACGCTATAATGGCGGCACGGCACATCATATGCCCAAAGGGCGCTCTGGTTGATCGGAGCTTAGTTACATAGATAGCTGGGCACCTGTCCCTGATGATGTAAAACACCACTACTACTACTACTACTACTGTTCTGCAAATCGGTACAGACTTCTCCACGATTTATCTTACAGGTTTTTAGCTTCGGCAACATACATCCCCTAGGCGTGCAACTTACCGGCAATACATCTTTGGCCTATTGTAAGAACCGATACCCAGGCTTCGACAATCCCTATTCTCTGTCACTATTTTTTGTCACTGACAAACCATTCACAGACGCCCCGCAAGTCTTCGCAGCCGTTGGCGCAGGACAGAATAACCTCCTCATCACAGGCTTCTTCGGCCTAGTCAAGGTCGTGTCGTGTCTCTTCTATCTTCTTTTCCTCGTCGAACGCATCGGACACCGCGGCTCGTTGTTGGGTGGAGCATTCATAATGGGGACGTACATGCTCATCATCGCCTGCCTCACCGCAACCCACCCGCCCAAGTCCGTAGACCAGGGCTTGACCTCGACGGCCATTGCCTCAATGACAATGATCTACCTTGAAGCCATGTCGTACAACATCTCATGGGGCCCAGCAACATGGGTAAGTTTTATCATTTTCTTCTCCTTTGGAAATGGACAGTTACGGACTGACCATAATTCAGGTCTACATGGGCGAAATCTTCCCATCCAGAATCCGCGAAGCCGGAATCGCCATCGGAACTTCAACACAATAGCTTTTCAACTTTGTCTTTTCTCAGGCTACGCCACACGCCGTTCGAAATCTCGGGTGGAAGACATTTCTGATGTTTTGCATCTTCAATTGGGCACTCGTGGTATTTGTCTGGTTCTTCATCAAGGAGACGAAAGGAAAATCTCATGAAGAGATGGACGCATGTAAGTTTCTTGCACGACGATTCCTAGTAACATCAGGCCGAATGCTAATATAGGTGCACCAGTATTGTCTGGAAAGTCTATCAGCAACGACACAGAGAATTCTGTCGAGAAGCACGCCGAAGAGAGGGAGCCCAATCCAGTCCTCAGAAATATCAGTGATAAGCTTCAATGAGAGTAAGCGTCATTTTCAGCATCATTCAGGAGCTACAAATCTCTCGCGACGAAGAATGCTTGCTAGGAAAGAGAGTCGAGTCAATGATACAAATAACGATTTCCAAACCTTCGCTCTTTCCACTAGTCAATGTTTAACGCATTTATAAAACCTCAATGTTCGCTATTGCACCCAACCCACCCACAAGTGACAGAAAGCTCCTTTCATCCTAGTGTCCAACGACGTCAAGAAGCTCCAGAAAGTCCTGCGTGTCATACTCCAAGACGCTACCCAGTCTCCATGTCACTACCATTTTACGTTTTCTGCCGCATATGCCGACTTTGTGTCTTCTACAGGCCCCTCCGTCATCACAGTGACACCAAGCGGGCTTCTCGATCGTCCGTATCGGGGATAGGGCATTCGAGAGCGTTGTCGATGGCGGGTCCGACTCTGCCGCAAAGGCTCTCGGAGCATTTTGCGAAGATATGTTCGGTTCCACTCGTGCGCATCTTCCCACTCGCAGAACTCTTGCAATTCGCGGAACTGATACCAGGTACCCTCCAAGAATCCGACCGAGATGGGGGATGGCTTCTTCACAACACCGGGTGTTACCACTTGCTGTTGATCGTCTTTGTGTGTCATGGCAGATTCAGATGAGCCTTCAAGTTGTGCCGCTTCAAGGGACCCGTCGTCTTCTCTCCGTGGCACACCTTCGATGATACTCTCAACATTCTCCACATGCTCGATATGAACCCCTGGGGGAAACTTCTTCCCGGAATTCCCTTGCTCTGTTGCTAGCAGTGCGCCACCCATTTGGATGTGAGCTTCTGGCTCGAACGGGGTTCCCGAGGTCGCTGTCTCTGGAGTTGATGTGCCCTCTAGTTTGCGAGCTTTAGTCTCTGATTCGCCCAGCACATCTTCCATCTCTGCATCACGCTGCTCAAGGTCTTCGGCATCGCCCATAGATGTATCTGAGTTGCTGGATTCTGTTTTCGGTGTCTTGTGGTTGTCTTGATTGGATCCGATGTTTGTGGCTGCAAACAACCACAAGAGAGTATTCATATCTGAACGATGGTCCGCTGGGTCATTCTCGTCGGGTGGTTGATAAATAAAGGGTATTCGTTCCTCGACCTCTTTTCCTTTTCCGCCTTTCGAACCCCTTTCGGAACCTTGTTCTGATGAATCATCCCAAAACTCCATGTCATCTTCTGCTCCCTCCGCCAGATCCCAGTCGGAATCATACGACACCTCCAGATTGGAGGCGGCGAACTCGGTAACCACGTCAAGACTGGCTCGTTCCAACGCCCCTTCGTATGCCCTTTCGAATATTTTGGCCTGCCTTCTGGCATCCCTGACCCGCATCGTGCGCAGTGTTGAGGAAAACATGACTGTGTAGGATAAAGGCTATATCTGGCGCGTGGATATAGATGCTGGGGATGGTCGTCGGGTACGAGGGATGCGGGATCTGGCTCGAGGCCGACTGATGTATGTGGATGGTTTGATGTTGAAGGTCGGATGCCGTTGTTGGGCGACCACCGGAGGGGGTGGAACTGGAAATCGCCTGTTTCGCTGGCGGTTTCCAAACACGGGAAAGAAACTGTCGAGGAAATTACGTGGTATTGTCTTTCCTTTAGAATTTTGGTGGTGATGCTTCTTGCCTGGGTTTTGACTGTTTGTGGGATGACTCCTTCCGCTTGACCCAAGCAAACTACCTTACTTTAGGTACTCTGCAAAGTTCAAGCCCTGGTGACTGCCACTTTTTTTTTTTCATTCTCTTGCCGAACAGAAGTCTGAGGATCTCAATGAACATAACTCTTGTCGCGATGTGAAAATTTGCCTCAAGTATTCACTGCATGCTTCACTTGGCTCTTGGTAGTGAATCACAATTTGAGCTTCCGTCTGAAGACTGACAGTGAATGTGAACCAAGTCATCTGGAAATGACATATAGGTGTTTGCAAATACACTCATCGCATTTCAAGTTCGTCGCATCTTCACTTTCGTCACATCTCTCATGTGATATGGAGTTAAGTAGAGTGAGATCAGTCCAGCTACTGCAAATGTCCATGTTAGGTATGTAGCCTTGCAAATATTTGTATACTATAGGGAAATTAAGGTTTGAGGTAGATGTCATATTTTCATTCCAGAGTTCTGAGGCCTTTGAGCTAGAAATAAAAATGATCAGGTTCTCGTTTGAACAGTCCATTTTCATTCACCTTCTCAATCATCATGAATAACTTGCATCACCGTATAGTGAGTTTCACGTCCAGGCTGTGGTTAATACTCTACGCCATGGCTTTTGAAATATACCTCCTATAATTGTACGCCAAGTGATGTTTAAACAGTTCCTTCTTCTCGATTTCTCCCAATTGTTACAAAGAATCTCCCAAATCTCTCATTCTTTCTCTTCATTCTTTCATTCCTCCATTATTTCGTTCTAAAAGCCCTGAGATGGTTCCCGCCTTATATCTTTATGCCATCAGGGACAATGAAGGCGCAGTCATCCCTTGCACTCGCCATTCTCAGCCAAGCTCATACACAACATGTGACAGGGCGATAAGTATCATGCTGCATCACCAATAGTCCACGGACGCCCTCGGAAGGCTCAGAGTCCATAGCATAGAACTGATCTTCCATGAGACTCCTCATCCTTCCGGCCTCCTCCGTGTCGATGCCCTCACCCTGCTGAGATTGATCAAGTCGGAAGAATTTTCACTGTTGCGCTGACCTTCCAACTTTTTATTCGTCAGTCAAGGTCTCTTTCTTGAAACTTTCCACCTCCCCAGCGGCCATCTCCACCCATATTTTCGATTCGCCCTCGAAATTTTCGCGAATTCGCCGAGATCATCAATCTCATACTTCTCTCACTTCATTTCTTATTCAAGAATGGACGAACGAATCAAGATTGAGTACCGCTTACTTAAGCATCGCCGGCGCGTCAACATCATCGCAGCGAAGGCTAGAAGACTCGCTCGGGACGGTATAAAGTACCGAATCTATCACAAGACTACCAACAGCACTCGACCCAGCACTCGCGAGCCAGAGGCGATCATCGATATCAGTGGACTTGATCAAATCATCAGTATCGATAAGCGCCGACGTCGCGCTGGCGTCGAACCCAACGTGTCAATGGAGGCTCTGGTCACGGCCACCCTCAAGCACGGCCTCATTCCCGCAGTTGTCCCTGAGTTCACCGGCATCACCGTTGGCGGCGCCTTTTCCGGCACTGCGCTCGAGAGTTCCTCATTCCGATACGGTCACTTCGGAAAGTCTGTGACTTCTGTCGAGGTCATCCTTGGAAACGGCAACATTGTCACCGTCTCGCCCGTCGAGAACTCGGACCTCTTCAGCAGTCTCTCGAGTCTCTGGTGCTTGTGGCACCCTCGGTATCTGCACGATTCTCGAAATCAAGCTTGTTCCAGCTCGTCAATTCGTCGAGCTCAAGTATCTCCCAGTCCATTCCGCAGCCGAAGCTCTCAATTCGATCAAGGACTACACCGCCAACACCTCGTTCATTGATTTCGTCGACGGTATAATGTTCGGCCCCAACGACGGCGCCGTTATCATTGGCACCATGACTGATGAGAAGAAGTCGGGCATGCCCGTCACTCGTTTCAGCCGAGTCCATGATCCGTGGTTCACTCTTCACGTGCACGAGTCTGTACCCCACGTCCGAGACGCTGACTGCAAGCTATGCGCGTTCTCCGAATCACGCTCAAGCTACAAGAGTAGCATCATCACCGAACTGGTGCCGATCAAGGATTATCTCTTCCGATACGACCGAGCCGCATTCTGGATGGGAATATATGGGCGCAATCCCAATGTCTTCAACGGTGTTACCCGCTTTATGCTGAACCCCCTGATGAAGGCGAAGTCCTTGTACGCTGGTCTTCACCACAGTGGCCAGGGCCAGTCCTTTTTCATTCAGGACATCACGCTTCCGGAGAATACTGTGAGGGCCTTCATCGACTGGACTAACGAGAAGTTCGGCATCTATCCCCTCTGGATCTGCCCTGTTAGAGCCGCAACCGACAGCAGTTCCCGCAGCAATCGTCACAGGATCTCCGACATGCTCGTCAACGTAGGTGTCTGGGGTCTCAAGACCATCCGCGGGCCCGATGACATCCCGAGCCTTGACGGCGCCGAGGCTTTTCAAGAGTTTGTCCGTGACAACAGGGCCATCGAGCAGGCGACTCGCGACCTGGGTGGTGCGAAGATGCTGTATGCCACCAACTACTACACGGAGGAGGAGGAATTTTGGAGAATTCACGACAAGGAGGCGCACGATGAGCTTCGAGACAAGTGGGGTGCCTCCGGCCTCCCCAGCCTCTGGGACAAGCTCGGCAATCCCAATCCGACCTACAAGGAGAAAAGCTCTCGTTTCAAGGTCGTCATGAAGACTCTCCTGAAGCGCAACTATCTCCTCAAGAAGTGACAAGCGAGCGGGCAAGACACAAGGCGAGAATTAAAGGACTGGGATGAGGTCTGAGGATGAGGCAGCATTCAATCAGCACTTTGTCTGAATACGGGACGAGGTCTTAGGGTCAATATGGAAAAGAGTTGGTTTGATGATAGTCGGAAGACGTAATGGCAGGGGAAAAGAAGCGAATGGGGGAAAGATATGTGTTTCGCGAGCACTAGGTTCGTGGCTGGACGCATTCTCTCCAACAGACAGAGAGACAGAAGAGAGCATTATCAGATCGGTAGTGGATAGGAAATCCACATAGTAAACGTCAAATTCCTTCTCTCCCGTGACTGACGTCCAGGGTTCCCCACAGAATCGTCGGGATCGAGGCGTCTCCGAACATCAGACGATGTAATAGGTGTTTGGATTTGGCGGGGTTTGAACGCACGCAGATCTCCAGATCCCGGAGATCCACAAACGGCGATGGACCCCGGCCAGCTGCACGTTTGGAACCGTGCCGCTGCCGGGAAGACGGGAACTAAATTAAGGACACCCACAAGATCTCGCCTGATCGACCCGGAGGAAAACGGCAGTCGGGGTGGTGTTTACGTCAGAGGGAACATGCCATTCTGCAACGCGGCTTTTGCCCAGCTTTCCCGTGACTCCCGGACGAAGTTCGCATGGCTCGGAATTACTCCCAAGGGGACTGCTTAATGCACGTCCTCCGAGTCTTTACTACCTGCCACTTGTGAGTAGCGATGTTAGTATCCGCATTGCCTGAGTCGTGTCAGAGCCCATCCGGTTGTTTACCGCTCGTCAACTCGGAACTTCTCGAACATCAGTTACGCCACAAAGGGATTGGCGGCCTATGGAAATGAACTGTGCAACAGAAACTTGCTCGACTCGGGCCCGAGTGCCCGGGTCGCATCAACAACCACCACCACAGACGGCGTTTGTAGCGTAAGCGAACAACGTACAGCACATCAACGTTGATGAACTCTGAACTGCAAGTGACCAAAAGCGTTCTGCAAGATGGTTCGCAAAGCCCGACGGCGAAGAACTGGACAATCCATCTCAACAAAGTCAGTTTCTAGGGGAAGAAGAAACCATAAAAAGGCTTCAACATCACCACTTGGTTCATCTCTTGTTCCTTCCAGACCATCACACTCATACAAGATCATCAATCATCAGGACTACTAGTCTCATACAACTATCAACTCAACTTACTTCGAACCTTTTCGATACCAACAATTCGTCATCATGCCTATCACCAAGTACAAGGCCGCCGCCGTCACCTCCGAGCCCGGTGTAAGTCTCAATACCATATTCCCTCCTTTCCACAATAATACTGACTTTCCTAGTGGTTCGACCTTGAGGGTGGTGTTCAGAAGACCATCAACTTCATCAACGAGGCCGGCCAGGCTGGCTGCAAGCTTGTTGCCTTCCCCGAAGTTTGTAAGTCACTTCGCCTAACCCTAAACATCTTCAACATTCTAACACCTCTCCAGGGATCCCCGGTTACCCCTACTGGATGTGGAAGGTCACCTACCTTCAGTCCCTCCCCATGCTCAAGAAGTACCGTGAGAACTCCCTCCGCGTCGACTCTGAGGAGATGCGCCGCATCCGTCGCGCCGCCCGCGACAACCAGGTCTTCGTCTCCATGGGTTTCGCCGAGCTTGACCACGCCACCCTCTACCTCGCCCAGGTCTTCATCGACCCCACCGGCGCCATCATCAACCACCGCCGCAAGATCAAGCCCACCCACGTTGAGAAGCTCGTGTACGGTGACGGCTCCGGTGACACCTTCATGTCCGTCACCGAGACCGAGATCGGCCGCGTCGGCCAGCTCAACTGCTGGGAGAACATGAACCCCTTCCTCAAGTCCCTCAACGTCTCCCAGGGCGAGCAGGTCCACGTTGCCGGATGGCCCATCTACCCCGGCGTCCAGCGCCAGGTCTCCCCTGACCCGGCCACCAACTACGCCGACACTGCCTCCGAGCTCGTCACCCCCGCCTACGCCATCGAGACCGGCACCTGGGTCCTCGCTCCCTTCCAGCGCCTCTCCGTTGAGGGTCTCAAGAAGAACACCCCCGAGGGTGTCGAGCCCGAGACCGATCCCTCAGACTACAACGGCCACGCCCGCATCTACAAGCCCGACGGCAGCCTGGCTGTCCCCAAGCCCGACAAGGACTTTGACGGTCTCATGTTCGTCGACATCGACCTCAACGAGACCCACCTCACCAAGGTCCTTGCTGACTTTGCCGGCCACTACATGCGCCCCGACCTCATCCGTCTCCTGGTCGACACCCGCCGCAAGGAACTAGTCACCGAGACCGACCCCCAGGGCGGCATCGCTTCCTACAGCACCGCCCACCGCCTCGGCCTGGACCGCCCCCTGGACTCCAAGCCTGAGCTCCACGAGCGCGACGAGCAGGAGACTGCCAAGCGCATCTCCAAGGAGCCTGCCGCCAAGGCTGTCAAGAAGCTCTAAATGCTTCAGCTGGCTTTTGGTAGCAACCCGGATCACTGAACACTGGTATCCGCCTGTAATATTCTCCTTTGTACTTTAGACGACGATTAGACTGTACATAGAAAATCTCATCTCGGGTCTTTTGGCCTCTTTGAAACAAAAGTCTACAACTGATGACTACCTTATTGAGTATGTTTCTGAAAGTGCGCCAAGCTCCCCGTTTGCTCCGATGAAAAGCTACTATTGATCCGCTCAACCTTGTCTCCTTTCACGTCTCCAGAACTCACACTCTCCCCGTTGAGGCGAGCAAGTTTTCCGGCCCCACGTTGCGACTTCGAGATGATCGGCCCACCACAGACGGCGCGGGGTTTGAAACTGAGGGGCAAACCTTTTGTCTCCGTTGCTTTCCGCTGCCATCCTATGGCACCAAAATATCCGTGCTTCAGCACCTTTGACTAAGACAACGGAAACATTTCGTAAAGTTTCCGAGATCTTGTGGTATTAAAGCATCACAGTGATAACAGCATCAGCATCTGCGTCTTTGCTACCAATCAACCCGCCTCGCATGATCACAATGTTGGCAAATATCCTGCTACCATGGGTTTTCATGACCATCTCCTTGGTCTACCTATGGCTCACCATCTTCAAACTCGCCATCACCGGTGACTTCAAGACCCTTCTGTCCTGGTCCGCACTCAAAGAGGCCTGGTTCGGCGAGTTCTGGAAATTCATGGGGCCCAAAGCCAAAGCCAGCGCCGAGGACAAAGTCATGCCACTCCTCGAGGGCCGGATTCGTAAAGGGCGGGTATCCGAAAGGGGGGCCAGCAAGCCCATCGAGGGTGTTGTCCTCGAAATTGGAGCCGGGAGCGGGATGTGGACTCAATCGCTCGCCACCGTCGTCCGAGCCGCAAAAGCCGAGTCCCGTGCAGCCCCGACCAAGATCTACGGCGTTGAGCCGAACCCGGTGTCCGCTGCATCGCTGAAACGACGTGTCGAGGAGGTCGGCTTGAAGGGAACTTATCAGGTTGTGCCAGTGGGCATTGAAGATCTTCAAAACGAGTCGGCCTGGGGCGGACGTATCGAACCTGGTAGCGTCGACTGTATCATGACCGTTCAGTGTCTCTGCAGTATTCCGGAGCCTGAGAAGAACATACGACTGCTTTACAACTACTTGAAAAAAGGTGGTCGGTGGTATGTCTTTGAGCATGTCAAGGCGGAGCAAGGGCTTCTCATCCCACTTTTTCAACGTTAGAACCCTTCTTCTCGATACTTACCTTTAGGTGCATAGGTGACACTGACGTTTCTTTTCAGGCTTCACAAACATCTTCTGGGAGCACATGATGGGTTCTTGTCAATTGTGCCGATCGACGGGGCAAACCTTGCAGAGTGTTGGCTCGTGGAGTGATGTGGACTTGGCTCAGCCAGCGGGTGAGTCGAGTAGCGATGTGATCCCCCATGTCGTGGGAGTCCTCACCAAGTAGTCGGTTACTCGAAGCTGCTTTCAGAGTAGGAATCGAGGTGAAAGAGTCTAGAATGACATCAAAGGTGGCCCCGTGCATCAATCATGGAAACTACGTGATCCCCTTGCTCTCATGCAACGACACGTTTTCTTTCATCCACGGATATTATCAAACATTGAATTCAAGTATTGTAGATTTCATACTTCTGCGAGGTGTGCCCTGAGGTCTGGACCGAGCATCATCATGCAGTCCTCAGGATGACCTTAATCAGTATCCGATAGCCCAACAAGCTTGAGTCCCAGAGGCCACAGCTTCTCGGCTTTCTCCTGATCATACGCCCAAGTAGCGTATCCAGGGCCAATTTCACCAGTCGCGGGGTCCCAAGCGCCAATGATCTGGCAGTCCTCCAGATACTTTCCACCCAGGCCCTCCAAGTCCTTACTGACCGCCGCCCACACGGTAGTCGCTGCTCCTTGCTAAGCACTCTTCCAATGCTTGGCAAAGGTCTCAATCTTCCCCCATGCCGCCTTGAGCTCGTCCGGTACATGTTTCTGAAGACCGCTAAGAATGCCCCCGGGGTGAAGACTGAAATCATGGAGGCCCTTTGAACCGTATCGACGTTCCACTTCGTTGGCCATCCAGACAAGGGCAGTCTTGCTCTGGCCATACGCCATCCAGGGGTCGTAGTTTCCAGTCCAGTTCAGGTTATCGAACTGAACCTCGCAAGCTCTGTGCATGCTTGAAGAAACATTGACTAGGCGTGAAGGGGATTCCGGGGTCGATGAAGCAAGAAGGATAGGGTTCAGAAGCTGGGATAGGAGGAAATGTGCGAGATAGTTGGTGCCAAACTGGGTCTCAAAACCATCGGCAGTCTTTTCCTCAGGAGTCGCCATGACACCCGCGTTGTTGATAAGGATGTTCAAAGTCTTGCTCTTCGTCGCGAACTCTGCGGCGCACGCCCTGACACTGGAGAGGTCGTTCAGATCAAGAGTCAGGAGATGGACTCGGTCGTTCTGAGACATGTCGCCCAGGGTAGCTCTCGCCTTGGCGGGATTGCGAACCGCCAGGTACAGCGTTGCACCAGTCGCTAACAGCGCACGCGCGGTCTCAACGCCCAGACCGGAGGAACAGCCAGTGATGAGGACGACCTTGTCCGAGAGTTTGCCTTCGAGGCACTCGTCTTGGATGATTTGCAGAGCTGTGGGACGAGCATCCCCAGGGCCCTGAGGAGAAACGTGGGAAGAAGCGTACTTGGAAGACATTTTTGGAGAAGTTTTGGACTGAAGTGCTGTTTATTGGTCTTTAGGGGTGTATGGAGATGAATTTATGACGAAGTGTGATGTGCTTTCGATTTCCATCAGGTCGAGTCGAATCGAACACCCCTTTATAGTTGAATTTGAGACATACTTCACAAGAACACATGCATGCAGACAACGTCTTCTCTCTCGGAATTAATCTTGATAAGTCCAGAAAGTTTCTATCCACCGGCCTTCGACTTAACTAAAGCTGCGTCGTCTCATTGCCGCGTCGCCGCTTCGCGGCTCTCTGTCCGCTAGTAAATGCGCGGCATGCGGCCGCATTGCCCGCGTTGGGATACCCAGCTTGGAACATAGGGACCTCATCTCACGAAGCTTGAAAAGAAGCTCCAAAGTTTACAAGAAACTAGCTGTCCTTGCCTGTACTTTATTTTTTTGCTATTCAAAGGAAAGATCAGCTTGGATTAATCTTGCTGCACACCGCAGACTCAATGTCTTCCGCAAACTAAGGCGCTGCGAGCGGCAGTGTCGGCCGCTTCATCTGTCCACAGCCAGACCAGGCAAGACGAAAGGTTAATTGTTCCATTGCGCATTAAACCATCACTGATGCTACTATCTACCAGCTCCATGCAACTACTCGTTTCTTCTCTTTGGTATTCTGATCACTTCGATCCACGCCTGTACTCACTACGCAAAGATGGTAGGCTTCATCACGTCCGTCCGACGTAAAGCCATGGTTTTCCTAATTCGCTTCCTTTCCGGACAGCTTACAGCAGAGCTTGACCTTGACGAGATCACCCAGCTCGAGGTTGATTCGCGCGATCAAGATCGAAAGATCAGGATCCACGTCTATGACCATCCTCTACCTGATGCCAAGAGCGGACCAAGACCGGTCCTTATCAACTGGCACGGCAGCGGGTTCCTGGTTCCCGCTCTTGGGAGCGATGCGGCCTTCTGCAGCACTGTGAGAAAGTCCACGGGGATGATTGTAATCGATGCAGACTACCGCAAAGCACCCGCGGATCCTTTCCCTGCGGCTACTGATGATGCATTCGACATCCTGCAATGGGTTTGCGGTCAGCCTGAAAGGTTTGACTGAACAAAATCTTCTCGTCAGGCTTCAGCGCTGGCGGCAACATCGCCTTGGTCACTTCAACCGCAAGCTGTCAAAGCCAGTCACTCACGGCAGCAATCCGTGGAGTCCTCGCCCTTTATCTTGTCACCGATCAGCATAAGCCGCCAGAGGAGAAGAAAGCACCCTCGCCAATCCGGCCTATTCAGCCGTTCGTGGCCAACTTTATCGCGGAATGTTACATACCTGTCTCTATTCGGAAGGATGATCCTCGCATTTCACCCACCTTTACCGATGTCGACTTATTCCCCCAAAATATGCTCTTCATAACCTGTGAAGGAGACAACTTGTGTTTGGAAGCCGAGCAACTGGCGTCCAAGATTCATGAAACTGGTCGCAATGTCATCAGTCGGAGGTTCGATGGTGTTGCTCACGCTTGGGACAAATCTGTCAAGGCTGGCACCCGCGAGGAGGAGACCAGGAACGAAGCGTATATGATAGCAGTGGAATTCTTACGCGAGAACATTGCTGTGTAAATACCTTAGACCACTTTATAGAGCAATCTGAATTGTTTGAAGTCACACTTGAGACAGTCAAAGATAGCAACCATCGGTGTTAAATGCTAGACTATCGCGGCTTACTCGTGCATGGTTGTGCGATTTGAACACGAGGAGCAGCATCAATCATTTCAATTAATCTCAGCAATATTGGCGGTGTCTTTCTCAATCACCAAGCACTTGGCTGTTACTGTCTGACGGAAGAAAAAGATCTGATGGTATCCACAATGCAACTTTCGAACCCCGCGTACTTCATGCCCAGTATCTCGACGCTGCGTGTGGTATCCATTTGGTACACCTCTTTGGGGAGTTCTAGAGAGCAGTCAGCACTGAACGATTTTTGAGTATAAAGCCCACGTACCACCGCCCTTGGTGCATCTTGAAGGCAAGACTGATTTGTATTCCGGGAAGTGTTTGCGAATGATGTTGATGATCTCATGGTTTGAGCAGTAGCCGTTGGTGATGAAGAAGCGCTTGTTGCCGGCCTCTGCCTTCTCCATGGCTGCTACGTGAGCAAATGCCACGTCTCGAACATCGGCAAAAATGGGGTTCTGATATTGACACTTGATGTTAGCCGAAGCGCATCGAATAGAGACGCATTGTCATTCGGAGACATTGACTGACTTGCGTGGGTGGGATCTCCTTCTTTGCCGCGCCTAAGATGAAGCTGCGGATGAACTGATTGGAGGTATTAAGAGCACCAAGGGACGCCAGGTTCTGCACAGCAGGCCCAAATACGAGGGGTGGAAGGATAGTCGAGATGGAAAACGCAGGAGACTCGTTGGCAAGGAACTCCTAGGCTGCCTTCTCAGCAAACTTCTTGCTCGCTACACACAAGTTAGCTTCCATACGATCTCTCGACGGTAGGATTCAACATACCAGAGTACCCAGCGCCTGGGCTCTGCAATGCTTGCTCCATTGTGATGAGGTTCCAGTCGCTCTCATTGTACGTGTGACCTGGCCAAAGACCCTTGGAAACATCCATGATAGAACCAAAGGATGATGTGATGACCACGCGCTTGACTGAGGGGGCATTCTGTTTGATTGCTTGGAGGAAACCGGTGGTTCCATTGATAGCGGGATCGAGGAGATCCGCCTTGATATCAGTCACGTTGAAGTGAAAGGGGCTCGTAGTGTGAATAACTGCCTCAAAGGGTGGGTCAGATTTGACGGCATCGGTAAATGCATCGCTCTTGGCTACATCAGGTACAATGGCGAAAGACAGCCTGTCGGCTCCGATGTCAGGATATGACTGCTTGATTGCGTCTGCTTTGGCCTGGTTTCGGACGCTTGTGACCACAGAGTGTCTACGTGAGTGAGTTTAGTTGAGAACAGCGCGCATGCTTTTCGTCCAAGAAATGGAATGTCTCATACCCGCGCTCAAGAAGAAGCTTTATGATGTGCGTGGCAATGAAGCCACTGCCTCCAGTGAGAAGAACTCTGGTCATTTTGGCAAGGTCCGATTTGTAATGATTCTTGAAAACGCCAAGGTAATTCAATGTTGATGAAGAAGAGATGCCAAACAAGTCGTGTATTATTTCCAATACGATCAAAATTTGCTACAGAATAATTGACTATTAAATATGGGGGACTATAAGGCACGTGTAAGTCAACTGTTTTCGCACGTAGTCTTGTTCTTGACGGACTTAACATCTGTACGTCAGTCGTCCAGACGGATATAGGAAAACGTCTTCCCGTCTCGCTGACACGCCCGTGCTTCCTTGCCTACTGTAGCTTATGGATGCTAGAGAGGCAAAGAAATAGCTTTCACTCCACAATGACTCTCCATCTTCCTTGGCTGTAGCTCCTAAATGGCCTTGCCCGGCAGTTAAACCGGCATGGCGTTGGCGAAACTGAGCTGACGGATCCGGCCCCGGACTCGGACATTACAGGCACCTACAGACAGCTACGTACGCGTATCTACCCAATCACAATCCGAGCCATACACATTACTGTCTATCCGATGAACTGTATGGACATCCTTTAGAGTAAAGATTCAAGAAGACGGGAGAAAACCCACGAGATAAAAGAGGAGAGCGGCTTGTTCCGCACGATTGTCTGCTCACTCAAGGAATCGGGCCGCGACTTGACTCAAGCACCCTTACCCTTGTCTTACAGTCTTGTTTGCTACTATCCTGATCTATCGTGCAGCAATTTCAGGCGTCAGCTGGTTGCATCACGGCTTTAATTTCGACCGTAGAGACCGGATTTTCAACGGAGTGGCCCACAATGCATACGTAGTATTGAAGCAATCCAAACTGTCAAGGGCTTCTCAGCATGGCGAAGAGAGGCAGGCCAAAACGCAGTAGAAATATCACGAAGAAACCACTTTCCTCCTCCGAGAAGATTCCGTAGCACGCACTCCTCATCCACTTATTGTCATCCAAGAGACAACATTTCTACTCTCCCAAAGATGAATTCTCTTATTTTGCAGGTGCCGTCACGCTCGCCTGCACTTCACTCAGTTCAGCGTCACGCGTCCAAACAGGCAATGCTTCGACGAGTCTTCCAATCGTAGACCTGGGCTATGAGCTCCACCAAGCTTCCAACTTCGATGTAAGTAAAAGCTGGTACTTGACCCTTCATTGCTCCAAAGGGGGCAGTTGACTTCGCGATGCTTGAAACTCACCAATTACAGACCTCAAGTCAAGCATACAAATTTTCCAACAGTCGATACGGAGCACCGCCTATCGGCGATTTCGCTTCGCCGCGCCGGTACCTCCTGCAACGGACAGGTCTGTCGTGCAGAAGGGTGAAGAGGCCCGGATCTGCCGGGCTGCCCTCAGGCCCTGCCAGAATGGACACCGGGTCTTCTCGAACAAGCGTACCAGTACGTACTTGGTTCCAACGTCTCGTTATCTGGCGGCCAGCTCCTCGACTCGAGAGCCAGCGAAGACTGTCTGTTCCTGGACGTGGTGGTATCGAAGAAGATTTTCGATGCAACCAAGTCAAATGAGACTGCTACCTTGGCACCTGTAAGTAGAGGTTCCCGTAATCCATGCACTGCCATCATGGTCAAAGAAGCCCGAGTCAAAGAACCCCGAGCTGACAGGGACGAATCAAACAGGTTCTTGTATGGATCTACGGCGGTGGTTACGACACTGGCTCCAAGGCTGGGCTCAACAGTGGCTCGCCTGCAGGCCTTTTGAGGCAAGGCAACCATGATTTCGTCTATGTAGCTCTCAACTACCGCCTCGGTGCCTTTGGGTTCCTTAGTGGTCCCGAATTCACAACTCAGGGAGGCGTTACCAACGCGGGACTCCTTGATCAGAGGCTTGCACTGGAGTGGATTCAACAAAACATTCATCTTTTCGGCGGAGATGCGGCACACGTGACTCTTGCAGGAGAATCCGCTGGAGGGTCGCTTGTCTATCAGACAACTGTGAGTTAAAGCACGTCATTCAGTCATCCGCGGTGAACACTTCTGATTCTGGAGCATCTTAGGCTTTCGGGGGCTCCCAAGGCTCTGTTCCGTTCCAACAGATTATCCCACAATCCCCAGCAATCCTCCCATCCCCCCCAGCTCAAAGCCAGAACAACATCTTTGCGGAATTCCTATCCCGTTTGAACGTCAGCACCCTTGCCGAGGCCAGGCAGCTTCCTTTCTCAGCGGTTATCGCAGCCAATTACGATCAGGTCTTTGCCGGCCGCTTGGGAAGTTTCACATTTAGTCCCGTAGTCGATGGCGTCTTTGTCCCCGCTGAGCCCGCGGTGTTGATATCGGAGGGCAAATTCGATACCAAAGTCAAAGTCATGGCCGGCTCAAACACCAATGATGGTCTCTTCTTCGGTTCTTTCAACATCACAGACGACGCCGACTACCGCGAATGGATGTCTTCTATCCTCCATGGCGCCAGCGCCGACTCGATCGATTACATGGCAACGGACTTATACCCACCCATTCTCAACGGCTCTTATGGATACACGGATCACATCTCCCGCACTGCACTCACCATGCAGGACCTACTTTTCCGGTGCAATGGTCTTGCCCTTGCTAGATCATTAAACGGCACGACTCATCAGTACGAATTTGGCGTCTTTCCTGCCATGCACGCCGAGGATGTTGCATACACCTTTTCCGACAACGGAGTTGGCATGTCTAGCCCAGAGACTGCCATCGCCCTGCAGCGATACATGACCAGCTTCACTCTTAGCGGAAATCCTCATGGACAGGGGGTTACGGAGTTTCCCATGTACGGAAGAGATGAGAATGTCTTGCTCATGAACGCCACCGGCCAGTATGTCAGCCATTGTGACAGCTTGGCGACCGGCCGTTGCATCGGTCGTGACAGGGTGATTGCGTCTCTTGCAGTTTAATCAAGTCATGGCTCTTGCATAGATCTCTTCAGTACTTGGGGTAGAGGGGACGACACTCCAAGGGTCGCTGTGTAAGATTAGAAATAAATTGCTCATGGCATTTGTCTAAACCTTCTTTGGAACGAGGGGTAGTTGTAAAATAGTTCCTGTGAATGATAACTTTTACTCCTGGCTATGTTCTCCATCACATTAAGTCCTATAGCTCATGCCCTCGGCTGTTCTTCGTCATAAGTCATGTGAAACGCTGTCGTCTTCCTTATAGCCCGATGATCCTCCACCTCCTCGCTCGGAGTCCTCACACGCCTTTCGTCGGCGGCAGTAGGCAGGATGTACTCCTCGCTCGTATCGTCCCCAACCTTCGGTCTAGCATGCACACTCGTCAGATGGATTCCCTTCTTTTCTTCGCGGCCCTGATATGGGTGCCAGTCGTTGCGGCTCGTACCGGCGTGGATGAAGTTGCTTTTGTTCGTTCGTGGCGCGGAGCCTGTGTTGTAGCTGCCGGCAGACGAGCCTTTCTTGGTTACGAAGTAGGTCGGGAAGAGGTAGGTCAAGGGAAGACGGCACATGGGCAGGCAGGCGCAGATGATGGCGACGTTGTCTTCGACGACTGTCCAGAGTGTTGAGGCGATGTCGACTACGTTAATGTGTCAGCGTTTGAACCTACATAGAGTCATTACATCACTTACAAGTGGTGTCCGGGCTCGTGGTGGAAAAGTTCAGCGTCGTCATGCGCAAGATACTTGTGATGGTGACGAAGAGGCCCAGAGCAAATACAATCATGAGCAGCCTCTTCTGGTTGATGGGGAGTTTCGACTGCCACAGAACATGTTGCGGCAGTGCCATGATAAGAATATCGGTGGCAATAGAGAATCCTGCATTCGCATACCAATTCATGGTAAGCGAAATACAAGTACCAGGAATAGCCTTGTCCCAAGCCCTCGGGATAGGGGTGCACTGCCATATCGAAGAGGCCGAGGTCGCTACCATGTAGGCCAGGATGATGCTGAGAAGCGTGTAGCAAAGGATCCGGAAGTACCGTTGGACAAAGATGCGAAGATATAGGAGTAAGATGGATGCCTTTGTGAGATTGATGGTGATCTTGTAGAAGATTTGGGCAACATAGAACAGCTATCAAGAATCAGACATGTATCCACTTAGGCTTCATTACAACCGAACGTTATGAGATGTCGCCAACTACATACCTGTAAAGTCATCACCTTGTTAGGTTTGGACAGATTCCTGATGTGTTGTCCGAACCCATACTCGCAAGAAATCATCATCAATATCGACACGATCAGGCAGCAGATCTTAAGAGCGTCAACAAGGTACCATTTTATCGAGTGTCTAACAGAGTAGTAGACTTACAAAAGAGAAGAGAATAGTCCAGTCGTCCCAGCCAAGGCCAGATCTCATCTCGATCCTTGACCAAAACCGGATGCCCACGAAAACAGGCGTGAGAACGAAGAAGACGATGGCCGGCACCTGCACCATGAGTGCATTGCTCTCGCCGGGAATGTTCCCCTCAACCATGGCGAAAGTGCAGTGAGGTCGAGGTTGTAGGAGATGAGGCTGGTCTGATGAGGTTGTGGGCCCCGAAAGGCCAACGGTCTGTGGGCACGACACCAGGATATCGGAAGATGATATATGCAGATCGAGGAAGAATCCAATAAGCCGGGACGACTGGGTCCCCACGAACGGTTATATGTTCATGCCCAGACCTCTCTTGTGCAGACTTTGTGGCTTTTGACTAGGGAGAAACCCGTCCACCCAAGTCCGAAGGATTCGGTAGTCTTTCCGCAGTAGAAAAGGGGAAGGCGGAAATTCTATTGGGTGGCATTAAAGTGTGAAAACAGTAGGAGACAACGGCGGCCCCCGTGTATGTCTGCCGCCAGGCACAAGTCTACAAAACTCTCTCTCGCCCGTAACGCCCTTGCAGTGAGACCGAAAAGAAGGGTGGCGCGGAACGGGCGTGACAGTCTGCAGACTACTGCAGTAGTCGGAGGATCAGTCAGCCGTCTGCCAACATGCGTCTTCATTTACAGGAAAAGAGGTTGAGTAGCCAACCATGAGGTTCGCCAAGGGGTGGACGTGGGTTTGGGGGCCAGATGGAGGGAGACCAGGGCTGGGGATACATGAAGACAGAAAACGGCCGATAAACTAGATTACCGATCGCGAGACTACCAAGAGAAAAGGAACTCTGTACCCTTGTATTTGCCCGCAGGTCAAGGGAGAAGAAGAGTAACCACAAAAGGGTGGATGAATGGGTCACCGCATCCGTGGATGCCAGGATCAAACTCTGGACCGTCCACGACATCTTCCACACAAAACGTTCGATTCTGGAGCAGTCCGGGTTTCGTTAAAATGAATAGGTAATCGCTGAGGAATTTCTTCGGTGGCTCTCAAACTGATGTCGAATAAAAGTTTGCCGATGTTTTGTTCTGGTTCTATGCCCTGGACTTAATTAAGTATGCCATACCAATCAGGCGGAAGCTTGAAGGGATTGACCAGTGAAGGTGTTCGACAGAAAGGCCTGCATGAAAGAGAACGGCCTTGAGAGTCCAAAAGAGATGTCCAACGAACAAGTACCTAGCCGGGATCATCCAGGCACCCTCATCTTTGTCACTCTTTGCCTCTACATCTTGACATCTTGAGGAAGTGGTCTAGACACAGGCATCGGACAGCGATACCAGTTAGGTTAAGCCTGGCTCTACCATTCTTGAAGGAGGGACAGTGTGCCCGCAGCCCGGGTGATGCTTATAATTGCTGGGAAATGAGGCGCAGATGGTTTTGTACCATCGATCCTGGACCAACAGGGTTTCACATGTCGAGGGAGTCGATTCTACTGCTTTCTTTTTCTCGTCAGATTCTTCAACATCCACCAGACCGGTGGTTCAGATTTTGTTGGATGAGGGAATGGGGCGTGGAGAGTTTATGGGGTTCTGTAGCGGATTCCGGTGGTTCTCTTCGCATAAGCTGAATGGCTTTCCCCCTTGTTTGTCTGACAAGATCAGCTCACTCATCAGAGGCTTTTTGTGCTAAGAATCTTTGTTGGAACTCGTCATGAGACTACGCCACTATTGACTTGTACAACGTATAAGAAGCGCCGCAGTCCAGTTATTGGCGTCGACGAGATCCTTCGATAGGCACTTCGGAATGTTACTCGCCATCTTGCCATCAAGTTCTCGTTGTGGCTTGCTGTTCATCTTGGGTAAATTGAAGTTGCATGCGACCATCAGACAGGTTCGTTTAAAGTTCCCTGCCATCCGTAGCATCCGGAGGCCCGTCTGTGCGCCCTGGGGCCCGTCGTTCTTCGGGCCCTAATACTACCACGCCACCACATTATCGTCCGCCTTGTGGTCCCTTTGCGATGCCTTTAGGTGGGCTTTGTGAGCTTGGGGGCTGTTGGCGCCAACGTCCCGTTCTGGTTCCCGCTCCCGCCAACTCAATTTGGTGGGATGTCCGTCTGTTCTCGTTACAACCACCCGCCGCGATTGAGATCTGACATCCGATGCTACTTGAGGTCAGTGATGGTGACGACGTGTCCGACACTCAGTGTAAGATGAGGTGGTATTCTGGCTGAACTTGGCGAACAGATAAGTCGCTCCAACAGAAGAGGCAGCCGTTACTCTGGCCACCGAGATACCCTTATGATGCAGTTACTCGATAGAGCTCTCGGTCAACGGCGCTGAGTTTCCTTTCTGGGCAGCGATGTTCGCCGTGTGGTGTGTGCGGATTTCCTCCGGGCCGCGCTTGGCAAACCCCAAGTTCCGTGGTTCTCCAGGTGTCTTTTGATAAAGATATGCAGGCCTCAGGGCATAGAATCCTCCTTTGCTAGGCCTTCCCGATTTGGTCATCCTGGTGGGGAGGGTGGATGAATACATGTATGTACTGTACGGAGAAGTGATCGAAGGATTGTGCTCTGAAGGATTTTCCCCTCCTCTCAATGTTCTTCTGAGACTAATGCCCGCCGCGGATAGCCGGGACGAAGCACTAAAAATGCAAGCATCCCTGTCATCAGCAACAGCTTAAGGTGAAGTTGCTGCGGTCTAAGTCGGAAGAGGCTGGTGTTCTTCACCTGAACATGGCGGAGGTCTCGAAGAGAAATTTGCAAATACGTAACGACGGACGGTCCAACAGACCGACGAAATACGAGCTACGAGCGACAGTCCGGCTGATATAGCATGGCTCCTGTCTTATTGACGTTCGACCGATATTCCATGTCACCGAGCCGCCAAGCTCTCGGCTGGTCTGCGACGACATACGAGCGAGCGTTCTCCTCAGTCGAACGGGTACTGGCGACCGCGCCTGCACTGGGGAAACATCTGTCTATGAATTTCAATCATGTACAGCAATTGTGATGAGGGCTGTCATTGATGGAAACCGAGATCTGTGCAACGCCGATCAAGCTTCTCGCCGATTCTGCTGTCGCCTCAACTGCGCATCGCAGGTCGATAAGAAGAGACACCGTGCCTCTTCAGAAAGCTCAAGTTCCATGGAGTGTGGACGCCTCTGAGGCCAAGAACATGGGTTATCAGGATTGCGCACCACCGCACGTCACAAGGGTTCATCTGTGTGAGATACCCTACCCCATAATCGTGTTGGTGACGACCAGGCCCCTGCAAATGTCCTCCTAATATATCGTTATTCCCGGCCGAAATCCTACTGATTCTGTCCGTCATGATCTCAGCGTGCTTCCCCAGGCCAGTGATCGCTGGAACTGCGCGAACGATCCCACCTTGCCTGAGCCAACCGTCGATGTTGCCAATCCATTCGCCATGTTTACTATTGTAACTCACAGATCGGTGGCCAATTATACGGTGGTCACATACCATTAGAGACAGAGATCATTGACGTATTGGATCTCTCGCAGTCCAACCATAACACAAGGCCTAAACAAGCCCGTCTGAGCCACCGACCCGGGCCGTACCCTCAGCGGCCGGCTTGAACGGCGCAGCACCCGACATGAAGAAATGGCGCCAGTCCACCTCACCGTCCGGGCATACTCGCCAGCGGAGCCGAGTCTGTCAGGCCCACTGGACAGCGGAGATTAGGGTGTCGAAGCCATCGAATATGGAGTTCGCCTTCCGCAGTTATGCGGCCCAAAAAGGCACGGCGTCATGACCGGCTTCTGTCTTCCTCCATCCCTACCTGTCTCCCTCCCTAAGTCCCTCCCTCACTTCTCCATCTTTTATGTGCATGTTGCAGCTATTCCATGCCTAGCATGCCCACCATGTGCTCCAACACACGTGGTGGTTCCCGGCAACTTGTCCGAGCTACCATCGCAATATAAACAGAGGGCGCCCATCCTAGGCTGAAGGCTGTTGAATGATCTCCCATCGCACGCACCAGCTGTTGGCACTTTGCTCAGGTCAACGGGTATCTCTGGTAGAGTCAAAGTCGAGTTATCATCGCTGTTAAGTAAGTAAGCTTCCCTTTGCGTCAATACCTCAATTGAGGCCATGCCCAAGCTCTACGGACTTGCAGATTATTGTCTCGGTCGCATTTCACAATGAAGTCATTGAGAAGACCATGATCAACATCTACAGCAGTCTGCTTGTTTGTTGATCTGTTTGTTCGTTATGTTTGATTGTCCGGTTGTCTGCAGTGATTACCAATTTCGCCCCGTACGGGATGAAAAACCACTTGTTGGCTGTCCACATTGTCAAGCGCATGAGGATTCTCATCATGCGACACTTCACTCAGTATTCACGCAGCTAACCCTACCAAGTCCGTCACAATGAAGGTCTTCTCCCTCATCACCACCCTCGCCGCGGCGGGCGTCGCCCTAGTGTCCGCGCAGGGGACAATCGACGACAACTCCGACTCTTTCCCCGAAGACCTCAACGGCTCCAACTTCACCTATCCATGGCCCGTCAAGTTATACAAGTTCACCTCCCAGCTGCAGGAGCTGGAGATGGCCTTCATGGATGTCAAGCCGAAGTGCGCTCCCAATGGAAAGACGGCCGTACTCTTCCATGGCAAGAACTTCTGCGGCCCGACGTGGGAGACCACCATCCGCGTCCTCGCCCAGTCCGGCTACCGCATCATTGCCCCGGATCAGATCGGCTTCTGCAAGTCTACCAAGCCTGAGCGCTACCAGTTCTCTCTGCAGCAGTTCGCGACCAACACCAACGGTCTTCTGAAGACCCTTGGCATCGAGAGCGTCACTGTCATGGGTCACTCACTCGGTGGCATGCTCACCACCCGCTACGGTCTGATGTTCCCCGACGAGGTCGACGAGATGGTCCTCGTCAACCCCGTCGGCCTCGAGGACTACAAGGCGCTCGGCGTTCCCTACCTCCCCATCGACGACAACTACGTGACGGAGCGCGCCAGCTCATACGCTTCCATTAAGGGATACGAGCAGGCGACCTACTACGTCGGGGAGTGGAAGGACGAGTACGACACCTGGGTCAACATGCTGGTCAACATCTACAAGGGTTCCAAGGCCGACACGTACGCGCTCAACCAGGCCCAGATCGTCGACCTTGTTCTCACGCAGCCCGTCAGCTATGAGTTCTCTCTCCTCAAGCCTCGCACTCTGCTCATGATCGGCGAGAAGGACAACACTGCCATCGGGAAGCAATGGTCTCCTCCTGATGTCGCTGCAAAGCTGGGCAACTTTGCTGCTCTTGGTCCTGCTGTTGCTGCTCAGATCCCAAACGCGACTCTTCACACCTTCCCTACGCTTGGTCACGCACCTCAGATCTCCCAACCGGAGGAGTTTCACGACGCGCTTGTTTCCTGGTTGTCCAAATAGATAGCCAGTAACTGGGGCTCTTTAGACGGAGCTTGGCGAAAGGGGCGCTTGATAAATATTCTGTAATATTGTAATGCCTACGCCCGACTTCTTTGGTTCTTGGAAGCCTGATAGATCGAAGAGACGTTCCGGCCGTCTCGTCAAAGAGCAAACTACTGTGACCCCTGCTGCTTGAATCTGCGGTGAACCAAACCAGTGACAGAGTATCATTCGAAAATGGCAGTGTTCAATACATGTCTACCGCATGTATCTATTGAGTATGATGACTTGTTTCTGGAGACTCCTAAGACTGCACCAGTCAGCATCGAAGTGCATTTTTCCTGCCTTCTACTCGCTGAGGCGAGGTTGGGGCTGCGGCAATGTCCAATCAGATTTCGGCAGAGGCCAATCATGAAGGAACATTTTGAAAAGCCCAACATCTGCCTGGCACCATGTGTGGCTTAGTGCAGCTGGATCAGATTGTGGGATAGACCAATCAACAGTCACGCATGCACCGCATGCCGCTTCATGCATCTATTTATTTTACCTCCTATCTCTGTGATAGTTTACTCAAGACACAGGGTTTTTCCTGAAACTCGCGGTTTATGACCTGCCTTTGTGCCACAGAGGCAGATGCCCAAGATCAACACTCAGTAACCTGTAGTTTCACGAGCGACTCGACATCCCGTAGAACACAGTTCTGTTGCCATGTTCCGCCGGCAACGGCAGGCTGTAATCAGCGATGCAGAATGGGAGCGCGTAAGACCGGTCATTAGACAGCTGTACCTTCGAGAGGACATGACCTTGAGCTTCGTCTTGGTAGCGCTGAGTACCGTGCACAATTTTCACGCAAGGTAAGTCAAATAACTCTCTGAGCTAACGACCTCATTCATTTCTCGAGATGGATTTCGCTCAAATCTCGGCTACTAACATATCCTGCAGTAATGCCCAGTTGGAGTGGAAGCTCAAGCATTGGTGCATGGTCAAGAATATGAGCGGCCAGCAGTGGAAATACACCGATATTCAAATTCGTTAGCGACAAAGTCGAGGTAAAAAGAGCAGTCTATATCTCTCTGGAGTCCCCCTGAGAGCTGCAGCAGTAGAAAAGGCAAGGATGCGGCACTGCTACACACCGGTTGTTGAGCAATACAAACCAGGTAATAAGCTATTGCTCTTCTGAAGATTTCTATGAAAGGACCAATATCAAATCCCATTTCTGTACTCTCAACGCTCCATTGATTCCATACCTGCTTACTTAATGATTACAGCCTTCGCGACGTCGTCGTTACCTGCCGATTTACCCCTTCTCATTCGAACTCCTTCGCCTGTTCAAGAAGCTCGATGCTCAGGTCCCACTGAAGATATTCCCTGGTCACAATGTCAACATCTCTTGAACGGTATGTCCATCATTGCATATTTCTTAGGAATATCCTCATTAATCGTTTTAGCTTTGACAATGTCCATTCCCGTGCAAATGAAATATGGGATACGTCCAACAGTTCTGGTTGGCAGAGAACTAAAACGCATCATCTTTCGCGAACGGCAGTCACTGGATTACAAACCAAACCTTCAGCACACCTTTCAGGCCCTTTCCCTTCTAATGCCTGAGAAAGTGCTGGGCAATCATGCTTTCAGAGCAGCTGGGTTCACACAATGCTCGTCTTCCAGAAGTAATACCCCGGAAGCCTTAGAAATCATGGTCTTTCTCCTATCCAATGCCTTCTGCAGCTACCTAGACGACGGGCCGACCGAACGAGATGTTGTCAATCAAGCAATTTTGGCCATGTTCCGGGAGGTCAACGCTTGGAGATTACTGATCTCACAAAAATATGAGAATCTCCCGCTTAGTCTTCAGGCTTTCTTGCATCAAATGTTCCAAAAGGCAGTCCTGGCATCAGATACAGCCACGATTGAATCTCTTGTCTCAGCCGGGGTTGACGTCGACCTTCCTCTTAATCACCTACCTTTGATGTTGATATGGGGACAACGGAGGCATATGACCGCACTTCACTGGGCTGTCCATACACTCAATTTCACCATGGTCGAGCTCCTTCTCAAGCTTGGCACCAGCACCAGATCAGTGGATCTGGATATGCTTCAAATTGCTTGCACAGGGCACCATGCCAGGGACATCTCAGCGCTTGAGAAGACCACAAAGTGGTTACTATCTGTTTACCAATACCAGGAGGCTGACGAAATCAAAGCTCGTATCTTCTTAAACGAGCTCGCATCCGCACCTCACTCTGAAACGACAGAGCTTGTCCTGCAGTTTTTCGAGCCTAAGCTTCACAGTCCCACGTCACTTGCCCAAGTCCTCATGACAGCCATCAAACCAGCAGCAGGTGGGTCTTCGAATGGATTTCAAAGCACCGTAGATGTTTGAACAACACCAACTACCTCGGAGAATCAGTCCTGGGCGTTGCAGCTTTCAGGGACAACTATCAGCTATACAATCGTCTCCTAGAGTTCGTTGCTATGTCAAACCCAGTTATCGAGTTTATTCATCACACGCTCGCTACACCACTTCAATGCGCCGCATCTGGTGCCGGTCCGAGCCTCATGAAACTGCTACTAGACAACGGCGCGGACATCAATTTCTGCCAAACCTCTCCAGGGGATCACGCTGAGGGTACTCACCGTTACCGAGCTCAATTGGTGAGAATTGGCGGCATCTCTTACAAGCATAAAGTAGGCCAAGTAGGGGAAACTGCACTTCAAGCAGCTCTATCTTGCAAGAATGAAGACAACGCCTTGTTTCTCCTCTCGAGCGGAGCAAGATTAGTAGGAGGAGAGCTAGCTATCGCAATCCGCACGCGTCAGTATTCGCTTGTCGAGAAATTGCTCGCACTTGGTGCTTCGCTCACGGCTGCAAGCCTTCGCCATGAGCTAATACCTCTCGAGTCCGCGATAGTGACTCAAAATTCAGCAATGGCTCTACGGATAGTACACTCAATGGATGCAACCATGTTCCCGGCAAGAGCTGTATATGCAGCTGTGTATATTGCGTCCGCCACTTCCGACTGGACAATCTTCCATGAGTTATTGTTTGTTTGTTTGTTTTATATTTAACGCCATGGCGGCAAGGGCGCAGCCGCCCTTGCGGCAGACCTCCCGGAGGGTATGTGGCGTGAAGGGTCGCAGGCTCTAGCTTTATATTATATAGTACACGCCGTATCCTGACGTCCTCCAAATCTTGCTTGTGAGCTATTATGTGTTCTATCTATCCCCAGTTCCGACTGGTGCCCTAGTTCTGTTATAACCATCTGGTTTCTTAATAGAGGTAGTTTGTTGTTTGGAGGATAGGTTATGACCTATCTCCTAGTACCGCGGGTAGATCTTCTGGAAGAAGTCTGTTACGTAGAGGAAGGCCTGGAAGCCTTTAGAGTCAGTGATTGGCCCCTTGAAGTAGCGATCGAGGGACCTTATAGGTCCTACGGGCTCCTGGCGTCTGTAGGGGTAGAGGGTGGCCTACTGTTGCCTCCTTAGTAGGGTCTTTCGGTAGTAGACTAGATGGTCTGCCTCCTTAACCTTTCCACAGGAGCAGGTGAGTAGTGCTTCTGTGTGGTTAAAGCGTTGTTGATATTGTTTAAAGTCCCCGTGGCCTGACCGTGCCGCGAGGAGGTGATGAAGGGCAGCCCTAGGGAGGCCAAGTTCAGGAGGGTAAGCAAGGGTGGCCTTGAGCCCCAGTTGGGTATAGCGGGGAGTTGCCTTTTGTTTCTACTATCGTTTATATTGGCGTCTTGGCCGCTCTTTAGTAAGCCATTTGATACCTGATAGAGTAGCTAGTTGGCCCCTAGGGACTGGTAGAGTTGTTCCCTCCTTAGCTAGGCTGTCTGCTTCTTTGTTTCTTTTAATATCTTGGTGCCCTGGGGACTAATGGGTTTGTATATCGTATATCCTAGCTACCTCCTGGATCTCTAAGAAGGCAGCTTGTGAGGAGTCTGGGACCTTGCCACGGATTCCCTGGATGATACTGGTATTATCGATGTAGATGTGTATCGGCTGGCCTTGAGAGGTATGGAGGGCCCGTCGGAGCCCCGCCCTCGCCCCTTCCGCCTCACCGTTAAACACCTTTGCTAAGCCGAGGCGGCCGCAGCCCTGGGCTATATGTCTGTTTTTGCGATAGATAACAAAGCCGAGCCCCGTGGTCCCATTAGTGGCTTTAGAGCCGTCTGAGTAGACGATTGTATGATTGTCTGGTACGGTCTTGAGCCAGGCTTGGAAGGCTTTAGCTGCATCCTCCTTATGCTCTAGGGCTATGAGGTCTTGTGAGCCTGGGGGGTATTGCGGCTGTATGAGTAAAGGCCTTGGGCATTTAGGTAAGAGGCCAGTTGTTCTTTGAAGTCTTGTCCGTTGCCGCCCCTGCTGCCAGAGCCTTGGGACCAAGGGATGCTGTTGGTCAACCTTCTGTAGCCGCGTAGCAAAGCGTAGTCGTGCTGCCTCGAGGGCAACCTCTGCTGTGGGCAGGCCAGCCTCACGAAGGAGGCTGCTAGTTGGTGTGGTTCTCCAGACAGGTAGGATAGCCCTTGCCGCTGCTGAAATAACTTTCCCGACTTTGCGGACCAGGCCCTTCTGTCCCGTACCTATAGTAGCTATCTGCATAGTAGTACCACTACTGGTATTGGTGTTGTTACTTAAGGCTGGTCTGTATAAGCCTGCATACCAGGTTTCAGCTCCGTAGAGGACTATCGGTAAGATACAGGCGACGGCCGCTTTACGCACAGCAGCTGCTGGTAGCCCCCCTTTTGTGTTTGTTAGGTGCCGTAGGAAATGGGCTACCTTTTTTGCTGCGACATTAACCTCGTGGAGACTCTCATTAGCATGGGCGCTGACATAAATGAGAACTACGAGGGCTTCCACCGTCCTCCGCCTTTAGCAATGGCAGCCATGAAGGGCTTGTTCAATATCGTAAGAAAGCTACTTCAGCTAAACGCAGACCCAAATGCCACAGCGGGCATACATTTCGACCGGACTGCGCTAGAAGGAGCCTCTGAAAGAGGAAGGCTAGACGTCGTAAAGCTACTTCTCGATTCTGGTGTCTCAATTGAAGGGACTGGACGTCGTCAATACATCAGGTCTATCATATTTGCAAGAAGGGAAGGGCATCCTACCGTTGCGAAGTTGCTGAAAGACTCTCGACGCTGGTCCAAGGCTGACCAAGATGTCTTCGATGAACTCGAATCGCTTGATGAAAACCGCGGCGTAAATAAAGACAACGAGGAGGACGCATTTGGCATCGAACGCGCTGGACGATACAGGGGACACGTGGCGCTTCCCTGGTCACAATGTGAGTACGATCCAGCAGCGGAAATGACAATGACACCGGCAATCGGAGAGGACAAGACAAAAGATACTCCAGAGGATCTGGCATCGCCATTCGAGGCGGGTGTATTACTCAAAGACAACAGCAGCGGTAAGACCAGTACAAGAGGGGAGACTGCGAGGAGTGGAATCGCTCGGGACTTGCCAGGATTGGCTGGTGCTGAATGTTCCGCATCTGTTGGAGAGGGTGGCTGCAGCCTTCATGATGAGCATACTCAAGGGGGCGACGGCGAGGATTGGATGGAGAAATACGTTCGTTTCCCCTCAGTAACACCCTCAGTCTGCTGAGACGGTGATCATTCTTGCTGCTGTATTTACTTTTCTGCTCTAAGACTTATTTCTATTCTTCGTTTGAAGGTTGAATTTGTCGGACTATGACAGTAGGAATCCAAATGCGCAGTTAGTGGCTTTGGCCCATGGAAAATATTGTCTCGGGGAGAGGGGAACGGGGGAAGGGGGAAGGGGGAAGGGGGGACATGGGCGGGGTGAAAGGCCAAGAGCGGGGCTTAAGCGCTAATGATGTCAAACTGGGCTGAATATTCATGTACCCTTTTTCGTTTCTCAGTTTTATAAGGGCTAATGAAAAGATCGGAGTCACCTAGACACACACAGCTCACTAATATCCGGCGAGGCTGCGTTCGTCAATGATGGCGGGGTGTCAAAGTTGAAAGGATGACAGGTCATCTAGCTACTAGCAGCGAACCTGCCGGTTGGGGTATCTCGGACTCTGATTTTGGGAATATAGACAAGGACGTTCAGCTGCTTTCATCAGAAGTTCTCGAATTCCCCCTGTCAATCTCATTGCATTGCATCAATCAAGCAGACTCGAGCTCGACTTCAGGTCTCCCTCATCCCAGTCTCCCAGATCCGCCCCAACACCACAAGAGCAAAACACCTCCCAGCCCAGTCCATCCCATCCCCAGCTCAATCCTTCGGCCCAACGCCAAACTCCCCAGTCTCATACAGACTTCCCACAGTGACACCCCTCTTCTCGGCAACCATACCCATCAGCTGCTGCCCCACGTCCTTGATCTGGTTATACTCCCGCAGCAGCTTGACGTGCTTCGCGACCACCGCTGAGGCCTCTTCAAACTCTCTACGTGCGGAGAGAAACGTCAGCAAAGTCTTTCAGTGTATTTGAGTCGTATCAAGAAACAGTTTTACGAAGAAAACAGAGATGAAACTGGTTGAGGTGACCTACTTGTCATTTTTCTCATCATTTATTTTACCTTTTGGAACTGAATTTGTTTTATCGTCCATTTTTTGTGTCGTTTTGGCCTGTGTCTCTTCAGGCACGGCTTTCTGGGCCTCTTTTTAAATACCCTGAGCTGAGAAACACAGAATATTTCGTTTGATTGGCTGGTTTACCGTTGTATGATGACCAAATGGCACTTATTGAATATCTCAAACCACCTCTTGATGTTGACATGAAGTCGAAAGCACGGACCACATACAAACACACCCGGCTCAGCCTTGGATTGGCAGGCACAAACGGCAGCTGCTTCCTTCAGAGCAAACAGCACGGGAAGGAACAAAAAAGACAAAAAGTGAGTCAAAAAACACTTTGCAGACCATTGTCGCATCAAGGGGTGGTGTATCATGCCATTGGCCAAAAGAGAAAGATTTATTGAGAAAGGCAAAAGATTGGACGATCTGGGAATCGAACCCAGGACCTACCGCATGCTAAGCGGTCATTATACCACTAAACCAATCGCCCGTTGTTAAAATGGAAAGTTGGGTGCGCGCTCATGTAGCGCGCGCCGCGGGCCAGCTCCGCGCGAGGGGAGGCTCGCTCGAAAGAGGGCCCGTCTTCCTTCCCCAGCCGGCGCGTTGACTTCGTCGCCCGATTGATGACCTCACCTGGAGGCTCCTTGGCTGATCCTCTAGAGGGAGGCTCGTCACCTGCAGCCATGACAGTCCGTCAAGCCCATGAGCAGGGCCCGATACTCAGCGGAACGGCTCCTTCACCTTGATTCCATGTGAGCCCGATTCCTCCACATGAGTTTTGACTCTTGCGGCACATCGAGTTAGACGCTTGGACGATAAGATGGTTCCGTGGTGTGGCGGCGGGTCCCTTGGGGTAAGGTAGGGCACACCAACGCGTCTTGTCGCGAACATGTCACGTTGAGTAAGTGCCCTCGCAGGTGTGGTCAGATTTGAGATGAGCGTCTGAGGACGAGAATTGCTCCAGGTTCGCATGACGTGGCCGTCTACGGAGTGTGATTGGAAAATTTCAAAAATTCCCAACGTGAACGTTCATTCATCTTTCGTGGTCTTTGGGCAGGACATGATGCGAACCATCTCATCGTCAGGATACTCAAAAATCATTGAAGATCGTCACTTGATGTCATCATTTCACATGCAGTCTTCATGATTGTAATGCAATTACTTCTCTAAGCACAAGACGCCTCGCCAAGGTTCCCCTCCCAAAATGCCGTGGTATACTTTTCATCTTCATAGTTCTTTTTTCGTAGTGATTTCCGTCGTCTCTTCTTCGAATATCGCCTCATCTGGGACTACTGGTTTGTTCGTCTAAGTGGAACCCCTCGGGAAGGGGGGAAGTGAAAAAAGAGGATTAGACAGGAGAGCCATTGGTCGATCGGTTGATGTTTGTTGAAGTGTGTATATCAATTCCCATATAATTCAGAAGCCAAAACCCCCTTATTCTTTTTTACGGCAACCACCATAAAAACAAAAGACAAGTACACCAGAAAAAAAGCCCATGGACATGAATCATCTTGATTGAGTGTTTGTGTTGTGACTTATTGCGAGAAAGGGGTTTCTTGGTTGATGCGTAGTTTTGTGTTTTTGGTGGTTGAACCGGATTACCGAAAACACCGAGAACGGCGACGCGGGGGGTATTGAACAGGATGATGATGATTTTGCAAAGCGAAGCCTTTTCGGACTCACTCCATAAAAACTCTCTCTTTGGCCCCCCAAAAATCATCTCTTTTTTGAATTCCCCCCTCCAATGACCAGCCAATTTGTGCCATCAGCAATATGAAGAATTTCCCTTGTGAACCGCCCACGCCAATCTAATGAGGAAACGCGAGGAAGAGGACAGAAATGCGCGAGAAATCACCCTCCGAGTCTTTCTTGTTTCGTCAGACCGTCGTGTGGGTGTTGGTGGTGGGTGCGGTGGCGGCTCAACGGGGATAAAGCCCTCCCTCCTCTCCTCCTCCTTTCCCTCAGACGGGCCGAGTCCAAAAAATCAACATCGAAAGGGATTTGTCGACCACGTTTAGTAGCCGAAGGCCTCGAGGGCCTGCGCCGTCTTCTGGTTGACCTTGGCGTTCTTCTTCGCGTCGGTGAGCTGGCGCTGAGCGACCTTCTTGCGCTCGTAGTAGGCAGCACCCTTCGCCTTGCGGCGCTCCTCGAGTCTGGGGGTTTGTCAGTATGGCAGATCCCAGAACCAGGAAGATTGCAGGAATGGACATACCTGGCAACGACGTCCTGGTACTTCCAGCCGACCTCGTGAGAGAGACGGCCAACGGTGCAGAACTTGCGGCCGGGCTGCAGTCTCAGGACACGGAGGGCCTGGGGGACGACCATCTTCTTCTGCTTGTCGTAGGGAGGGGGAACACCCTCGAAGACCTTGAGGCGCTCAAGGGCGGCGGCACCGCGAGCAGTCTTGTGGGGGATCATGCCACGGACGGTCTTGTAGAAGATACGCGACGGGGCGCGGAAGTGGAAGGGACCTAGAGCGGTCAAGTCAGACATTTGAATGTCCTCGAGTTGAGTATCTCAGCTAGGAGACAGAGCAGAGCCCGGATGTATATGTATGTGTTGGCTTACCACCGCGAGTCGGGTTGTAACGGGTCATCTTGCGCAGGTAGGCGTGGTACTTGACTATAGCCATTCATCAGCATCTGTTCGATCGGTTCGTGGTTGTCGACACCGCAGCCCTCGATGGGTTCCCAAATGTGTTTCCTTCTCTTGACAGACTGGGTGTGTGACCGGTAGGGTAGGGTTGAGAGAGAGTCGACATACGCTTGGCACGGAAGAACTCGCCAGAGATGTTGAGGGCCTCGGTGCGGACAACGACGATCTTCTGGCCGTTGAGAAGCTGCTTGGCGACGATGGAGGCAAGACGACCAAGGAGATGGCCCTTGCCGTCGATGACGACCTGTGTAGAGGACTGGAGTCAGCGATCTGCATCTCCAAAAAGTGTTCGCGGTTGGCCGATGAGGAATTTCGGGATTGTTGAAGCGTCGAGGGCAGCGCGGCGGCGGCGACGAGCTGAGTAGCGAAAGCAACGTTGACGTGTAGGCGGGCTGCAGTCAAGTGCCATCGTCCCATTGCATGGTGTTCCTCGCTCCCACAAGTATCCCGAAAATCCTCATCGTCGACATTCCGCGGATCCCATATCTCGAAATGGGATTGTTAAAGATAATTCGGCAAAGACTCACCACCGGCTCGAAAGAAGACATCGTTCCTGTTCCTTTAAAAACACCGGTTCGCGGTGTTCTGCTGAAAAAAAGAAGGAAAAGGGGGATTCAAATCTCTGGGCGGAATGGGTGCCACTGTAGAGATTTGGTCTGCTGCCGTTGGGTTAGTATTGTCGGAGGGTGAGTTTTGGAAGAAGCCGTCGCGACAATCTTGAAATCGGGGCGGGCACACAACTGGGAAGGGGACAGGTCAATGAGAAATTTACACACGCACACACAAAACCCCCCAATGGCACGCCCGGAAAATGAACGGCGCTAGCCCTTTGTGGCAAAGCGGTCCCCATCCCAAGCGAGGGTTCGAAGTGGGGCCTGAGGCAGCTTAGGGCTGTAAAGACCTACCAGAGGCGCGCATCCTCTCAGTGTTCACAGTGAAGTGTTTCTGCTGACTCACATTTGATTTGCAGCCCCGGTTCACCTCGGTGTGCTTCCATGGCGGGGCCGACGACTCACCTTGCCCACATGGACCCAGGGCAGGGCAGTCTGTCACTGCTTCACCATCCCGTCCCCGGGCAGGCAGCGATCAATACCTTGAGGTACCCGATACCGGATTAATCGATAACGGCCTCTCTGTCACATGAGATAAGGACACGGGTTGACTAAGCCAACGACGTCAAGCATGGTACAATTGTTCAACGGCAGACCGGGATATCCCCACGACCGGACCTCGTCGACAACGTCACGCTGCAGCCCTGCTTCAACGACGAATGCTGCTATTCCAAGATCCAGGTCCAGTACTAGGCTGTGTTCGGGTGCGTCATGTGCGCAATGAATGGAGTGAAGATCCCAGGAAACTTGGGTTGTTTTGCAATTCCTGTCTACGGCGAGCTATGCGCCTCTCTGTCTCTGTCTCTGTCTCTGTCTCTGCCTCTGCTCGGCGTCTCGCTCCTCATTGCCTATGTAGCGTCATCTTCTGCTCACCTGATTCCTATCGTAGTACAGCATCCCATCTCAAGCTGTCCCTAATTCCCAACGCATCCGCCATTCTACGCGGCATGCCTCTAGATGCAAATCTCGCTTTGATAAAACATGCAGCTCGACTGAATAGAAACCCTCCGCAAATGCTCATCTAGAAGAACTCAACGGAAGTAGGCCGTTATTAGTAAACAAACGTATCGCAGAAACCGCAGGCACTCTCAATGCCACCCCAATTTTCTTCCTTTATGCCTTGAGCTTCGCGTCAAGACGCTTCAAGAGTTCCTGCACGGTCTGAACCAGGGCCTTTCTCTTCATTCTGGCCTCCTGGTCGCCTTCCGTCTCGACCTCGTCAAGCTTCAGAAGCACATGCTGCATCGTCGTCTCGGACAGCTTGCGGTGCTCCTCCTCTCTCTTCTTGGGGTCCGTCGGGGGCGAGACGATATAGTCTTCACAAGGCTGGCGCAGATCCGCCTCGAATTTCGCTGCAATGGCATCGAGCTTGGCATGGGCGCCGTTGGCCTTGCTGGGGGACGGCGAGCTTTGTCTGTCTTGGCCCGGAACGCCGAGATTTGATGCGCTGTCTCGCGGGCTGGTGTTGCTGCTTCGCTTCTTGGACTTGCGACCCTTCTTCTTGCCGCGGCGCTTCTTTCCGTCATCGGTGCCGCCGGTGCTGCCCACAGCGCTGCCACCGTCGCCGGCTACGACCACCATTTCCTCGTCCGAGTCGTCGCTGCTCTCGGCGTCGACGTCGCCCTCGGGCAGGACCACCATGACTTCACTGTTGTTCTTGACACCGTAATCCCGGACGGGCGCGGCCGGCTCCTTAAGCTGGCGACCCTTGTAAAGAAGCTTGACACGGCGTCCACGTCTCTCGGACAGCTCCAGCAGGACGCTTACACGGTCTCGAACATCGCGAACGCGCAGCTTGCCGTCGCCAATGGCATATGCGGGGAAGTGGGCGGGGTAGGTGATGCCCTTGTTTTTGATAAGGAGAATGTCGTCTTCGGGGACACTGCCGCGGGATCGGGTGTTGTGGGCGTAGGATCTCGTCGGGACGGAGCCACCGAGGGAGGTTGACTGCAGGTCCTCAGTAGTGATGTAGCTAAAGTCTTCGTCCGTGACGTTGGGAACACCACTGAGGGTGGAGCCGTAGGGGGATATTTGTTCCCGATTTGTCGACCAGCCGTATCGAGACATGGTGAAGGGGATTGCGAGTAGGATGCAGCCAATGGTGGAGTAGAGGATGAGGTTCGGATCGATGCCGGTGGTGTCGGAGATGTATCCGGAGTAGTTCGCGATAGCTTTGGCTAGGCTGGCGATGGATTTGTCGAGATAGACCTGGAGGGTGGTGGGCAATAGTGCGGTGATGTTTTGGAGGGCACCAGAAGATGCCAGAAGAGGCTGACTGGAAGCCACCTTGGCGGAAGTAGGCGGTCCTTAAAGCTAAGGACGCTGAACCGGGAGAAAGAAAAAAGTGGATGAGAAGGGGGGAGGGGGTGGAGGAGAGAAGAGGTGAAGTGAGGCAAGGTCGAAGGCGACTGCAGTGATTCGTATCGTGGCGGATGGGGTGAATGTTGATCGTGGGTGTCGGGTGCCGTGGGGATGCCCTCGTCTGGAATTTTCCGACTCGCGGGGTTGGATGATCAGGCCGTTCTGCAGCAAGGCAGGTCGTACGGCGCAGGCGCAGGCGCAGGTTCTGGTAAGGTCCTTGGAGGGGAAAGGAGTCGATAGACTACAATGGATGCAGCAGCACCAAGAGAGAGAAAGCTTGCAGAAGCAGTGGGGTAAGGGAAATAAAATAAAGATAAAAAAGAGCTGTCCTGTTCTGTCCGGTTCGGGGTGCTTGGGTCGAGAGTTTCGATCCGGCTCCAACTGGCGTTGACGATCACCAACCTGGGTCAAGGATGCAGGTGGTGGCTCGTTGGCTTTGGTGAGGCTGTAGAAGCAGGACTGGAAAGAAGGCAATGCGCTGTCAGCTTTTGGGGTGGACGGCGACGGATGAAGAGGCGATGATGAGGGCGGCGAGCAGGGATTCGACGAGCGTCCAGTACGGAGTATGGGTGAGTGAGCGAGTGTGGTGGTGTGTCAAAGGTGGCCCTACGGGACTCGGAGAGGATGACGGCAGAAAGTTGGGGACCACGGCGTGAGGTGAGTGGTCGGAGGAGGTTGCGTGTGAAAAACCGGGCATTTCGCAGAGGGCAGCGAATGACGGGGGGTTGCGCGCCGAGGGAGGACCCGGTGTCATTGGCCGGGCCGAGAGACGGTGCCACGGGTCCTTTTTGCGATTCGGAGCTGGCAATCCAAGACAGATACTAACAGATACACGTACCTTTTCAGAGTCTTTCAGGGGGCAGTTCACTAGCAAAGATCTGGGTGTCAGATTGAGGATGAAGACTTCTCGAAGCGTTGAAATAGTTTCTTGTATGAGCAACGCCGCGACAAAGAGGACACGAAGCCTGGTTGAGAATGGCTTGGTGTTTGCAAATACTTAGGTAACTGTCACCAGTCCTCGAGGATTCTCTGCACGACCAGAACTGGGGCAGGCGGCAATAGCAATTGGCTACGATTCGGCGAGCAGCCGATATTTGCAGGGGCCCGAGACTCCAGGAGCCCAGAGGGACCGATTCAAAAATCCAAACCCAACCCAGCTTCCATCTACGAAGTAGTACCTACCTAGTACACAACGTTGACCCATTTACCTGCCGTGCACCAGTCATCACTGAGCTCACAACGTGGGCTGTGCTGTAAGGGTGCCCGAGGATGCGGTCAGGCGCTAGACGCGGGTAAGAACTGTGGGTGATACGGATAGATCGATGCAACGACTTGTGATAGCCTCATTCCCTCAGCCTCTCATGTGGACTCCATGCCCTGCCCAAAGTGGTAAACCACGAAGAGATAATGGTGTTCATGAAGGGATATTAGCAAAAACTCGAGGTGCACAGAAATCCAGGGTGCTCTTATCTTGTCCTCATCCCAAGGTTCGTTATCTGATTGCTTACCTCATCTCACGACAGACGGCACCCGTAAACTCAAGGCACAAGCCGGTCCCTGATCCATTCATTCTCGGCGCTGAGGTGAGCTCATTGCCCATTTTGAATTAGCCTTCTCTCTTCTCTGATCGCCGAGGTCATCAAATCATCTCGGGCGTGAAATCTCGCTGGCCACGGGTGTCTCTCAAGAACCCGAGCGAAGCTGACAAATTTCAGCGCAGCTAGAAGCTGTAACACACGCCGAGGCAGGTGAGCTTCGGGAGAGCCGGTGTCTTAGAAATCGGGTCTTCGCTCCCTGGACGGTTAGACAACCGAAGGTATCGAAATTGGAAGCCACACCACGGTTGTACGGATACACTAAACTCTGTGACCTCCACCTTCTAGAAAACTCGGCTTTTGCTCTGTCCGCTCCAGTCTCCAATCCAGTCGACCTCACACTTACTCAAGGTAACTTAGGTAATCAACGTCTAGCCCCCGATTGCATCATCCACTCCCGCCGCCTTCGGCCCCGAATTGCCTTTCCCTCGCTGCCAGTCCCGTCGCAACTAAACTGAACCGCATCCAGCACATCCAGCACCTGCCCATACGCTCCAAGCACCACCAGCACCCCGCCCCTGCCCGCTGCATTGCGACACTTTGCCTGACAAATACCCCCCCCCCCACCAGAGTCCCTCCCCTCCGTCCCTCTTGCATTTATTATATCATCGCCCTCTGCCCCTCCTTCTTGCCTGCGCCCCCCCTTCCCTTCTCGAAATGGCATCTCTATTCAGACGTCTCTTCTCCTCATCCCAGACATCACCAGCAAACATGGCCGCCACCAAGCAAAAGGTTCAGTCCCTCATCGACGACAACAAGGTCGTCGTCTTTTCAAAGTCCTACTGCCCCTACTGCCGCGCCACAAAGTCTGTCCTCGACGAGATCAACGCCGACTACACCGTCCTCGAGCTCGACCAGATTGGTTAGTCCCACACACCCAAGTACCTAGAGCATCCCCCCAGAACACCATGCTAACAGCAACACCAGACGACGGCAGCGCCATCCAGGACGCCCTCCAGGAAATCACCGGCCAGCGCACCGTCCCCAACAGCTTCATCGCCCAGAAGCACATTGGCGGCAACTCGGACCTGCAGGGCCTGCTCAAGGGCGGCAAGCTCGAGAACCTTCTCAAGGAGGCCGGCGCTCTCAAGGCGTAAGGCACCCATTCCGTCCTCGGCATAGAGAAAGACAGAAAGAGGAGGGACAGACAGACGCCCATGTTTGAAAAACCTAGAAATTGGTTGGAAAATGCATACAGCACAGAGCACGCTGACGGGCGCGATATTACGAATCTCAAGGCCGTCCAAGTTGTAGCTGTTGCTGCGCGAACCTACAACCCGTGTTCGGAGGAGGTGGGAATGACGGAATATATATACCACGAGCTTAAAGGCATAAGGATGGGTGCTTAGTCTCGAAATACAAGTTTCCAAAAAAATAACATTGGGCCCTCTTTTGCGAGTGCCTCTTACATGTGTTATACATTTTGAGCCGTGACTTTTTCAACTAGTTCTACAGAAATATTTTCGTTTCCCATCTTTACACAACCTGCGCGGCAACAGTGCCAACAGGCCTCTCGACAAACTCCATGACACCGTCGATGATGCTCTCCCTTGCCGGCGGGGACGCAACCTTGCTGCCCGCAAGCCAGTTGAGCCACAGCAATCTCGACACGCGCTCATCCTGGACCTTGCCGACGCTCTGTCTCCCCATGCTCCGGCCATCATCAAAGACGACCTCAAGCTGGCCCTTCTCGTCGCGGCAGAGCAGCAGCTCCTTGTTCTTCTGCACCTTGCCACGGTTAAACAGCCTCTTGAACTCCTTCATCGCCTCCCCAAACTCCTCGTCGCCATACGCCTCCTTATCAGCAGACGACCGCGCCGTGATAGCCCGCACGAACCCGTCGCGGAGGTGAGGGAAATCGGTATCGCGCACAGGGACGATGCGGAACGCGCTGCGGGTGCCAACCTCCTGCAACAGCGCCGTCCACGTCTCCTCGCCCTCGACGGGGTCAAACAGCTTCTGCTTGAGGTCGTCGCGCTCCGAGGGGACGAGCGTCGTCGCGATGGGGTTGATCTTCTTGGTGAGGTAGTGCTGCAGCTTCGCGACGTCCTGGGTGGCGACGTAGTAGCCCACCATGTATACCTGGATGCTGAGGAAGCTCACGGTGCGGATGCCGAGGCCGACGAGGGTGTATTCTACGCCGCCTGACTCCTGTATCGTCGCGGCGATGGGCGCTTCCGGGTCGCAGTGCGTCTTGCTTAGGGAGAGGTCGATGGTCCGCGGGAAGTTGGGCACCGTCTTGTTACCCGTCGGCACGAGCTCCCGGCCTTCTTCATCGTGGATGACGACCTTGCGCTTGCTTCCGGCCTCGGTGGTGAAAGTCTCGGCCGGCACAGACGAATCAAGCTGGAAGCCGACGCGCTCGTTGCTGCTGCTGCTGCCGCCATTCTCGCCGCTGCCGTCCTCCGCGGCGTTGCGCTTCTTCTCGGCGGCGAGGGCCTTGCGCAGCTTGTTGGCCGTGTAGACAAAGGAGACGATGCCGGCGAGGGCACCGGCGGCGAGGAAGTATGTGCGGTCTCGGTCGTAGTTTGTGCGGGCTTCGCTGAGCTGGCCGAGGTTGAGGCGTTCGACGGGGCGGGACGGCGAGCTGCGCTGGCGAGAGAAGAGGGTGCGGCGACTAGTTCGGACGGGCGGCTGCGGGTGCGGCAGACCCCTGGGCAGGGCCCGGAGAGTGCGTGGTCGGAACATTGGGGTGTCGGGGAAGTAGAGGGCGTTGAAGATGTGTCTATGTGTGTGAGTCGTGTGTAGTCGGCGAGAGGGAGTACGCCCTGTGGTTGAATCGGGTAGAAGTCACCCGGTACTATGGACCGTGTGGAGGAACGACAGTCGACAATAGGGAGTGGGCTGATGGAGAATCGAGATTCTTCAGATGGCGCGGGACGTTCGGGCGGGGACAGCCGTCGATGGTGCAGTAGACCCGGGCTTGCTAGTTCGAGTTCGGTGCCGGTCGGGCAGGACGATTCATGGCCTGGTCATGTGGGCAGGTGTAAATTGGCCAATTCGTTTGATGCTGCGGTATACGAAGTACTGCACAGACTGGCGAGCTGCGAACGCAATGGGGTGTTGGAGGAAGAGTCTGATCGTGACGTGAGGCTCGTAACAGGGGCAATTGGAGCTCTCCCCATTGGATCCGCCTCAATGCACATTGCACCAAAAAGTGCTCCAAAACTGGTGGCCCAGCGAGAAATTGGAGCACGTCAGCGAGCGAGGCACCTGAGTGGCCCGGCGCATGATCGGCCCCTCCGAATGACGTCCTGCAAAAAGTCGTCACGTGCTGGCATCTTCAGTCCCGCTTAGGTAAGGTAAGTCGCGGTACGTACTGTACTGCGGCATCCCTCAGTTTTGGCTGTGGTCTGTGCGGACGTCCTCCGACTCCGCCTCCACCTCCGCCTTTCCGCCTCAGATCGCAGTCCCCTGGATAGGTATTCTGATTAATCCCTTTTGTCCGCCCATTAGATCATGTAAACATCCCAAATTGAGATGTGGGATGTTGGAAATAAAAGGCGGTATGCGGATCTGACACGGCACATGCATCCTCCCATCTACTCCATGACAACGGTCTAGATGCGTCAAAGCCGATAGACACAGTCACGCAGGATTGGGATCTAGTCTTTCGTTAGACGTGACAAGCTGATTCCTGCAACCACAGTGTGCTAAGACTTCCAGTGTTCTACGCTCAGAGACAAGCATTACATCACAACAGGGTTTCCACGTCTGTGATCCGAAATGTGGAATGGGCGAAGCTGAGTGGTCAGTCATCTGTGGCCGTCTAAGCGCCCACGCGTGATGGCGTCCAGGATCGTGATGTTATCACGCTGGGCCGCGAAGCCACCGCTCACTCACACACACGTCTGTCTGGCTGTCTGGGTCGTCACTTGGAGTGTGCGTGTGTCTTGCATGCAGACCTCGCAGATGGCTAGACCACGGGAGAGCTACGATTGCGCCGTTGTGATGGTAAAGACGCACTATCATCTTCCTTCCAAGTTCCAACTATGCCTACCCGTGACCGCCAACCAGGAGAAGGCAATTCAACCTCGCCCAATGCAGGGCTTTGGTGATGGCCGTCTCAATGACGAATGAGGTGAGACCGAGCCAGACGATTTTCCCCCGACGTCTTATCCTCTCCCGCAGACCCTGCACACGTTGTCTTGGGTATGCGAGGGGGATGCTAGTCTTGTCCACCACCCACGGGAGCATTTCTTATTCTCAACTCAATCGGCCTACCCCACCATACCTCGTGTCTCTAGGCTGGACCATTGAATTCGGGTGCCCGGGAGCATTGTTGACCGACTACCCACGCAATACGTAGTCAGCTGAGAGCTGCCCTGATGGAAGACAGTAACAGCTTCTCGACTGGACAATGCCTCCCGCCGCGTGTGAGCGCAGGAGCTGAGTCCCTAAAAGCCAAAAGCCGTGGGAATCCGTCTAAGCCGGCTTGGCATTTCTCCCCATGTTCCAGTTTTCAAGGGCTCAACACCACGGATGAAGGAAACTCAACGACGCAGGCCTACACACCGAAGACGCGAACGCGGCGATCGTAGTCACCGATCCCCGACGTCCCGACGTCTCTTACAGTGCTTGCGGTTGACATGCGGGACATGCCGTCAGACGGATGTGATTGAACGAGTGGTCTTGCGGCCGTCATGCTTTGAAGCAAGTTGCCGGAAGATTACCTTTGCTTTCGTAGGTCTTGAGACATGGATGATCCAGGTGGGAAGATGTCGTTGAAGACCGGGGTGGGCGGGAGTGAAACGGTATCAGGTGCAGAGCAGAGCAACGACATTGGTCCCAACGTGTCCAACATCCTTGTGCTGAAGTGTACAAAGCATCATGGAAGAAGCCGAGATGGGAACTCAAAAGGGTATCTCTCGAAACAGCAACAGCAAGCTGTCTAGCCTGTCTTGGAGGCGGACCGCATTATAGTCGAGCATCCGAGGCCCTGACATCCCGTCTCATAAGGCAGGGAGGGTGGGAGGAAATTTCTTGACACCGTCATTGGAAAGGGACAACAATCTCAGGCCAAAAGACAATGGGGCACAACGGGAGGAAGAGACAGAGACAGACAGCGCGGGGGGCCGCGTCTGTGCCCCAAGATGCAGGAATGGAGATTGAGTGCCCTGAAGACGAAGCTCGAGCTCATGTCCGAGCGTGAGGAAGATGGCGTCACGGGTATCTGCTGGAGATTTGGTCTCCGAGAGGCGAAGGGCGAGAGAGCGGCGGTGTTGAGACTCGGATGGAAGTTCTTTTGAGGTTGTTGTCAATTGTCAGTTGTTCGATGGTCCCCGACGTCAGGGTAACAAGATTAGGTTGGACGTATTCATGCAGATAGACCGAGAAGCTTAAGATGTCATGTTTCCCGGTATGCCCCAGAATGCCCGATGTGGCATTGATGATTTACTGGCGTTTCTGAAGGTAATTTCATCTTGGAGATGATCATCTTCGTCATTACAAGCTTGGGAAGATTTCGTCATGAGTTGGCACCTCTTCTTGTATCTCACAATTCAGGCTAGAAGCAAACACACAAAGACAAAGGTAAAAGTACTCCGTAATTAGTTGAATATAACGAAAGAATGCCGCGATTCAAGTTGACAATCTGAAAAAAAACACCCGGCCGGAACTCTGTTAACGAAAGCGACTGAAAAGACGTGCCAGAGGCTGAAGACTTTTCCGTCCTTGACGTAGCGCCAGGTACAAGTGACAGCCTCATTTCCCTGGCCGGGCCAGTCGTATTATTGTAAATGCCATGGACTTTTTATGGTGGATTTGGCGTGAAATGCGGTATTGATGCAATTCATCGAGTAGCGGATGGAATGTACCTTTTTTATTTATTTAGAGTCTCTTCTCTTTCGAGTGAAGGACGTAGGTACCTTAGGTACACCGTACTTTGCCAGATTGAGTTACGCCGCAGTATGAGGCACAGTACCTCAAGGTTCCTATTTGATGGGTCAAGTTTAAGCGAGGATCAAGTACCGTTTTGCCTGTCATAAGGGCTTGGTGTACATGAACACGCTGTACGACATCAAGTTCGCAGATGCTCCTCTCGCGTTCCCCGCCAGGCATTGTCTCTACTCTCTCAGATTGGCTGTGAATCTGTGACTCGATGCCCTACGGTACTTTTGTGGGCAGTTCGCAGTGTGCACTGTAGGTAAGCACGTAAGGTAAGGTACTTCTAGGTTTAAAGTGACCTTTGCCATTGCATTAACGCATAGCTCCTTGAGAAAGCGGGATGTTGAATGTGCCCCACGCTCCACGTCGGGGAAATCGTCTCGTCTGCCGTGGTCTGGTTTCGAGTATGCCTGCTGATAACTCGATGAGCCAGGCAGGTACAGCAAATATGGGTGTCTACAATATACAGAAATGAAGATGTATTTCGTACAAAGTATCCTCAAAGAAAAGTAAGGTAATAATACCTACTGATTGAGAACCGTCGTCATCTCGCCTCGTCTCCCGTCGCTTTAGGTGCTTCGGAACCTCAGGCCCTTGGGTGGCGTCGACCAATGAGAAATTGTATCACCCTCGAGGAGAAAGGAAGACGTGTTGAGGTACTTCCCCCATATCAGTTGTGTGTAAAGGTACTTTGGCGACCCTCTCCGCTGCCCCTTCTGGCGGAACACAACCTCCTCCATTTGGCATTTGGTACATCGGTACATGGATACATGATACTCCATCCAGCCTGGTACTTTGAGTGGGTGACTCTTCGCATTGCTGCTGTTTCTTCCTGCTTCAACAAGTCAAGCATCCTTTTTCTGCTTGGACTCTGCAATCAAATCAACATCAGCAGAAAACTAAAGGCGAAAAGCGGATAGACCAGCAAAAGAGGAGAACGGCAACTGCAGAGCACAAGAGCAGGTCACGCGTCGAAGTTGGTTTCCCGCCAGCCTTACCTCATGACGCCCCAGAGAACCTGACCGGCTCGACCCGACAACCTTTGGACTCTAATAATACCGTACGGAGTACGGAGTACGATACCTTACTCTCAGAGTCTAAAGTTGGCCCTGGCAAGTGCCATAAGCGAAGCCCAACAAGTCCATACAGCCTGCCCCGGTACCTTCACAGTAGTACCTATTCGCAGCAGCGGCAGCAGCACATCGTCGACTTCTTGCTCAACCAGTTGCCCGCGCATCGCATCGCATCGCATCGCATCGCAGGTTCCCGGCCCAGCACCAGCCGTCAGCCTCCCCCTTCCGACTCCCATCACCGCCGCATCCTCTCTCCGCAATCAACAGCTCCACGCAGCAGGCGATACACATTGAGCACCAGAGACCTGTCTCCCGCATCCAAAAAGCAAGGTAACTACCTACCTACCTACCTACCTACCTACACTCGCCTGAGGTCCCAGCGGACCCAGCCCTCTGTCCCCTGGTTTCCAGTTCCAGCCCAGCCGCCGAACACCCAGCCCTCCGCGAGAGCCCAAGGCTCAAGGCTCAAGGGTGTCACCTCCCGCTGCTCCCTTTCTCCACAGCTCCAGAGTCACTGCTAACAAATCGCCTCGAGACAGAGTCCACCTCACACACAAACGCCCGCCCACAAGCTGCGACCAAGGCCGCTCAGGGAGTCAGGGTGCTCTAGCCTCACCCCGTCGTCATTGTCACCCGCCCTGTCGGTCACTGTCGCTGCCACCGCCTGCTGCCCACTGCTCAGCACAGCATAGAGCATAGCACAGCACAGCATCACTTCAGGCCCTCTTGCTTGCTTGCTTGCTTTGCTTCGCTTCACTGCGACAGAAAGGGGAGAGAGACGGTGCTGCAAAACCTGAATCACGATTCACCGCAAACGCAACCACAGCCCACGCACCACCCACTGCCACCCGACGACCCTGTGCCCTGTGGTTACCTTTCGTCTTTCACTCTCTCTTGTCTCGCGACGCGAACTCTCGACCTGATCTTTCGCTCCCTCTCGAGTCTCCTCCCATCGACGACAAGACTTCAGATCAACTCATCCCAATCGAGAACGCAACTCTTTTCCTCTACCCGCCGCCTCCGACAATAATCCTCGTCTCTCCCCGGCAGTCTCGTCTGCTACGAATACTTTCTCTCTTTCTCTCCGTTGCCTTGGCACTCCGTTCCGTCACACAAAATATTACCTCCCGCGCCCTGCCCTGCACCACCAACGCACCAGCACGGGGTACTTACTCCTGTACAGCCTGTACAGCCATCCCCCCGTTTATATGCTGAGGCAGTAGTCGACACACACAAACACACACACCAGAGGTACCGGGCTCACAACAGACTTAGCGTCAGCCTGCCTCCTTGTCCCGGCTCCCCTCCACTGTCGGAGCCTCTCCATTTCCACCTTCCGTGGGTCAGGCGTCAGTGTCAGTGTCAGTATTCCAGTGTTCCATCGGCCTCGTGGGAACTAGTCCACCTTTCCAACCCTCGCTCTGGTGACAAATCCCCGCCACTCATTCTGTCAACCTGACGAAACCCGACAACCCTACAAACTACATCGCGACGACAAAAACACCCACGACGCCTACGATTTACGACTCACGACTCGAAATCGCTTGCCGTCACCAATCGACCTTTTTCTCCGACCGGGGATCCGAATCCCCCTTTCCCCCCTCTCACCGAATTTCACGCGAAACCCACGATCCGCCGACCGTTTGCTCCCTTGCCCGCACATCGCAGCCCATCATCATGAGGCCCGCCGCCCCCTCAATAGAGATTATGGCTGCCCAGTCAGTCACGCCGGACTCGCGATCCTCGTCATCCACAAACTCGCCCCTCCCTGCCGACAACGAAGAGTCAGACTTCTTCATCGCCGGCAACGATTCGCAATCATCACTCGGTGTCCCCAACATTGAGGACATGCAGGTCAGCGATGATCCGTGCCAACCCGCCGTCAACCGGCTCCCTAGCGAGATCCTCATCTCCATCTTCGCCAAGCTCAACAACTCAAACGACCTCTTCAACTGCATGCTGACGTGCAAGCGATGGGCTAAGAACTCCGTCGACTTGCTGTGGCATCGCCCCGCCTGCACAAACTGGAAGAATCACTCGTCCATTTGCCTGACTCTGCAACTTGAAACGCCCTTCTTCGCATACCGCGACTTCATCAAGCGTCTCAACCTCGCTGCTGGTGGTCTCGCAGATAAGATCAGCGATGGCAGTGTCATGCCTCTATCCGTGTGCACTCGCGTCGAGAGGCTCACTCTGACCAACTGCCGCAACCTTACCGACCAGGGCTTGACCAAGTTGGTGGAAAACAGCTCCTCGTTGCTTGCCCTTGATATCTCGGGCGACGAGCACATCACAGACGTCTCTATCTTGACCATCGCCGAGCACTGCAAAAGGTTACAGGGTCTCAACATCTCTGGCTGCCGCTTGATCACCAACGACAGCATGATGCAACTTGCTGAGAACTGCCGGTTTATCAAGAGGGTATGTTGACTCGTCCCTTTCTTTGCTCCTTTGCCTGTTTCTCTCCCCGCAGCCTGGCCCATATGCGCCTCGCGCTTGGCTTGAAGGCCCCCGCATTGTGTTTTGGAAAATCGCTGACATGACTCTTCTCCCACAGCTCAAACTAAACGATTGTGCCCAGCTGCAAGACAACGCCATCCTTGCATTTGCCGAGAACTGCCCGAATATCCTCGAAATCGACTTGCACCAGTGTGCACAGATTGGCAATGAGCCCATCACCGCCCTCATTGCCAAGGGCCAATCCCTCCGCGAGCTTCGGCTGGCAGGCTGTGAGCTCATCGACGACAGCGCATTCTTGACTTTGCCCCCGGCCAAGACATACGATCACCTGCGCATTCTTGACTTGACGTCTTGCGCGAGACTCACGGATCAGTCGGTACAGAAGATTATTGATGCTGCCCCGCGTCTTCGGAATCTGGTGCTGGCCAAGTGCCGCAACATCACCGACGTTGCTGTCAATGCCATTTCAAAACTCGGAAAGAACCTGCATTACTTGCATCTTGGTCACTGTGGCCACATCACCGACGAGGCCGTGAAACGACTTGTGCAGCAGTGCAATCGTATACGGTACATTGATCTCGGGTGCTGCACCAACCTCACAGACGACTCCGTCACCAAACTGGCACAGCTTCCCAAGCTCAAGAGAATCGGTCTCGTTAAGTGCAGTAGTATTACCGACGAGTCCGTGTTTGCTCTCGCTCGCGCCAACCATCGCCCCCGGGCACGCCGCGATGCGCATGGCAACATTGACGAATACTACTCGTCCAGCCTCGAAAGAGTACATCTCAGCTACTGCACCAATCTTACACTCAAGGCATGTTGTCACTCCAGCAGACTGATCGAGTCCACATGCTAACATTGCTCCAGAGTATTATCAAGTTGCTCAACTACTGCCCACGCTTGACCCATCTCAGTCTTACAGGGGTCACCGCCTTCTTGAGAGAGGAATTCGCCGAATTCTGCAGACCTCCTCCACCTGGTATGTCATGTTTGTTTCCTCATTGTGGGTAGACAGGCAATCTAACAAGACGTGCAGAATTCACGGACCACCAGCGAGGTGTCTTTTGTGTCTTCTCTGGCGTCGGCGTCACGAAGCTCCGCGACTACCTCAACACCTCCCCCGAATACGAAGGTCTTCGCGACTCGCCCGATCCCCGATTCCCGGGTCTCTCGAGCTTCCCAGCACGTCGGCCTGCGGATCCCCGTGCAACGGCCGGACATGCCGAACAGACCAACGGGGATGCCGAAATTGACGAGGCGGAGGTTCCTGAGGACGACGAGTTTGAGGGCCTTGACGGCAGTGAAATGGCAGTGGACGGCCAGCCCTTGTTGGCACAAAACCTTGTGAACGGCAATGCCCAAAATGGCGTTCCTCCGCCCCCGCCAAACCATGTGCCTCCGGCCGGCGCAGTGCCCATGTTCGCCCAACCGCTTGGACAGGCTCCCTTGTTGTTCAGCCCTACAAGCCCCAGCTTTCCGCAGTCAACGCGTTCACCAACGGCCGGGGGCCCGGCGAATCATCCGCCGCCTTTGGTCATCTCCAGCCACTACTCTCCGACAAGCGCCGGACCCAACACATCCACGGCAAACGCACTTTCGCCCCAAGGTACCAATCTGGGCTTCCCCGCATACACAAACCGGAGACCTGCACCCCTTGGCGCCAGTACGGCATCCATGGAAGCGTCAATGTTAAGCCCTGTTTCCCATCGTAGCCGACCGGCGAGCGTCATCTCCATGGAGGCATCTATGCTGGGACCTCTAGACCCGGATATGACTGAGCCTACCACGCCAAATGGACAACAGCAGCATTGATAAATGGGAGGGCATTGAAGCAGGCTCGTATATCCTTCGGGGAAGCGGTTGGAGACTATGATACGCTGGCATGAGATACGCAACGACAATATACCCAGGAGCGCGCGGGAAACACCGGTACACAGAAGGTTGGAACAGGCAAGGTGTCGATTACCCTTTTTCAGCTTGGTTGGGCCTTTTTTTGGTCCATGTAGGTAGCCTCATGGCATTGTTTGATAACGGGGGGGGGAGGGACGCGTGCGATTAGCACCCAGAGATCTCACGGATCATGATGATGGTGCTTGGTTGTGGCACTTTGGGCAGTCCTAGGCTTGAGACCCCGGACTCGTCAGACAAAGTTGGCCGCTGCGCCAATTTCCCACTGGCGTGTCAGTGGGCTGGTAGACTTATGGCTTTTCCATTTCACTCTGTCCTCTCTGAGATTGGGAGCAATACGGCATACTGTAGGGGGTTAGGTTAGGTTAGTTCGGCCTCAAGGCCGCGGTATCAAATTAGCAAAGCATTGGCATGGAATTAAACAACTGTTCGGACCACATAATTTGAGAGTTCCTTTCGAAAGATGGATGGGGTGGCTTTTGTCCCAACAGAGTTGCACATATTGAAGAATGGCGCTGAAAAAGTTGTAAACTCGGTGGAAGAAACCCAGAATTTGCCTCGCTGTCTATGCTACCTAGTTATCCGCTGTGATGGGAATGTGAACCATTTAACTCCCGACGCCTATGCCAAGCAAGGTACATCGCTTTACGCCTTTTCAAGGGCGTCCATCCACCCCCCTTTTACTTCCATCACCAGAAACCAGGAATGATCAGACCACCCTCCGCAGCCGACTCTGCCAGCTTCTTGGCCACGAAGCAGTGCACCAGATCCCTCGACGCCAAGGCATCTTCCAGACTGTCGTGACCGATCCTACCCTTTTGAATGTCACGACCAAGCATCTCGGATGTCAGCGCCTTGAGGGAGAGCCCACCGGTCTTGCGCTTCTGGGGCTTCTTCTCGGTGGAACTGCCTCCTTCATTGGCCTTTTCCGAGTCTTTGGGCTTATCAAAGGAGATGAGGTCTTCCTCTTCCAATTTGACACCACCACCGTCAGCAGCAGCCTCCTTATTGGCTCTCCTCTCCTCCTCCGCTTCCAATCTCTCAATCTCGGCCCGGACGTTAGTAGCGAGGATCAAAGAGTCCACCACCTTGGGGTGAATCCAACGCAGCGAGGCGAGGTCGTTGTGGACGGCATGTCCGACGACAATGGTCTCGGCGCTCACCCACTCCCACACCGCGGCCCGGACGTTGGCCAGCCCGCCGGTGATGCACTTGCCCTTTGATTTCGCAGCCTCCATGTCTGGGCGGGAGACGCCCGAGTACCGCGTGTTGTAGTGCGCCATGCGGACCTGGGGGTAGACGAGGCTATCGAGGAGGATCTCCGAGGTGAAGTAGTCGATGAGTGTTACGCGGATGAGCTCGGATTCGCCGTCGTAGGCGACGCCCATTTCGCAGTCCATGGCGACGGCGCGGCGCGGCACCCTCTGGCTGGACGACACCGTGTCGATTCCCAGGTTCAAGAGGGCGTGGGTTGGGGTCTTGTGGTATTGGTGGCGGGCGTGGACTTCGCCCGAGGGGTAGGTCCGGACGAGGTGCTCTGGGGCGTACGTGCAGCCCGGCTCAGACACGTGAACTCTACAGCAGTTCCAGCGCTGTATGCGTTAGCTGGGCTCATTCAATGGAATGAAGAGGAGGGAGCGTACCATGTTGATGACGCGGCCGGTGTGGTATTGACACTTGAGGACCGGCTTTGCGGGCTTCTCGTCCGCCTTTGCGCCCTCAGGCTCCTCGTCGTCCATGGAAGAAGATCTGGTGAACGTCTTGGTCTTGGGCTGGGCGGATGAGGACTTGGCGTCGGCTTGGGAACCCTTCCCAATCGACTTGAACTTGTTCCTGTTGTTGGAGCCTGCCTTTGGAGTCAGTATTGTGATGGTGAATAGGAACGCGGGGTCCAGGGAGAAGAGACGCCGATGGACGAATACTCACAGCGGAGGTTGCATCTGCGGCATCGCTTCTTATCGTCGACATCTCTCTCAGATAGTGGGTTGAGGATGAAGCCACTCTTAACGAGGACATCTTTGCGGTGGGCCATTGATCGGAGGCGGTATAGGTAGCTCTGGGTTGGCTCGATGACGAGAGACGGGGGCCCGTATGGGTTCTGGGGTTGCTGGTAGAAAGCCATTTTGATTGATGGACCTGTAACCGACGATGTCGTGTTGTTTGTTTGTGGTGTTGTGGTGTGTGTATGGGATATTATATTGTTGCGGGTGGTGATTCATGAGGCTGCGTCAATGAGCCTCTGACGTGAAAAAGGTGAGGAATGCTCGGTGGTATGAGGTGGTGATGAAAGAACGGCGTCCAGACGCGACTCCCAGCCTTGGAAGAATCAAAAACGAATCAGTCGGTTCCTACAGGTGAGGTTCGAGTGTGAATCGGGAAGGGAGAAGGTAAGATTTTGATGTGGCAGCTGCGAAGATAAGAGGTGAAGTGAAGTGAAGGCTGCAGCGGCAGGCAGCGTTGGGTTTCTGCAGCCGATTGTCTCTCATCTCATGTCGCGCGCCCCGTTTGGCCGTTTGCTCTCTCCCACAAGCGACGCGTATTCCAGTCGTTCTGCCTCTTTCTGTCTACTTCCTTCTCTACCCTTTTATCCTGTTGGTTCACCTTGTTTCCTGTCGTATTTCCATTTCCTGGTGAGGCAGACAGACGATGATTTTGGGGAAATCACCGGCCCCACTTTGGCTACCCGGCCCGGTGACAGGATGATATCTCCAAGGTAAATAAGAGGCCTGGTTTGTTCTGTTGGGGATGTGTTATACTCTACTTCGAGCGTCTACGCTGCTGTTCTCAGCCTCGGAGGCCGATTATGAGGCCCAATCGTGAGAGGGTTGGGTTGGCGTGTTGGTAGACGCTGGCTACGAAGGCGTTGAGCACGTCACAAGTGAGGGACCAAAAGCTGCACCAATGATGACCACAGCTAACCTGCCACGTTAAACCGTGGTTCCCTGCTACAGAACTGCCCAGTCATACGGCTCTAAGCCTAATGAACCAGTTTGATGCATTGCCCCTTCGTGGGTCGTGTGTGGTGAACGGCATCCGTAATATTATAATGACGGGTAGGAAGACAGGTTACTTTGAATTACAAACCCGAATTTTAAAGAGAGAAAAAATTGACCAACGTCCTATCGCAATCCAAAAGAACGCATAACTCATTGCAAATGGACTCAAATCGCCCAAATATCATTGTAAGGCCCCCGAGAGCAAGCCCGGAGCGTCCCACCGGTATAGATGGAAGTGTCGAGATGCGAGGTTAAAGTTGCCATCACGGTGAGAATAATCCCTACAACCCCGGAGCACGAGTAATGGCCCAACCCAATGTCAGCGCAATTTTTTTTTCTATTTTTTGGAGGAATAAACCAGACCCGACATACATATTTGATTTATCAGACTCCATGTTTCAACCATTGATGAGAGTTTTGGTAGGAGCGGTGGGACTAGTCAAGATCACAGTGGTTGAGACGGCCCGCACGCGGCTTCATGCGGGAGGCCACCAGAGACCGGCACACTTGATAGGCCGACGACGCAGCGACAGGAGTATGCTATTGACTTCCATCAACAGCATATCACAAGAAACAAAGGAGCTGAATTAGGGAAGCAGGATCAGATGAGACGGCAATGAATGGGTGTCCTTGAGGGGCATTGACTAAAGGTCTCCATCTCTAGCTCATAGAGAGTCGGAAACTGAGTGATGATGTATGATTCAAGCCTAATGCAACGAGAGAAATAGGGTGTAGTCTACCTAGGCATTTGGTGTTAGTAGTTCACTCTGCAACCTGCTCACCCACAAGGCGGGGAAAGTTGGTGATCATCTCGGTGAAGCACATTCTCACCGAGGGTCATCCCGCTCACCTTGGCCCGCTTCTTCATCTCAACTACCGGTCCCACCTATCGGCACTAAACCGACCCACTTAAACACGCCCTCACGCGTCGACGTTTTCAATTCTCAAAATATTGCGATGAAAAGGTAGAATGCATGTTCTCGACAATGATGTAACTCATACAAGCCGGGATGCCTTCTGTCGGAACGGCAAGGCTGATAAGGAGCAATGGGCAGGTATCGTGGGCTGGCTGGCGCCTGCCCTGGGCAAAGTGGGACAACTGGCTTAGTCATCACGGCCGGTTAAGGTGGGGCAACCACCCAGGCCGTCCCCACCTACTTCGATCGGCCCCTGCCCACAATGTAAATAAGAACAACAACAGCAAGTATCACGGACATCGACGTGATTGTTGCCGAAGATACACCCTCATGAGGAAATGTATCACGCCTGTGATACCAACACCTTCTTTCACTTGACTGCAGTGAGAGAGAGTATGATTAATTATGTTTCTTAGTCTCACCGAGAAGCGAATCTGCACCGTTGTGACATCCCACTCCTCGCGGGTACGGCTGGTCTCACGAAAGTGATTCAGAAGCATGGCAATATTCTAGTACACGACCCTACAACTTGCCTCAGGCCGTTGGACCATGGTACCGTGTTGATGCCTTCCAAGTCCAGATGAAGCGGGAAGGTGTTATAGACATGGACGTTGCCTCATCTGTCATCTGCCACATCATGGGATGGATGCAAGAGTGGGTGTCTAGGTACTTTGGTAGAGTCTCGCAGGGTATTACATCTTCCGTCCTCCCATTCATTGTGTGGTCAGATGACTTTTGTTCATCTTTTCTCAGATGGCGCTCTTCTCCCGCAAGGTATGTGATTGAAGGTTCGCAGCACTCCCGAGTCATGCTTCCTACCTAGGCTCATCTGAAGCCTTTGGCTTTTGGCAGTATCCCATCATTTGGGTGAATCCGAGTATTGGCTATCAGACTTTGAGCGTTGGAGTATCATTGCAAGTAAGGGCCTAGCAGAGAAGCATGTCAGGGAGCACCCTTGCTACTTGTTGCGGGACATGATTGTTGGCGCACCGATCCCATCATCCAGCTGGGTTGATTCGCCATGCCAACCGCCCGACAGGCAGGGCGGTAGAGCCCGGAAGGAGAGATTCATGTCATCGGCTAGGTCCGCCACCTGAGTGATGGATGATTCGCTCAGATCCCCGTGCCTACAAGCCTGTCCAGTACCTACCTTAAGGCATATAACACAAGCGGGCTACCCCGAGTCTTCTGCACGCTGACTGTGCTGTTAACCGCGTGTATCTTGTCTCGAAGGCGGTGTTCATTGAGTCTCTCTATTCACAAGAATCCTGATTCTCCCTCATATCTTACCCATTGAAGCAACATAGCTCGGTTCTTGACCATGGCACCGAAAAACCGCATCATTATTGACACTGATCCAGGTACGTCGCGTGGTTTCCTGACTGCAGAAGCACCCGGAGGCATTATGCGTGTACTGACCGCTTCTCGAGCACAGGAGTGGATGACATCCTCGCGATTCTGCTGGCGCTCTCAGCATCTCCCGCTGATGTCGAAGTCCTGCTACTTTCTGTAACGTTCGGCAACGTTCCAGTACAGAGGCATGTTACATCTAAGGAGAAGACTTGGGATTGACTACTTGGTTCAGAGTCTAACAGATCATTCAAAGATGTCTCCGCAACATTGTCGCCATGTTCAATGTCCTGGAGAAAGAGTTCGCCTGGCGGAAGGCTCATGGGAAGGCGCTGGGATTCGACGCGCTGAGAGCCTCGAAACCGCTTGTCGCCGTGGGCGCAGATCATCCCCTAGAGGAAGATGAGTTGGCTGCCGACCATTTCCGTAAGTAATCTCTTACTCCATGGACGGTGCTCTGCTGACTGGACGCAGATGGTCACGACGGTCTGCACGGGGTCCACGACGAGCATCCGCATCTGAGTCCCGAGGCAGCATGGGGAGCTGCCTTCCGCGAGGGTCATGGCGAGAGATCTACGCCTGCTCTGTTCACCCCTTCTAAGGTAGCAGCTCACCAAGAGATCCTCCGTCTGTTGCGCGAGAGCCCCGTCAATACCATCACCATTGTCGCAGTCGGCCCCCTGACCAACCTGGCCTTGGCAGCTGCAGAAGAACCTATTACTTTCCTACGTGTCAAAGAAGTCATTGCCATGGGAGGCACCATCGACTTGCCAGGAAACATCACTCCAAACGGCGAGTTCAACATTTACGCCGACCCAGTTGCGGCAGCCCGGGTATTCGCACTCACATCTCCTCGTCCGTACACATCAATGCCCGTAACCACGGCAGCCAGCACTCTCCCACCGTACCCAGATTATCTCTCCAGGAAGCTCAAGCTGACCCTGTTTCCGCTGGACATCACGACCCCTCATCGACTATTCAAGGGTCCATTCACCGAAAAGGCGAAGCCACTAGAGGAGGCGGGGAGCCCCCTGGCCCAGTGGACGGGCCACTTCATGTCCCGCACCTTTGCCAAGATTGAGTCACTCAAGCCGTCCGGCAGTACTACGGAGGCGGGTCTCCAGCTCCAGAATCCAATGACCATATGGTACGTAATCACGCAGGAGGACAGCTCCGGAGCTAGAGGATATCCGTGTCGAGACGTCGGGTCAGTGGACTCGTGGCATGTGCGTGGTTGATCGAAGGGGCATCAAGAAGGCAGTCGGGCTAAGCATTGAAGCTGACGAGTCGGCTGTTGAAGAGCTTGTTGGCGATACTGGAGGATGGCTCGGCGCCAACAGAGGCAACCAGATTAGGAGAGTTGTTGAATCTCCTGGTGAAGATCTGTTTGGGGAGATCTTGTTAAAAAACATATTCGGCTAGGTAAAGATCTAAGTCACCTGCTTGACTTTCGCAAATACTCGCTATCTGCTCCATTGCCACGTCCCCATCCTTCATGCAGGTGGACTGCTTCGAGCCTCTCAGTACCAGGACGTCTCTCAGCGGCCGAGATCTATATACATAAACCTACTTCGCCGGTAGCAAAATACCCTATCGGTCATATCACCAGTAACTTTGTTATTATCTTTGTCGTCATCTCTATAATCTATTACCAGCATTATAGATGTTCCGGAGTTTATTCATCCGAGAATATACTCAGAAAGGCAGCCAAGAGGAGTAGGATTAATGACGATGACAGTGACAGTGGCAATTATAGTGACACTGGTCTCAGTGGAAAGGGACGAAGCGGAAACGTATAGATGCCTCGAGCCTTGAATCACTCTGACAACCACCTCACCTATCCAGATTCATCCCAACTACACGCTTGAAAAAGGCGTGTAAGAGGCGGCCATCCTCAAGCTGTGGGGTTTGATGAAGCTTGTGTAACCTTGTGGGGAGTGGCGGCGCTAGGAAATGCACGTCCCGGCAACTTGTCCTGCATTCTTAGACGGACGTCGCCGGACATATCCGAACTCACTCAACTTCGACAAAAGTTCCGATGTCGACATTTCAAGGGAAATTCTCAAGAACGAACTCTGTCTTCAGATGAACAAAGCATTGAGCCACAACTCCTGAAAACCAATCGTAGACTCAATACCGAGTGAGATTTTCAAACACCGAAATCGGGGGATATCGAACAGCATCGGGTGATTACGAACGGCATGAGTGATACCTGGGGCAGAAACATCAGTCGCGTACGAGCGGCTAAACAGCGAGCGAAACTGCTGAAGAACGGTCGAGATCTGTGCTAATTATGGTAGCTGCCTTAGTCTGAGGTACCTATCCATAAGATCAAGTCGACCTGTTGTAGGCTCAGGCGGATAGGGGTTATCTCAGTAGCGTTTCGGACCAAGATGGCCTGCACACGACAGTCATTTCGATTTCCAAGAGTCGTGAATGCAGCTGCTACGAAAAATTCATGGGATAGAGAGGCGAGATTGTCGTGGTCTAAGTACTGTTCTATCTTACACTACAGGCAAGCCAAACCTACAAACTCCGCCTTAGAACACTGAGCTCAGATCCCATCCCATTCAAGATGTAGAATGGAATCAGGAACATCATATGCGGCAAGCTTGTCTATAGCCTCAGCTGGGGTACTTGCTTCCACCACAATCCCAGCATTGGCTGGGCGAATGAACTTCTCCTCGGCGGCTCGACGAATCCAGCCCAGTACTCCATCCCAGAAGCCGCTGATGTTGAGCAGGCAAACACCGCGCTGATGGATCCCAAGCTGAACCCACGCCGCGACTTCTAGGATCTCCTCAATAGTGCCATAGCCGCCCGCAAGAGCTATGAAGCCGGACCCGGGACCTCCAGCAATCACCTCTTCCGCCATCATGCGCTTGCTAGTATGCATGTCGTTGACGATGGTAGTGCGACCGTAAGTTGCCTCCTCCGGAATGGGCACGTTACCCGAAGTTACGCTGCTGTAGGTATTGTCCCTTTCAAACTTGACCAGTGCTTCGGGAATGATGCCGTGTACTGAGTCGGGCCCTGATAATGAGACCAGGGTCTTGGCCACTTCCCCCATGAGCCCAACGGTTCCGCCACCATAGACTGCCGCGATGATCAGGAACCGTGGACCAAACTTCAGCTGAGAGATGTGAACTTACCCAATTTGATACCTCTGGCAGCCATGAGTCGCGCCAAATCTCGTGCAGCCTGCAAGTGGGCAGGGTCATTGCCAGTGGACGAACCACAGTATACGCATATCGTGATACTCCGTGAAGGGTTCATGGTTTTAGCCACCTTTCCGCTGGTGGTGGTGGTGGCGTTATCCATATTGTCTGTGGTGATTCAAGAGGTAGTCATTAGAGCTGCTTCTCTGTCGAAGGCAAACTGAAGAGACGGAGGGTAGGTATTGCACACTATTATATCAACGCTCAGAATGACCGCATCGGATTATTCGTGCGTAAAATTGAGCGAGGTGACTGACGGCCTGGAGAACCACCCAATTAGAGTTTACCTTAGTCCATATAGCAGTGCTTACGACCATTGGCAAGGACATCGTTGAGTAAGGTAATGGGATCGGGTATCGGAGTCTGCCGCCAGTTACTGGGTTGATGTGACTCACACACGAGGCATCTAGCTGGTTTCTACCTTGTTGTTCAGGCGCTTGCGTTCTCGTTGAATGCCAAGAACCGAGGTGATCAACCTCACCCGCTGAAACACTAACACCGCGTGGACTCCTTCCGTAGAAGCTCGCAACAAGGATCAGTTAGACATTCTAGGCAGAAGGAGACACCATCGAATTCCACAAGTCTTCAATTTACTGCAGCAAGTTCGACGGGAACTACAAGAGGCATCATATAAGCCGCCTGGAAGAGCATGCCACTATCAATACGTGCACTTTCCACAGTATGAACAGCTCTCGGAACAGGCTGTATAGTCACCGTCGCCATCGCTCCACTGTAGTCCATCCTCATCATCCGCACTCGGCCCATCCTGTACATTACTCGCAAGCCATATACACCATTCTTCATTGACCTCACTTGAGAATGCTGGGGCTAGTCCAGAGAATTGACTCCGAATCTCGAGCTTGTCAAGCTGTTGGCGGCCGATCTCGAGCCTGTCGTCCCTTCGCGCACGAGCAAGGCGAACAAGATGCTGTAGGAGTGCCGCTAGTTTCGAGAGCTCCCGGTTCTTCGATGTCTCCCAGGCTTTGACCTCCTGGGCTACATCCATGACCTCAATATCCTCGAATGTGCCCCTATCGTGATATGCTAGAATGAAGTTGGGAATCTGGGCAACCCATAGACGCGGGAGTTCCTCGCCAAGGAAGTCAGTGCCTTTGCGCTTAACCGACCGGGTCTTGAGATCGAAGACTGCAGATTGGGACACCTCAAAACCGCCACTCTTCAACTGTAGTTGCTGATGTGAGTCCTGCGGGCTCTTTGGTGTCATCTCTTTGACTTTGAGATCTTCAATCAGATTGTCAACTGAAAGCTTTTCGACAAAGGCGGGGCTGGGCTGGTCTGTAGAGGGGCCTTGTTTGTGTTTGAGGTAGCCATCACCCTCGTGACGAACAATGCAATGAAGACCCCCAAAGTCGTATTGGATGACGCGCTGGTGTGATGTTGAACCACGGACTTCATGATCCCAAGTAGTGTAAGCCTCTGGGAACTTGTGTCCGTAGCCCCGGACATCGGACATCGTCTCTTTGGGGGAATTCTCCCTTCGGATCAGGTGAACGGCATTACCAACCACCTCGAGAAGCATCCGGAAGGGTCTCTCGTCGCCCCGGATGAAGCGAAGCAAGTTTCCAATGGTACTGCCACAGGCAACGACGTCAACTGGTCTGGGCGGTGGCTCTGGGTGCCCCTTCAGGACAGCTTTGATGGCAGGCTCCATCGGATGAGCGGGGTATCGAGCAGCGTTCTTGTCCCGATAGTAGATACCATCGTCTTCTGACAGTTGTCGAGGTTCTGCGAGGGGTGTCCATCTGGGTGGAGCACCTGGCTTAGTGAGTACTATGCCTTGAAGCGGGTGAAGGGGCATCACGTACCTGGGACTATAATTGATGGTGTTGTTCTGTCCAGCCAGTTGTATGACGCGACGAGCTGGCAATCTGTCACTCGAGCAGACGATTCTAAGCCCAAAGCGGATTTCGATAAATCTGCTACGCTGATGGTCTCTACAAGTGGTCCGAATGGCGGCGCCGGCGATGACGCCGCAGGTTCTGATCGTCGCCAACGCGGATTTCTTTGAAATTGTTCATATTTCTGTCGTCGATACATGGTTCAGGAATGGAGGGCTCTGAAGACTTGGGGAATTGGATAACCATGCCGAAGGAATCAAGAACCGCGAAATAGTTGGAGGTTGTTCCCATATTTGAACCTTGTTCAATGCCGGCCTGGTCCGTTGGCGGCGAACCAGTCATCAAGTTGCGAGGCGACCTCTTGCAGCCTTCATGCCGGAGGCCTACAACCCCTCACTTCACCACCCAGTTTCAAGGCGAACGCCTACTTTTGGTGGTATTTCTACTTCGTTGTTCTTTTACGTTCCCAACACGTTCGCTCCCAACAGAAAGCATTGAAGCCTAACTTTGCCTACTTATGCTTGGGCCAACCGTGGCATGTGACAACTTCTTGGTTAAGTACTTCGGCTGGGTAACCGCACTGAGATCGAAAGCGCCAGAAACCGCGTTTTCTCACTGCAAAACATCATCTTCTCCCAGAATTTGAACTTGACAGCTCTCAAAGTCATCAATACATTGTCCAACAATTCCTTGCAAACGAAATCATGGTCCTGCTCAAGCAAGATGGTGTCACAGCACCCCCAAAGATTGATCCTGCTCGCGCCTCCCGTCTATTGAAGGTCTTCAGGGATGTCACCAAAGGCGGCAAAGCAATTTCCACGGCCGGCGAAGCACGTCTGTTCCTCGAGGCTGTTCGAACGAACGCCTCTCCCGCTGCCTGCCTGGAGATCATCACGGCTACCGAAGTTGCACGCAATGCCATTAGCAACAGCATCCGCATCGATTCGTCAATCTCTTTCATACGAGCACACGTCTTTCCGTTCATCGTTTATTTTAGCGACCCTGGGGTGAAGATGGTGTATGGTGGCCAACTCCTTCATCAAGTCCTACTCCTCATCGCCCACCCCCCAGTCCTTTGGGGAAACCTCTTGAATGCTTTCCGAGAGTCGCAACTCACCGAAGATGAGCTTCAAGTCTTTGCGTGGCTCTGCCTCGAGCTTGCTAGTCTACCTGACAGCGCACTCGATAATATCGTCAAGGAAATGTCCATCGCCTTGAGCCAGAAGCAGTTTCAGGAGGCTCGCAACCACGGGACTCGCGAGCTCATCTACAGAATCAGAAAGGTTCTTGCTCTCAGGTTGGCGTCTTCGGGCGACGAGAATCTTGAGGCAGCTGGTGGTCGCCATGACAACGACTTTTCGAACTTTCGGGATGTTTCGATCTTTCCAACCAGTGATGAATTCTACTCCAATGCAAAGCCTTTCTACCGAACGGCAGCCGAGGTTGCTACTGCAGATCACCTCCAGCGACCGCGATTTCATCTGGATAACCAGTTCCGTCTTCTCCGTGAGGACATGCTGGGCGAACTCCGTGATGATTTGAAAGTAGCCATTGGAAGAAAGAAGAGCAAGAAGAGGGCCCAGATATTTTCGGGATTGTTGCCCATCGAAATTGACACCGGAGATGAGAGGCGAAGTCATGCTTGTGCGGTCTCGCTTACATGCTTCGGGGGACTGGAGTTCATGAAGAAGCTATCATCGACCAAGTGCAAGGCCTTCTTCGACGATAATAGGAACTTCCTTCGACACCAGTCTTTCGGAGCCTTATGTGGCGAAGATCACATTGTAGCGTTCGCGTTCTTGCTACGGGACGTGGACCAATTGCTGAAGAAGCCTCCGGTCATTACTCTGCAGTTCACCAGCAGCGAAGCCACTGCAAGAGCTTTGCAGGCACTTAAGCCGTCAAACAACCTCAAATTCATTCTTGTAGATACTCCGGTGTTTGCATATCAGCCCGTTCTGGAGTGCCTCCGAGAAATAACAGAGTTACCACTCGGAGAGAGCCTTCTGCGGCTTCCTACTGATGAGACAAACCGGCCACAGGGCTCACTTCAGCAATCCTCTTACGTCCAGGAGTATGTCAGGCGACTAGAAAAGCTACTGAAAGAGGAATCGCGTAGCCTTTCCTTAGGCATGCAGACCTTTCGTCTCGATGATTCCCAGGTTCAATCATTACTGCATGCGTTACAGAGCCCTGTGACACTCATTCAAGGCCCTCCTGGTACGTGATTCCCAACCTTGTTCACTAAGTATACACCAATTGCATTTTCAATGTGTACGAGGCTAATTGAATTGACTCTAGGAACCGGCAAATCGTTTGTTGGCGCTCTGGCAGCAAAGATACTGCTTGGAGACCCGGAAAAACGGATTCTAGTGCTTAGCTATACCAACCATGCACTGGATCAGTTTCTCGAAGATCTGATGGAAATTGGCATCTCGTCCGGTGATATGGTTCGCTTAGGATCGAAGTCGACCGACGCAACTTCGGGGCTGTCATTAGAGAAGCAGTTGCGAAGCTATGCCTATCGTCGGAATAATGCAACGTGGGAACACATCAACGGCATGAAGACAGAGATGTATGAAGTTCGGATTGAGATTGAAGCAGCATGTGCCCTTCTCGTCCGGGATAAGGTTGGGTCTTTAGAGGTCTTGAACTTCCTCGAGTTTTCCGACGACGATCAGACATTCTACGAAGCTTTTCTGTTACCCGAGCAAGAGAGAGGGTTCCAACTCGTAGGTAAGGACAAGGGCGTCATGGGCCCCGACTATCTACTGGGACGCTGGATTACGGGGCAAGATGCCGGCGAACTCTGGCACTTCGTATCGTCCGAAAGCCAGGATATCTGGCACTTGTCAAAGACCCAGAGATCTGTCCACGTCCAACGATGGGTTGATTGCATTCGAAAGGAAAGGATCGAATCAGTGCAGAACTTGATCAAGAGGTTTGACGAGGCCCAGGAGCAAGTGGAGAGAATATTTAGCGAGTCCAAATCTTCTTTCATGCAAACGAAGAAGATCATTGGATGCACCACGACCGCGGCTGCCATGTACAAGTCGCTGATTAAGGCTGCCAAGCCCGATGTCGTTTTGGTTGAAGAGGCTGGCGAAATTCTCGAGGCTCATGTTCTGACTGCTCTGCACAGCGACACGAAGCAGCTCATATTAATCGGGGATCATAAACAACTGCGGCCCAAGATCAATAACTACGCGCTGAGTGTCGAAAAAGGAGACGGCTTCGACCTCAATCGCTCGCTCTTTGAACGACTGATTCTCCAGGGACACGACCACGTCACGCTCCAAAAGCAGCATCGCATGCATCCCGACATCTCGGATCTTGTCCGGCAGATGACGTACCCAGATCTATTGGACAGTGACAAAACCAAGGATCGGAAGCCGCCCAAAGGATTTCAAGGAAGAGTCAGCTTCGTTAACCACAGCCATCCAGAGGACCTGGCCAGTAATATCGCCGATCGCCGCGATGTTGGTGTCGTCTCCAGCAGGAGCAATCTCTATGAAGCGCGAATGGTTCTGAAGTTGGTAAAATACTTCGGACAGCAAGGATACGGCACGGAAAACCTGGTCGTTCTCACGCCCTATCTGGGACAACTACGCCTGCTCAGAGAAATCTTGGGTTCCGAGAACGACCCCTTGCTTAACGATTTGGATTCGTTTGAGCTCATTTGTGCGGGACTCATGACTGCCGCCGCAGGAAAAGTACCAGACGGATCAGGATCAGGAAGAATCAGACTCTCAACCATCGGTAAGTTTGGAGAAACCGTCGGTCAATGAAACCTCAAGACTAATGGCCAAACTACATAGACAACTACCAGGGTGAAGAGAGCGACATCGTCATTGCTTCCCTCACCAGGAGCAACAACAACGGCGACATCGGCTTCATGAAGGCGCCTGAGCGTCTCAACGTTCTGTGTTCCCGCGCAAGGGAGTGCCTCATTCTCATAGGCAATATGGAGACCTTCATGGCATCTCCGCACGGCAAAGCAGTCTGGCTGCCTTTCTTCAGCTTAATGAAGGAGAAGAACTATCTACATGATGGCTTCGCAATACGCTGCCAAAAACACCCTGAACGAACTGCACTGCTCACAGAACCAGATGACTTTGATACAAAGTGCCCTGATGGTGGCTGTGACAAGGCTTGGTAAGTCCCATCAAGAAGCTGTACATGACATGAATACAAGAGGAACCACGCTAAGAGACTGGAACCAGCAACGCCACGTTGTCTTGCAACATACATAAGTGCCTGCGGCGTTGCCATAGACTCAGTGATCACAGCAAGATTCGTTGTCATACAAGGCTCGCAAAGCACTGCGACAGAGGGCATGAGTACAGCGTAGACTGCAACAACCAGGATCAGAAATGTGCTGTATGCTTCAGGGAGGACGAGGATACTCGAAGGCGCTTGAAACGCGACTTACAGATGGAAATGAAACGCAACCTTGCCCAAAATAAATACGCTCAAGACTTACAAAAGGTAGACGACGACTTGGATCGCGAGAGAAGACTGATAAAGAATGAACAAGAGGATCAGAAGCGGAGCAAGACTCTAAAAGAACACATGGAAGAACTGAAAGCTCTCCAGCAGACTAGAGTTCGTGCTGAGGCAATGAAGGCCAACCGAGAACCCCCAAAGAGTGTTCCGGGTGCTTTCCCGGATGGAAGAAAACCTACGGCGAGTCCAGTTCTGAAAGCTGGAAGCGCAGAGGAAGAGTGGCAAAACTTGAAGACGAAATTCGAAGCTAGCAGCAATGCAATGGATCAACTCATGAAGATGATTGGGCTCGAGAGCATCAAAGAGAATTTCCTCTCTATAAAGTCCAAAGTCGACACGGCGGTGAGGCAGGGGATTTCACTGTCAACGGAGAGGTTTGGCTGTTCTCTCTTGGGAAACCCCGGAACAGGCAAGGCACACTCACCTCACAAATTGGTCTGATACGACAGCTAACATATCAATCGCAGGCAAGACCACCGTAGCACGGATCTATGCCAAGTTCTTGGTGTCGGTGGGTGTCATAGCCGGCAGTCGCTTCGAAGAGAGATCTGGTTCGAAGTTGGCGTCTTTGGGCGTGCCTGGCTGTCAGAAGCTGTTAGATGACGTTTTGAATGACGGCGGCGGAGTGATCTTTATCGACGAGGCATATCAACTCTCCTCAGGTAATAATCCCGGTGGCCGCGCAGTTCTTGATTTCCTGCTCGCGGAAGTTGAGAATTACACCGGCAAGATTGTGTTCGTTCTCGCTGGGTACAGTAAACAGATGGAGTCCTTTTTTGCGCACAACCCTGGATTTCCGAGTCGGTTCCCGATTACGATGAAGTTTGAAGACTACGACGGCGACGAGCTTCTGAAGATCCTTCAGTACCAGATGGACAAGAAGTATGGAGGCCGCATGAAGTGGGAAGATGACCTCCACCTCCGCATCGCATGTAGTAGACTTGGTCGAGGGCGCGGAAAGGAGGGATTTGGCAACGCACGAGCAGTCGAGAATCTTCTTTCCAACGTGTCTAGTCGGCAGGCGAATCGAATTCGAAAGGTTCGTCGAGGTGGGGCAAGCCCAGATGATCTCCTTTTCACGATGGAGGATTTGGTTGGGCCGGAACCTTCAGTTGCCCTCGGGCACAGTAAAGCTTGGATTGAATTGCAGAAACTGATTGGACTTGGTTCAGTCAAAGAATCAGTCCGAGCCTTGATCGAAAGCACCCAGACAAATTATGTCCGCGAGCTGGCAGAGGAACCCATTATCGAGTACTCGCTCAACAAAGTCTTCCTCGGCTCGCCGGGAACGGGGAAGACCACCGTGGCGAAGCTGTACGCACAGATCCTCGTTGATCTAGGTCTCTTATCGAATGGAGAGGGTAAGCCGGCGTACCTGGCTACGATTGTAATGGTGCTAATGCTTCATAGTGATCGTCAAAAACCCTGCAGACTTCGTAGGTGCTGTCCTGGGAGCCTCCGAGGCCCAGACCAAAGGCATACTGGCGTCGACCGTCGGGAAGGTTCTCGTCATCGATGAGGCTTACGGACTATATGGAGGCAGTAGCTCATCTGGGGGCAGTTCTGACCCCTACAAGACTGCCGTCGTAGATAGCATTGTTGCCGAGGTCCAAAGCGTTCCAGGAGAAGATCGATGCGTGCTCCTCCTGGGTTACAAGGACCAGATGGAGGAGATGTTCCAGAACGTCAACCCGGGCCTGAGTCGACGGTTTCCATTGTCTTCCGCCTTCGTCTTTGAAGACTTCGACAAAGCAGAGATGCAGAGAATCCTGGACCTCAAACTCAAATTACAAGGATTCTCTGCTACCGACCAGGCCAAGCAAGTCGCTTCAGACATGCTCGAAAGGGCGCGCAATCGACCGAACTTTGGCAACGCCGGAGAAGTGGATATTCTACTAAACGACGCAAAGGCACGTCATCAGCGACGATTGACCGCCAAGGAAAGTCATCAAGTCTCCACGCTCGAAGCGCTAGACTTTGACCAAGACTTTAATCGCGCGGAACGGAACGAGACCAATGTTGCAAAACTCTTCGAGGGGACCGTCGGTTGCGAGAAGATTGTCGCTACGCTCGAGGGATATCAGGAGACTGTACGTTCCATGAAGGCACTGGACATGGACCCAAAAGAGAGTATTCCTTTCAACTTCCTCTTCCGCGGCCCCCCGGGCACGGGCAAGACCTCAACAGCGAGAAAGATGGGCAAAGTCTTCTACGACATGGGATTCTTGGCCAAGGCAGAAGTTATTGACTGCTCTGCATCCGATCTCATCGGCCAATATGTCGGCCAGACTGGCCCCAAAGTGCAACAACTCCTGGATAAGGCTCTCGGAAAAGTGCTGTTCGTTGAGGAAGCCTATCGTCTTGCCGAAGGACAGTTCGCCAAAGAGGCGATTGATGAGGTTGTCGACTCGGTGACGAAGGACAAGTACAAGAACCGCCTTGTGATAATATTGGCTGGCTACGACGAAGACATCAATCGACTGCTTTCAGTGAACCCGGGCATGTCAAGTCGGTTCCCAGAAGTCATCGACTTCCACAGCCTTAGCTCCGAGAGTTGCTATGAGCTTCTGCTGCAGCTTCTACTCAAGAAGAAGCGATTCCTCGACAGCAAGAAAGCATCTAACAACCTCGACTTGGCTTGCTTATCAAACCCATCGTCCGATTTCCAGAGAGAAGTCATCGGCATATTTCACGCGCTCACTGCAACCGTCGGCTGGGCCAGCGCTCGAGATGTTGAAAGCCTCGCCAATTCGATTCTCAGCATCGCGATCAAGTCTTGTCGCGACGGACAGGTAATGATCGACGAAGATCTTGTGAAGAAGGAATTTCTCAGGATGCTTGATGAGCGCGAAAGCCGGGGACAGCAGGCGGGGACCATTCGTGGCATGCCCAAGCTCGAGCAATTATTCCAGCAGATGCCACCCCCTCCTCAAACACGAAGCATGCGAACAGTGGCACATGAACAAACCACGGCTGAAGCCACAGACGAGGAAGCAGAACCCACACCTCCTGAGAGTCCGGTGGCGGAGGTCAGTGACGGGAGCTGGAAAGCAACACGCGACGCTGGTGTCAGTGATGAGGTTTGGGAACAACTGGAGAAGGACAAGAAGGCTCAAGAAGAAAAGAATACCAAATATCGAGACATGCTCGAGAAAAAGCGCAGAGCAGTTGGTGCTGCTAGGGAGGCAATTCTCAAAGAGCTTATCGAGGAGGAAGAGCGGCGAAAGAAAGAAGAGGAGCAGCGTAAGAAGGCCGCGATGATGGGTCGATGTCCCATGAATTTCGCTTGGATCAAGCAGAGTGCTGGTTTCCGGTGTGCGGGAGGTTCACATTTCATTTCTGATGAGGAGATTATTTGCACCTGAACCATGGTGTGTAGGCGAGATAGAGGGAGAGAGTGTGTGTCTATCCCATCGAGTGCCACTTGAAGCCATTTTCGCCAAGGGCGGGGTAGAGCCAATAAGAAGCTGTAAATCTATTAAGTTAACCAATAGGGTTACAGTACCTCTATTGCCTATATATTCTGCGTATGCCAGAGGTACCAGTAATCCCCTTAGATACATAAGGGTACGTTATAGTCTAAGCAGCCCTTCCTCGTATACTTACGCTGCGTGAAGCTATTCCTAGATATCTCGCCTAGTACCTTGCGGGCCCTTAATACCCTTATATTATTATAATGAAAATAAGGGGAATTAACCTTCCGTAACCTCTTTATATAGTGTTTCTATAGGATGGAGGTATTCCTTTTATCTATAGCCCGTCTAGGCCATGACCTCTATGTTACGACCCAACATGCATGACCAAGAACAGGGCCTGCCCCGCAGGCTCGCGGCGGTTATAATACACCACATATGCAGGAGACAAGGGACACTAGGCACCCTCTCACGGAACGGAAGAACTATGGTACAAGTCACGTGATGATAAGATAAGACATGAGCGGCCATGGTGGGGCCATGAGCGACCATGGTGGGGCCATGAGCGCTCATGCCGAACAATGAGCGCTCATGCCGAACGATGAGCGCTCACCCGATCAGAGGAACTGATCATTGACAAGGGATATGTTCAGGACCAGGACTTGTATATAGGATGGACTCGAGCCGGACTCTAGGACAGACTTTCCATAGCTCTTCAGCAATTAACTTCGTATCAGGATTAACCTCCGCTTTCAGCTACTACCTTGACAAGACTACGATTGATCACCGAAGCCTTACCTACCCTTACGATTGACAGACATAGCTTCCCTGAAGCTATCCCCGACTACGATTACTGTTACCAGTTCCGCAGCCTCAACTTCTGCAAACTACCCCTACGACTAGCTGGCCGTAACACCTATAACATAGTTTAGATTAGTATAGACCATGTCGGTATAGCGCCCGGCACGTCCTTTTGTTACCAGGGTTCAAATACATCATCATCATCATCATCACTTGTGCTCTGCATATATGGTGCGCTGTAGCCGCCGCGAGCCTGCGGGGCAGGCCTTGTTCTTGGTCATGCATGTTGGGTCGTAACAGTGAGGTTGGTAATAGCGTTATGTTTTAGTAGTTAGGGATGCCCGAATAACTGGGGCCTAAGCTGATCTACGGCCTCTTATTGGCCAGAAGTGAAATAATCAGGTATTTCAAGTCAATCGAGGGATGTAGGATTGTCTAATTAACGGCGGCGATGGCATCACTTTGACTAGTTGATTTGGGTAACTTGGCAAGGCGCCTTGTACTTGCGGAAGCGCTGATAGTAGGCATGCACCACGCATATCACGTGTCCGCGCAGGAGGAGGTTGCTGGGGCGCTGCATGACTGAGTGTATGCATCTTTTTCCAATCTTCGTTGACATTCACTAATGCTCTTTAGAATTTCTGCGATTTTGATACTCCACTGGCGTGTCGTCCTCTCTCCTCGGCATAGGAATCTATTGGTTTGGGTCTTTCGGGCATCCCGGCATTTCCTCCCGCAGCCGCTTTCATTCTTTTGGGGGGGGTTTCTCTTTTGGCGTCGGTCCTCTTGCACAATTCTCATTTTCTCGTTGTCCGTTTCGTTCGGTTTCTGCATTTCAGTCACAGGCAAGGTTTGTGGCTTTCGCACTTTTTCCTTTCCCAATAATACGGTCAAACGTCTACGGGCAGAGGTTTTATCTGCGCTTTAGCCTTTGCCGAGCTGGGTTCTTCCTGCTGCAAGCTAGTCATCTTTGTGGTTGGCAATATACCCATTACAAAAATCCTCCGGAGTTATCGAGTGACACTGTGCGAGCCCAAAAGTTCGGGTCGCAAAAGTTCCTGCTTGTGACAAACACGTTGTTCGGTATCCGATAACAATGATAACGCATGGTAGTTCGACATTCTCTCGGGCATTTATACTTGAACGTCGTAGGATTCGGTCGCTGAAACTCCTGAGCCTCCAGGAGCATAACCAACTCCGTGACGTTGATCGCGAGGATCAAACACTACTCTCTGGGGTTGTCGAAAGTGGACTAGTTGGCTGACATGATAGAGGAACGACGGGAGACAAGAACAGACTTTCAGAGTCCAGGATTGAGATGCTATTGGCTCAACAGATCAGCGGTCCCGAGTCCCAGAGTCCCGTCACGGTTGACTGGTGGGCCTGGCCCTCCCGCCCTGTCAATATTTGCCTCAAGGTTACCCATGTAACATGATCCTGCCAGGGATCACGGGAGCGTCGCCAATCCTCCGAAGCGCAGACTAGATCTGGGCAACACGCCCTCTTCATGTCTAGCGCGCGGTGGATCGGCTGTCATGTCATTCTAGGCAACGTCATTGTAGACGCAGGCAGTGACGTTGAGTTTAATAGAGACAAGGAATCTTAAAAAGAGGGTTTGATCCTACGCGGGGAAAGTTCTGTCACGAGAATGCTATGCGGGGAAGACGCACGGCATAATATCTTAGTTATCATGACATGGCGAGTTATTTCTGTGTTGAATTGTCAACAATTGTTGTGGGCTGTCAAGGGGGGGTGGTCAAATCCCCATCGGCCGCCGCGGCATCACAAGATAAAAGCTCAAAAGGGTGACTCGCCTGCCGCGCATGACAGCCCTATAGGCTGTCGACAAGCGTAAGTAAGGTTTCGCCAAGTGCACCAATACGCGGGGGCCCGGAACCTGGCAGGCTTGCGTGGTATGATTTTTTCTTGTCAGGGAACGTAAACCAAAATCAAGTGGAGAGATCTACGAAACCTGGCTGTGCCGCTGTGAGGTGAGGTTTTACGGCTGGGTCTCTCGTAAGATCGACGCTAGATATGTTTCATCAACTGCTCAAATCCGGGGCATCTGGCAATGCTCTGCCCACGTCAGGTATCTAAGACCGCCTTGGATGCCAGGTTTCTCCACTACGAATGAGGCGGTTGAAGGTTTCTATGTTCAGATAGTAAGCAAGATAAGATACCCTGGCTTAGATACCTTGCTGGTCACAAGACGTGGTCTGTCTGGGTGTTGTGATACAGCAAACTATCAATTTGTAGTATACACTAGACGGGTCATGAGGGATGCTGTAAACTACCTTGGAGGTGTGAAATAAGTGTCACAATCATGAAAACATGAGTTTCACGAGGCTCAGCTTGATCAACGGCCATGATGTAGAAAGAAAGCCTCAATGATGATTTGCTACATGCTAAACAAGCTTTAAGGAGTATCCCGGTCTGTCCTTTATTCCTCGTCCTCCTCTGCTGCGTCTTCTGCAAAATCGACCACATTCGCCTTCGCGCCAGTCGCACCTCCAGCCGCGCCACCAGTAAGACCTCCGAGAAGAGCACCAATTCCTCCAGCGCCACCAGCGCCACCAGCGCCACCAGCGCCCGCCGCACCGCCAGCTGCACCTCCCGTGAGACCTCCGAGGAGGGCACCCAAGCCTCCGGCGCCGTTGGCACCGCCAGCACCACCCGCATCGCCGAGAAGACCACCGAGCAGACCCTCAATACCCCCAGCGGGGGCCTTGGGAGCAGCGGCAGGTGTCTTCGGGGCAGCAGGGGCAGCAGCAGGAGTCTTGGGTTTAGCGGGAGCAGCAGCAGGGGGAGCGGTGGTGTTCCTTGCAGGTTTGGCTGAAGAGCAAGAGTACCATTGTTAGTATTCGATGATGTTTATATTCTCGGACGGACAGACGGAAACGGGGGTGGCGCGGGGGACGGCGCGCGACGGAGGTGGGGTGCTCTACGCACCACCAGCGGAGAAGGCCTGGATGCCCTTGTCGAGGGCGGCAGTGATCTGGTCAATGCTCTGCTGTGCGATGCCCTGGCCGATAGCGGGAACTTTGGAGACGATGGCGGTTCCGAGGCTGGCGGAGGCGGTCTTCTGTTGCTGGAGGTTCTGGAGGACGACGCTGGAGACACCGATCTGGTCAAAGTTGGACTTCTTGGAGACGAGACTGTCAATCAAGGTAGTTGCGGAAGAGGTGAGATCGGTGGCGGTCTGCTGAAGGCCGAGAGCCTCCTGGAGCTGAAGAGACTGAGCACCCTGGATATCGGTGGCGGCCTTTGTCAGGGTGTCCTGGACCTCAGTGGAAGCAGCCAGAATGGGTTGTGCGGATGCAGCATCGTTACCAACGCCCTGATGAATGCATGTTAGTCAAGTCCGATGTACCACAGTTCCTGCATATCCCATCTCTGGACCGCATCGAAGCCGAGACTTCCCAACGGTACCGTATGCCCGATGTTCGGACCAACGTACCTGGACGGCGGTGTTGAGCTTGGTGAGAGCTCCCTGGACGGAGGTGACGGCGCTCTGGATGACGGAGAGTTGGCGCTTCTCGATGGGGGAGGCGAAGGCGGTGCCGACGAGGGCGAAGAGGAGAGTCTTGGTCAGCTGCATTTTGATAATAAGTCACTAGCCAGAGTGATCTGTTATGGTGTCGAAGGATGATTAGAGAATAGGGTAATGTGCAACAGCAAGTCTCCAACCCGGGAGTATATAAGTGAGAGCGTTGGAAAAGTCTGTGCTGACAAGGTTTTATGGATGAGGATGCTTTTTCATCCCCGATTGTGAGCCGGGAACCATCGAGCTGATATATGAGTGACCGGATGGCTGCGCGCTGACCTCATGTGCCACGGGCAAGCAGTAAAGCACATCTCGCGAATTCACCTCGGCAGCAACTCTAAGTCCCCTGTGCCAAGATAGGCCCAATGTACGCACAGCCCCCGAAGCCTGAGACGATAGAAACCATAGAGGTGTGGATATTATTATCGCACCAGACCGACGGCACGACGGCTTGCGGGCAGTTTCTTCGGACGTCTCAGGGTGTTCGAGAGCCCTCCCTTGTTTCTGTGGTGGAGGAGGGCAAGGATTACGTGCCACGTTGGGCCCAGTCTTCACGTCCAAGTCAGCTGCAGCTTCTTGGCTGTCGTTGTTGAGTTGAGGGGAGCAACACTAGCTTCCATGGCTTGTTGGCAATTATGTCGCCCCCTACCAGTGCGTACTGACGAATCCAGGATTGCGCCATGTCAAGGTGTGTGTGAATTTGTGTTATATGAGCCGTTGGTGTGGGGAGGAGAATAGTCAGTTGTGCGCGCTTGCGAGCGTTGGAGTTCAGATGAAACGAAACTCGGCCGTGCAAGTCGTCTCACAAGGTCGACTGCAGCTACCCTTTTGGACAAGTACAGGGAGCCCCATGCCTGAGCGGCAACGTTTGTTCACGAAAATCGTGAGACGTTTGGAGACGTCGAGATTCTTATGCCAAGGACCTCCCTCCGGACATTGTGTGGCGATGGGGGAAGACCGCAGGGTTGAGGCTCTGTCTTCTTCTTCTTCTTCTTCTTCTTCTCACCATCTTACCCCTTTGGGGTTGGTATGCACCACCACACCCCTTCACCAACGCTTCGAGTCAGAGAGTCAAGGAACCTCAGGCGTGACGACATCTGTCATTCGCCGATGGCTTACAGGGACTTGCCGACGATCTGGGCAATCAAATGCAGCAAAGAATTCATCATCCCAGAGTCCATCACCCAGCCTCCCGCGCACAAGCCAGCAAAGGACTCGAGAACCAATGTATGGGTTTCCTATTCGGGTAATGTAGAGGAGAAACTCTCTCCAGGCTGGTGGGTTTCGTGTAACCGGGGTGGCCTCCAAACAGGTTCAAACGGGGTCAGGCACCAGATCGCTGCAAGGGTTACGAAGAGGCCAAGCACTAAGTGATCGTTGACGACTCAAGGCTCACGGCTCTGTGCCAAAATGGCACTAGATTTAACCTTACCACTAGGGAAACGGGTAAGATGTATGAGGAAACTACCGATCCCCACGAAAAACGAAGGTTAATATGGCATCTCTATCTCCACCAGGATATTGCCTCTCTTGGCTCTCAGATTCTTGATCTAGGGAGTACGCGACATCGTCTTGGCCATTCATACCTCGTGCGTCTGGGGAGGCGATGATGTCGTCGCCGATTTTGGCGTGTGTCTTAGTCCCAGACGACCTAATCAGCTGGCACGGCGTGACGGATGATCGGCTGCCACCCATATTCGGCGACGCAAAGCCCCTCCGTTCATTGACAAACATCGAACCGGAACACGACTGGACAGCCGGAAGAGCAGAGCAGAGACTGCCAAGACAGAGACAGATTGGTCCCGTCGGTCTCTGTCGCCCAATGACCCTGCATGATGGATTATGCGTCGCCTCCTTTGCCCACCCATTTCCCTCTTCTGGCAATTCATGAGTCGACTGGAAGCGGAACAAGACGCAAAAGGGGGTTTTGCAAATGGGCAAACGCGGCTTTGGGGTTTGGTGTTGAGTTGCAGACTGCGCGGGAACACGGCCTATCCGTTCCCTTCAGGGTCGCTGCACAGAATGGAACGCGGGAATTGTTCGAGAAGACTGTCAGACAGAGCCGTGGTAGTGCCGCTCTCAGGTCATGTCTCTACCTACATCGAGTCGAGAGCTTGATGCCGATGCGAGTGCGATCATTCGCCGCACCGGAATGGCGGCAAAGGCGGCCAAAGAATGAGACGAAATGACTGAGTAAGCTGATGTGACAACCGTCCGCGGAATGCGATTCATAGTTCAGCTGACTGGAGCTAGCGAGGCTGAGGGTCTCGACTGAAAAAGACAGCTGGAAATCTCCGGGGAGGCCCTACGGTCTTTTCGTGGGTTGCCCGGGTGTTTCTCGAATCCAGGAGGGCAGCGAGCCCCCTGCCAGAGGGCCGAAGGATTCGGCCCCGCTCTCGGCGCGGGGATAACGGCAAAGCGGGGCGTATATCAGCCGACCGAGACCCACCCGGGCCTCGGTGATTTCGTTCGGTGTATTCATCCCCGCTCGATGTAAGCCGGTCCTTGGATTGAGATGCCAACTCTACAATGGAGAACATAGATATATATTAAAACAAGAGTTCATTGAGCTTCGTTCTGCTCTCGCCACCAAAACCTATCGAGTCTTTCAAACACTCATTGCAGTGACTCAAAGTCATCACCTCCACCACAGACTCAGCCATGAGCAAATCCTCCGAGACCCTCGCCACACTGGCATCTCAGCTGTTGCAGCTGGTGACTTCGACCTCTAGCGATGTTGAAAAGAATAGCGCTGCTGTCGACATCGCACAAAAGATCCTCACGGCAACGCGAGTACCGACGCCGGACTGGATGGACTGGATGATCAAGGTCATGGAACTGACTGGACTGAAGTTATTCCTTGACTGGAACGCCTTGGAAATGATTCCATCGAAAGGTTCTATCAAATACGCTGAGCTGGCCGATAAGTTGTCAGCGGATGAGCCTCTTGTCCGTAAGTCTGACTGTCTGCAGCCTGCTCGCTCAGCCCCATACTAAAGCTGTCGATAAACGTTGATATTGACATCGGAAAAAGGAAGGCTAGCTTGGGTACTTGTTTCCGGTGGACTATTGCGCCAGATTGAAGGAGACAAGATTGCACATACAGACAAGTCGCGCCAATATCTTCCTGGGATGCCCAATGAGGTCTTGCTACACATGATGTGAGACTGAAGAAAGTCACTTCCTCGTCCAATCACCTAACATGTCTGCTAGGTTCGAGGAGCATGTAGTCACGGCTATGGGGCTCCCCAAGTACTTCGAAGAGTACGGCCGCCGCGAGCCGGCTACTCGCCGCCATACGCCTTATGCCTTTTCCCATGGTCAGCCCGAAAAGGAAGTTTGGGAAATTCACCAAGAGAACCCTGCGCAGGTGAAAAGATTCATGGAAGTTATGGAGATGGTGCAGCAATTCATTCCTTTAGCTGGCATCTATGACTTTGGCTGGGTGGAGACGAAGCTCTCCGAGCAGCACGACAGACCGATTCTTGTAGATGTGGGTGGCAGCAAGGGCCATGCTATCAAGGCGATCATGAAGGAGAACCCTTTCCTTCCAGCCGATCGCATCATTCTTCAGGACAGAGATGAGGTGATTGAACAGGTTGCCGAACTCAAAGATCCCGGGCTCGATGGAGTACAGCTGCAAGTACACGATTTCCACAAAGCGCAGCCTGTCAAAGGTACGTTTACATGCTTTCGAATTTCTCACGTGTCCTTGAAGATCAGCTGACACATGCAGACGCACTGATTTATTGGATCCGGCGATGTCTGCACGACTATGGAGACGATGACTGCGCCACGATGCTCACGCAGTTATCGGATACCATGAGTTCGGACAGCAAGGTACTCATCGTTGAATACGTCCTTCCGAGCCCTCCCCCGCCTATTGGCGCCATGACCGACTTCAGCATGCTCGGAATTGGGGGAAAGGAACGAACAGCCAAAGACTGGGAAGTACTTGTTGCTAGATCTGGGCTCAAAATCGAGAAGATTCATGGCCTGGACATGAAGATGCAAGTCATTGAATGTGTCAAGGCTTGATTTGGCATAGATCGCTGAAGACTGGAAGAAGAACGAGTGGACCGTAGAGTTTTAGGGCCCAAGTTCGGAAACAGCCGTAGGTTGAAGTCGCAATATGGTAAACTGCTGAATAGTCACACCTCTCCACCCAAATATTTCCGAGTCTCTGTTACGTTGAACTACATTGTATCTTAGCCCAAAGGGTTTGATCTAGCATGTTTTGATCGCTATTTTCGGTTTCGATAGAGAATAATTCGTCACCCTGAGCGGCATAATTAGCCCCGTGGAATCCAAAAATGCCCGCGTGTAAACGGAACCGCCCCTGCTGAAGGTAAGTAACGCAAATTCATGTTTCCCCGGAAGTATCTCTGTCTCCATGTTTATCCTGGAACCTGTTATGAAACAACCTTAAGTCCACTGGCAAACTCTACTTTGTTTGACACATGCCTAGATGCAGGCATATGCGGGTGAGTCCCCGCATTATATGCCTCCCCAAATCTTCAATCATTGAACATTGGATGATCCTACCATCGTCATAGTCAGTAAAGAAATGGGGAAGTAAATGTGTCAAAACTTGTTGTGGACAAACCTTGTGCATCGCCCAAATTTCGTCTAGATAGAATACTCGATCAAGATCCGGTCGGACATCTCCGTTGCCAAGCCATGCCATTCGATGATCATAGTCTTCGGCCCTCTCGTATTCAAAATCTTCCCATCGAGGGTGACGCAGAGCGGTATACCCGTGTAGACAAGAACCAGGCCACAGGGTTCGGATCTTGGCCTTGCCCGAAGCCCCATTCTTGTACCATGATTTGCAATTACCTAAAAGTTGGGGAACACAGAGGTGTCAGTCTTTGTCGCACAAGTTGAGAAGCCGGGTCATTGGGCAAGAAAAGACTAGCTTACCGGTGTACACAGTCCTGTCGAAGTAATTGTCTGCGTATTGAAGGAAAGATCCCACAGCTTCGTCCTTCACAACAATGCTCTTGTACCCTTCACGAATGCACTTTTGAATGCACTTCGTGACGTATGCGATTTGTTGCTCCATCAAGATGAGCAAGGATCCTGAGCCAACGCCAGACTGAGCGTTTAGGATTGGGAAGCTGTCAAAAGGATAAGCGGACGCGACCTTTAAGGGCACTAGACGCTCCTTAGTTACTTACAAGTTAGGCATCTGAGGAACACAAATAGCCAAGTACTGTTTGACATCTGTGGCCCACAGGTCTTGCAGATTAATGCCGCCAGAGCCATAGATCGGGAAGCTAGGTACGGCAGAGACGTCCTGATTATGTGCGTTAACCCTGAAGTAAGGCATTCAGTAAGGAAGGTAGCTCACAAAGCCAGTGGCGCAAATGATCGCGTCAAATTCAAGTTCGCGGCCGTCAGCTGTCACGACACCCTTCTCAGTGAACGATGCCAGGTCTTGAGAACAGAACTCGACATTGTCTGCCGTTAGACTCTCCAAGTAACCTAAGAGAATCTTCATGTCAGTGAAACGTCTTTCCAAGATATTGGCACAGAAAGGATTGGAGATGTTGTGCAAATCAAGATCTGGTGAGCTTACCCGGTCCCGGCGTGAGTCGTTTGCAAGCAACTGGAAAGTCAGGTATAAGCTTCTCAGCGATTTCAGGCTTGCATGCAAGCTTCTCCATCATCTTAGTCTCGATGATCATTCGGGCTTCTAGCTGCAAAGGTTGGCCCTGCTCAGTAATCTTGTGTACGGCGTTGAGGCCTCTCTCTAACTCTCGACGGAACTGAGAGTAGAACTCCTCGTTTGTAAAGCTCTTCTTTTCCTCGGGAGAGAATACATCTAAGTAGGACCTCAGTATCAAAAAGTGTAAGCTTGCTAGATCTTGGGAGGAGTGAACTCACGGTTGCTAGCTCCTGCACCTTCGTTGAGGCGCTCAAGAAAGGCTGAGGCAAATGTGGAGGAGACCCAAGCTGATGACGACTATTGATTAGCTTGTCTACAGTGCCTTATGGAAAAATGGCATACGTACTTCGACTCCTTACGAAGTTCGTAACATGTTTTGCTTTCTTTTGCATCTGTGGCATGATCTGAATTGCACTAGATCCCTGGAAGAACACAGAATTCAGAATAAAAACTGCTTATTGGGGCTGTGCTGGTTACTTACCACACCAATGACGGCTACTCTCTTGTCTTTCCATGAGAACCCCTCCTGTGCTTCCTCCTTGGCGGCATCCCAAGCTGCAGAGTGATGCAGAATGCCCTTGTATCTTTCTCGACCTTTTATTATCTATTAGCCCTGCTGTGCTTGCCTTTCTTGCCATTATCCGCAGAGTTTCGGATATGTGGCTCAAGCTTACCCGTAATCGTTGGCCATTTGGGTTTTGATAGAAGACCAGTGGCATACAAAAAGTAGTCGGCCTCGTCAACTTTCTCCTCGTTCTTGTCTAGATCTACCACTCTGACTGACCACTTCCCACGTTCTTGTGACCATTCGGCTCCGACGACTCGGTGCCGCAGCTTGATGAGACTCTGCAATTTGTAATGGTCGACAACCTTCTTCAAGTACCTGTGAATCTCTGGACCAGGCGCATAAAATTCGGACCACTGGGTATTCTGGCAAAAGGAGTACTGGTAGCTGTGCGCGGGAATGTCGCATGCGGCACCAGCGTATCGATTGTGATGCCACACTCCGCCGATGTCATCTGCAGATTCGTAGATCTGGAAGTCAATGTCTCGAATATGCTCTCTCATGTGGATTGATGCCCCGATACCACTGAAGCCCGCGCCAACGCAGATGACCCGAACTTTGCGATCAGAGTCGATAGGCCGTTCAAGAAGAGGAGCCGCCCATGTATAGTCTACGTCTTCCCTGTCGCGGATTCTTTAAGCATGTTTACTCCTGTGAGTGGTGAATGCAGTGCTGGACTTACTGCAGGTCTCTTAGGGAGTTGCCGTTGGTTGTACTATGCGGCACACTATCATTCTGAACCATGATGAATGAACGAAGTGGTTTATGTTTCAGTCAGATTCTTTGAAACATGGTCTAGTAATAAAATCGTGCTTTCGATGGATATTTCAGGATGCCTGAGCTTGCGTATTTCTGCTATTGAAATCTAGGTCTGTCGTGGTTGAGGGAAGAGATTCCCATTCCAGAAACATTGGGGTTTATCCACACGCTATCCACGGCTCATGGCAATCCGACATGGCCGCCATGCCGGAGTTAGAGCCGAAACAACAGTGTAACCCGTGCATCTCCATGGATTGGTAGGATTGTCAAGGCTGGTGTTTGGGACAGATTTCAGATGAGGGGTAAGTTCGGCAGATGTTAGCCACTACCCACGAGACTAAAGATGGATGCTATAGGAAACACGGTAGCAATCTCTGCTTTTAGCAGTCGTCATAGATATTCCCGGCTATTCCATGCGGGACAGATCAATTTTGTGATGATGTTGTGTTGGTTATAATTGTTGGCGGCTCGCTTTCTCGTCGCCATAAACATCGCCTGCCTCATTGTGTCCTTGGCCCGATGCGTCTACGCGGCGTGACCTGTTGGAAGCAAACAAAGATAATAAATTCTGCAATTCAATTTTACGTTCGAAAGCTTTTGTGCCGTTTTAGACAATCGTTGTGAGACTTGCGGGCTTTCGACGTTATTTAAGGTAGTAGAGACAATTAATCGATATAAGCAGTTAGCAGTAAAATAAAACACGTCTGAGCGAATTTACTCCAGAATTCTAATTTTGCACTCATGGCAGAAGAAGACCATAGAATCATTATAAGATATTGGAAACCTGGAGGATTTGATATAATTAAGATAGGTAGTCACTCGCAAGTTGAGTAAAAAGGAACGGCAGTCACGTCTAGCCTTCAAGATCGTATTCCAATCATACTTCTCTCGAAAGTTCTCAGTCGACGGATTGTCTGAATAAAGCCCAGGATAGGCCGCCCTCATTTCACGTCCGCAGCTTCCAAACTCCTCCATATTGCTTAGAGTATGATATCACGCAACCTGTCTTACCACCAACAAACTCTGGGTACCACGTCTACACAAGGTTTTCCCATGAACTAGGGATGCAAGTTGCAGTTATCTTTAAGACATCTTTTGTATAAAGTATGATCCAGACGAGTGATGGTTTAAATAGATCGAATGCATGCAATTCAGACCTCAGCGGTATTGAGACAACAACATCCATGTCGTGAGTATGACGATGAGCACCTCGGTTTCTACTAAATTTCTAGATGTTAGTAGAAACCAGTACTCAAGATCTGTTAATAGATGGGATGCTTTAAATAGGGCTGGAAAATCCATATGGGAAGCTGAATTACAAGGGTAGGAGATGGGAAAGGCGATCATGAATACCTGTATACGTAGGCTCTTGCTGGCAAATAATGACTTCAAGTTAGTTTGGGTCCTTCGCAACACATTAAGCACCAATTATCTCTTTGAACACAAGCTAGACAGTTTCCAAGAAAATAGAATTGCAGTCAACTCGGTTGACAGGCTGTTCAATGGCTGCTGGTCATGGCTGGGCGTTCGACATCATTCGCCATTGCGGCATGATGGTTCAATCCGAAATCGGAGTAAAGGTCCTATCATCTAGATTTCCCTTGCACCAATGGATTCGATGTGATTGGAGCAGAATGTTGTCAAACGACACCGGCAGAACCATGCTGTTGTTTGATGCATTCCATGAACTGCAGCCCGCGTAGCGACATCGCGTGGTTCGAGAGAGAGGTTGATGACGCCATCTGAGAGCCGATAACGTGACGTTCCACCAGTATGGTGAAAACCGCAAACCAAATTCCCGTAACTGGCAAAGACCAGGGGAAGCCCCTCATCCCCGGACCATCACGACATCAAACAGCCAACTGAAGGGCGCTGAATCTGTGTAAGATCAGATGCGTTCCTGGCGGTGACCGCTTGTCCTGAGATTGACTTGCAGGTGCACTGATGGGGGGAGCTTACCAAGCACGCAATCCTGCGGTACGACTTACAAATCTGTGCCATACCGCTTTGTTGTCAATTGATCTACAGAATTATATAAGACGGCATCGACGTCCGTTTCATGGTGATTGTTTCGAAGCTGGCCACACAGACAATTGAACTCTATCAACACATATAAAAGCTCTCGTTCTATTTCCCGAGACTTCCGACCTTCCCCTCAACCTCCCCTCATCTCAACACCGCAACAATGGCATCAGTCACCGTCTACGACGCAGTCATTCCCACTTTCACCAAGGGCCTCAAGACCTTTGACCACATTCTGACAAAGGCAGAGGAGCACGCCAAGGCCAACAACGTGGATGTCAACACGTATCCCGAGGCTCGTCTTGTCGAAGACCAGCTCCCCCTCACTTTCCAGGTCCAGAATGCGACAAAGACTGTCAAGACTAACATCAGCCGTCTGACTGGTGTTGAGTTGGAGCCTTATGAGAACACGGAGAAGACTATCGCAGATCTCCACAAGCGCATCAAGGATGCGTTGGAGCTCCTGAGCCAGGTCGACGCCGCGACTGTCAACGCCAAGGCTGACTCGCAGGTTGACTTGTAAGTGATCAACCCATGAATTGAGACATGAAGGGGATCTAACATGATCTTACTAGGCCTATCTTCGGTGGCAAGACGTTGAAGGTCACTGCGAAAGAGGCAGCTTTGAGTCATGGAATCCCCAACTTCTTCTTCCACTTGAATGCAGGATACGCCATTTTGAGATCAAAGGGGGTTCCTGTTGGCAAGGCCGACTATCTCGGTAGTTTTGTTGCCCAGTAATGCTGGAGAATTGGTGTAATAAATAAGATAAACCTTGATGGCTATGACGAGCGTCGGGCAACAGACATGGAACATAGCGATCACGTGAAGAGACTTGTCATTGAGCCAAATGTTGATATATATTCAGCAGGGATCTAAGAGCGACATCCATAGCTGCAGCTCTCTTCACTTACAGAAAGACGAAATGACCGCCAGGATAAAAGAAGACGACGGCCTTTGTTAGTGTTATGATTTACTCTAAGAACAAAAAGACCATGCTGCTACGATCGCAACCAGATCGACCAACCTGGGACTCGAACCCAGAATCTTCGGATTAGGAGTCCGACGCCTTACCATTTGGCCAGCCAGCCAGAGCCACAAGAATCCTCTTGCAAAAGGTTCATTTCACGAGGAAGATTGCGCGAATGATGCGGGAATAATTCAAAAGTTGGGTGCGATTTGCTGCACCAGAATGGGTCACGACGGAGCTGGGCGGGTCTGTGGTAATATGAATACGTAATCTCGTCCAGTAAGGCAAGCTTCACTCATCAAGACTCTACGAAACCGATCATCACCTAGGGTTTTACAACCTTTCATTGACATACGGGCAGCAAGACCCCAATCCCGTTGGAACTCTGATGATATTCGTACTCCTCGAATATGCGACGATTTCTGCGGTGGACTACATAGTTTAGACCCCAGTCTCCTAAGGGTTTGGTATAATGAGGGTGATGATCACTTGACGAAATTCAAAGTTTACCAATTGCGCGGTACAGCTCAGCATGGGGTTAAGAGAACAGGCGGACTGATCCTTCGCGCCGATAGCAGATTGCACTAGAATCCTGATACCACTGGATACCTAAGTAGTTATCAACAAAGCCATGAGGATCCAGGAACAACAACCTGCCCGTCTTGACATGCCGGATCGGTCTTGATGGCGTCGCCGCGCCCTGGCCCCCCCTCACGCTCCGGGAATCAGATCCTTCTACCCCACTACAAAGGGCCTTTCACCGGCGCAGTGCCCGTTAGATCGGCCCGCCATGGATGACGAGTGACACACCAGGCGGACATGCCAGGGGTTTCAGCGGGCTAGTCTGGCTCGCGCGGTGGTATTCAGCGAGGAATAAGCGAATATTCCTTGTCAATCCCCAGGCAGTCAGCTGTATCCTCAAGAGGAGCGTGTTTCCGCGCTTCCCCTCTCTCGAGACGTTTGCCTGGTCTTGGAACATCTACGAGTCATTGAAAGTTGGGTTACCTTCGTGTTTCCTTGAGTTCTCACAAGCGCGAAAACATTCGAGAACGAAGCCGCCGTATCTCCCAGAAGCTGTCCACAGTCCGCGGAACAGCTTGCCTGCAAACGTTATCGCCGACAGGTAGCAACAGAGACTGAGCCGTAGAGTCCGTGAGCCTCCTCTGGACGCCGTTGAACGTGACATCGGCCAAGAAGATGCACCCGCGGGACTCCAGATCGGAGAGATGAACTTTATGCGCGGGCCTCAGTGAAGCTTGCCAACGATCGTTACAACCGGCTTGTATGTCATCGGGATTTGCGCGGTGACGATCAACACGATGAAAGGGAACATTGATGAATTGATAAATGAAGCATTGGTACCCAAAGAGACGAGTGCCGAGGATGACTACAGGTGGTCGATGCTCTACCGAAGCCTTACGCACTGCCGTCTTGGGCTCATTTCGAGGCTCTTTGGGGTATCCCAGCATCTGAGATTTGGGCGATGGCGGACAGTACCAGAGAATAACAAAGAGCATCGGAGATCAGACCTAGGTATTCACTTGGAGTCTTGGATCGTTTGGCGCGGACGTGCAACCCATCGGAGACTCGGATTCCTCATTCTTTCCGCTCATTTCACTGCTAGGGTGTGCACAACACAACAAGAATGATGACTGACAGAATCAGCACGATGCTGCTTCATCCCCTCATCTACCGCAGGCGTTGCACCGCAAAAGCCACTATTCGCTTGGAATCAGGTTGAAGGGGCAAAGTGGAGGTGTCGAAGAAGAACGAAAATAAGGCACAATTGTATCCCGCGCGAAGGAAGCACGTTTCGCAACTGCATGAATCCACAGGATAAGCATTCTGTTCCTGGATCCCCTCTTGTGTAGGCTTACTCTACCTCACTCGGTTGAACTTCTCCCCATGCATCCTCCACGCACAGCAGCAGCAGGTGGAGGAAATCAGCAGATAAACGATTCAGTCAGTCCCCTGCCAAGTTGGCTAAGTTGGACCTGCAGGTGATGATGCAGAGACGAAGTCGACAGCTGCTACAGCTTTTGCATCGCACATGGACCATGGGTTCTTGAAGATGCCCACCTCTGGGCGAAGGTGTCACAGGGAACACACCCACAATTTTGGGATGCGATTCAGTCACCCAAAACATCGCCTGAACTTGCGGAGCACGATCCAATCTGCTTACCGGCGTGTGTCGGACGACTGTTGCAACCTAATCGAATGTCTCACATCATTGAGAAACAGTCGTCAAGCCGCAGAAGCCGGACCGGATCCGGGCCGCGCTTGTCATTCTTCAGCTGTAATGGAGCAATCAGGACGCAGGCACACCCTCATGCAGCGATCTTCAATGTCCTGTGTTGCCCCGCGTGTCTCCAAAAGATGTTCTATGTACATAGGACCCTGGACGCTAAAGTTTGGTAAACGAAGTCCGGATGGAGCTTGGCTTTGACCCCTTTCAACCTTCAAGAGCCAGTAGATCTCGCGAGACGAGCCTTTTCTGGTGGACATCGCGCACCGACGAAGCCCACTTGCGAAGTTGCAAGATCGGAGTTGATGTTATGCGCGTTGTTGGCTTCCATAGGATACCTTACTCGTTCCCGTCAATGGTCAATTGGGCGTGTAGGGTCGCTGTGATGGTCAGTTCTCGGACCTCTCCACTGCCACGTTATCGTTATGACAGGCGGCGGGGAAGGAGAGCAGTCTTCGAGGGATTCGAAGTGGGACACATGCTGCAGTGAGCTTTACGGTGAACTTATCAACCGTGCCACCAGTTGACGTGATGCTCCCGGCAGGCTTCTTGTTTGAGCAAGCCCATCGTCTATCCGTATTGAATATTGGCCCTTTAGGTGGCATGCTTGACACCAGGACCGTGCTCTGCAGAAAGATGTACCTGTCAAACATTTCAGCAAGTTTTCCATATCCCACCGTGTCCGCCAATAAAGCCGCTGATCCTTCACTCCGCGGAACGCCACTGGCTCACCCAATTGCAATGGACTGAAGTTTATTCTTCGTTGCCGCAGCTGTGGCTTGAATAAGGTACGAAAAGAACAAACGATGTTTAGCCAGACACGCCAGCGTCGGGCCAAACTTTGGAGCCAAAAGGACCTTCGTACTGACGGTCATCCTAATCAAGTCGAGAGGCGTTGAAGAGTATTCTTCGCCCGTTATCCCCCCGGCTCGTCCCTCCGACGGCGTGATTGCGCTCAGACCCTCGTCTGCCAGGTTCTGACTAATGCGATTCATTGAGTGGCATGATTTACCAGATCCACGCTTCCAGAGGCTGCCAGGCTTGCCAGGCCAGGATCCTTCAACGCCAAGCTGAAAAGGCTGGATTCGACGACGAGAGCGGAGAACAAGGAACTCGCGTGGGCCCTCCTCTTCACCGGCTCGGCCGCCGTCGCTGAATATGCTCGGTTGAGTAGCAATAACGAGTCTGCCCCCCCCCCATAGTGAATAATCGGCACCGGTGAGAGCGCGGCTGAGACTTCCAACGTCCGAAAATACTACCTTCTTTGTGCGAGAGCGAGAAAGCCGTGAGAGATCTATCCGTTATTTTCATCCTTTCAGGTTATTTCCGTAGGCGAGGCGCTGTTGGCACGCCGTTACGCAAGAGGGTGGCCATCTATGATCTGGCTGGTCTTACGAAAAGGGAGCTCTGAACGGTCTCTGTTTCACCCGATTATGGAAGCCAAAGTCAGTCTGCCGATCAGATGAACAGATGGCTTAGGTAGTCAAGGTCATTCGTTCATGGCTTTATCAATATCTGTCTTCGGCCCGGCAGAAGGCTTCGCGGTCTATTTGATGCCCAATTTCTTTTTCCTGCCCGTCAGCAGTGATCGCCGATGCCTGGCAACTGCGCCAACAACAGTCATTGCCTACCGCGCATGCGAGTCAGCCGCGACCCTGGCGACATAAATCCCCGCGATAGTCTCCTCTTTCACCGAGAAGCAGACAGGAGTTACCCCTGTCCCTCTCCCGGGCTAGCAGGGACGGTATACGACTTTGGATACCCGGGGTTCAAGCCTATCACCCTGTCCAGCCGATCATCATTGGGCTATCTCTTTGACACACAGACATCGACTCCAACTCGGGACCGACTCCCAAGTTCCCAGCTCCATATTTGCACATGCCAGGAGGTGGTCTGAGACATTGCGAGTCTCTCTATCGAGGGCAGCTGAATCGCGGCATCTCCAAAATGGCAGAATCCCAGAATGCCTGCCGCCTTGGCCCGCGAGGAGAGGAATGCAGTGCCGCCAAATCCATGCGCCGTCAGCTTGCCAGCGTACCAGCAAAGCCGGGAGATTGCCATCATCTGCGCGTCGAAAATAACGTTGCGTCCCTAGGCTGGCAGACCACCAACACCGCAGACTGTCCACTGCCTGCCACCCTCCTCTCCTATTTCCCACCTTCCGGGTGCAGTCTAACATGACGAATCGAAGCCCGTTAGTTCGTCTAAACCTTCATAACGACACGCGGAGCCAGTCCGACATAGCTTACACGCTACGGCTTTTCCGCTAGTCAACGAGGTGTCACTCCCCATTAGCCAATTCGTTAGGTCGTCATGCAGGCGTACAAAACTGCACAAAGGGTGTCATCAGAGAAACACCACGACCGTTGTGCTAGTTCTGCCCAGTTGTCTTCCTATCTTCCGAGCAGTCAACTGGTATCCGTACCGCGCGCACGGCTCCTGCATTGCGTTCTTTCTGCCCAAAGGCAATTGACAATATCCTTGGAAATAGATTCGTCGATCCCACAGTGGTCTCCACGTCTAAGCCATATGGGACACGCAATATCAGAATCCTGAGGGTCCCTCGAGCGTGTGAGGCGTGCTAGTGTAGCGCTCTTTGCGGGCAGCTCCTCCTCGTGGATGTCTCACACCCTCTTTGTGTTCTGCCCCTTTCTCGAGTCACACCCGCGCAAAGGTGCCCCCTCGATTTAAGACCAGTCAAGGCTGGCATAGCCAAGCTTTTGTCAATATAGAAAGACAGCATCCCTCGGCGTTTAGAATCCCATGCTTTTCTTCGTCCGACGTCCCACACCTATCCCCATCATCAGCCGCCGTTGAAGAGGAACGAAAAGCACATTGCCACGTGCCAGCCCGTCCTCGTGGGCTATCAATGCTTCTTGATCTCACTACCAATCAAGCATAGCTGTCAACATTGTTCAAGGAGAGTCAATAGGCAGCATGGAAGTTCCTCCAGGAATGAGCCCGGACGATTCGCGGGTACCGATCGTCGTTGGCGTCGCCAGTTTGGTGCTTTCAGTTGCCTTATTGGCTGTATCAATACGAGTGTACACCAGAATATTCGTGATACGGCAGTTTGGTATGGATGACTGGGCGTCCGTCTTTGCTTTTGTAAGTTTTTTTAAGGCAATCTTCACCTCCATGACCTGGTTCTGACCATCATTGTGTAGCTCTTGGTGCTTGGATGTGGCTTGACTGTTGCACTAAGTAAGTCAATTCTTTCATGACGACGTTAATAAGTATCTAACAACTTGAAGATACCAGAAATGGCCTCGGTCACCACGTTTACTTCCTTACTTCGGAACAAATCCAAGCCTACATGAAGGTCAGTCGACATTCTACGTGATCTGCTGCGTGCCCCTACTAACATTTTCAAGACATTCTACGTCACCGTTGTATTCTATAATGCAGCATTGGCCGGTATCAAGATGACTTTTCTCTTCCAATACTACCGAGCTCTGGCTGTACAAAAGATGAAGAAGGTCTTCATTGCGGCGATAGTAATAGTCGGTGCATGGAGCATTTCCCAGATCCTTGTTGAGATCTTCATCTGTACCCCTATCCCAGCTTTCTGGGACAAGAGCATTGATGGCACATGCATTCCAAACTACCCCCAGTGGTACATCAACGCAGCAGGCAACATCATCACCGACATCATTGTCTTTGTGTTGCCACTGCCAGTAATTCACCGATTGAACCTAGCCCGGGGTCAGAAATACGTCCTGCTTGGCATCTTCTGCCTGGGTTTTTTGTACGTCTCATCCCTCAATTGCACGGCCATCTCCTACTATGACTAATCCTTTGACAGCACATGCACCATATCCTTCATCAGAATTCGATTCCTCAAACTCGAAGAAGATTTCACTTGGCAAAATGTCGAAAGTGCCGGCTGGTCCATCGGCGAACTCTGCTGTGGCCTCGTCTGCGCTTGCCTCCCAACGTTCCGACCTCTAGTCTCTCGATTCATCCCAGCCCTCTCAAGTCGGATTGCGAAGTCCTCGAAATACCACAAGAACGGAGACTACTCTGAAAACACCCAAAGTACCTCACGCCACCGCGATGCCGAGCTTGGTGGTACACTCGGTAAGCCGAACCACTACTCCGCCCGCTACTCGAAACGACGAACAGGGTCTGCAGATAGCAAGGCGGATCTCTATGGCATTGCCAGCTACGATTTGAGCCATTCTGGTGCGAGCCGCGAGGCAGGGCTGCCTATCCAAGCCCCGAGAGACAGCCCGGATTTCACCAGTCAGACGGATAAGATGCCGTCTCCGTTACGGCAGCAGGAGTCTATCGAGCTGGGTGATTACAGACCAAATCACCACGCCATTGTCGAAACGCGAATCGAGGCGGGGAGGAGAGAATCTGACGACGAGATCGAGCTGCAACCAGGAGCGCCGATCGAGGTCAAGTGCGATATTGTGCAGGTTTCGTCGCAAAAGGTGGAAGCAAGGGGGTTTTCGTGAGCCAATCCTTGCGCGGATTGTGTTGTATTGATGCGGAATCAACTATGAATCCTTTAGAGACTGGCCTATTTAAGCCCACAGATTACGTTAGCGTTGGAGATATCACTCTTTACTTACTAGATACCATTTTCATTACTATTCAACATGGGCGGCTGATGTCGGGTATAGGCGTGGGCTTTTGGCAAGATATTCCTATAATTACTATCAGACGGCCATTCTATTCTACACCCTCACACTTCCCTCCCCTCATTGCTATCCCTCGTGACTATTAGAGAACTTGCATGTACGGGATTTTAGTCACCAGGGAAGTCGATCATCGCTTTTGGGAGCATTCTGGACCTAGCTGGGGTGTCCGCGATCGGATCAGCAGGGGTGAACGAGATCGACTCCTTTAGCCTAAATTGCTCCCGTCTTTTCAACCACGATCTCGAACTTGATCGACCCCTAGTGACGGTCTTCTGAACAAGATTAATGGTCTGTGACTTCTTGAAGTAGTGGTCCCCTTCAGATGCAACCAGTTTGCCGAGATCACGACAGAGAAGACTGGACGCTTGCCACCAGGCAGAAACCCCAAATACCTCCCAGATCGACCGCACTCTCCTAAGGGCGAGATTTTACAACGATTCTATCAGGGATCAAACGGCTTACTAAGGAGCGTATACGTTGCCAAGAAAATGGTGGAAACGGGAGGTAATATCCTGTTACACCTAGCTAGGGCTCAAGGCTACCCTCGCTTGCGCCCCCGAACTAGCCTTACTGTTGGCTATCCTTCATCATCTCTTAGCAGCCCGATTAGGCCATGGAGACTTCGAATAATACCACCAACGCTTTAACTATATAGAAGCACTACTTACCTGCTCCTGCGGGGAGGTAAAGGCGGTAAATTATCTGGTTTATTGCCAAAAGACCCTAATAAGGAGGCATCAGTAGCCTACCCTCTACCCTTCTAGCCTACTCGATCCTATAGGACCTATAGGATCCCTTGAGCGGTACTATAAGGGGTTAATTACTGATCCTATTGGCTTCCAGGCCTTTCTCCGCGTGACAGACTTCTTCCAGAAGATCTGCCCGCGGTACTAAGGACTAGGTCTTGACCTAGGCCTGACTAACGAATTTCTCCTCCTAGAGGGACAGACGGTAACAACGGAGCTAAAGAACCAGCAGGAACTAGGGAAGGATGGAACAAACAGAAGCCCACGGGCAAGATTTGGAGGACGTTAGGAAGAGGCGTATACTATAGAGTATATAGCTCGAGCCTACGGCCCTCCACGCCATATACCCCTCGGGAGGTCGGCCGCAAGGGCGGCAGCGCCTTTGCCGCCACGGCGTTAAATACAACAACAACAACAACTTCAAACAGAAGTATGTGCGCACTGCCAAGTTCAACATTGAGAGGGCTGCGAGGCAGTCTGTCTTTGGCAAATATCGCAACAGCTATATAGACGATCCGAGAGTGAAGCATGAGGTGCACTCGACGGCAAATACCCACATTGTGTATTTCGAGAATCAACTCTTGGCGTTAAAAGAGGATTCTAGGCCGTATGCTATGGATCAGGACTCCCTTGAGACCCGAGGTAGGTTATCACCACTCCATGACACTCCTTTTCATCATGCTTAACTGATCAAACTTGTAGGATTGTACGACTTTCATGGGCAATATTCAGCTCCAACATTTACAGCGCATCCCAAGATTGACCCTGACACCGGAGAGCTGATCACCATGGGCTATGAGGCCAAGGGTGATGCGACAAATGACGTTGCGTACTACCTATTTGATAAAAATGGGAAGAAGCTCGAAGAATGCTGGATCAAGACGCCTTACGTGGGAATGATGCACGATATGGCAGCGACCAAGAATTGGATCGTCTTCGTACTCATTCCGCTTGAGACACAACCGGTCGACATTCTACAGCAAGGATCGAAGCATTTTGCATGGGCCGAGGACAAGCCCTTGACATTTGGTCTTCTGCCGCGGCGAAACCCCAAACCTGAAGATGTTCTGTGGTTCAACTTCAGGAATGCCTTTTATGGCCACACTGGAAACGCATTCGAGGGCGAAGACGGATGCATCTACCTCGACGCGCCGCTTACCCACCACAACAAGGTACGCATTAAGTATCCAAGTCTCCCAGGATCGTGGTCTAATTCGTACACTAGTTCTGGTTCTTCGGTCCTCGAGGTGAGGACCCATTTTCTCATCCGAGCGGCAAACCAGCTGCAGGACAACCTGCCAGTAGTTACGTGCGATCGAAGCTCGATCCCAATGCAACAAACTTCAATGTTGAGCCTACAGAGCTAGTCGCACTCGATGGCGAGATGCCAAAGGTTGATGAGAGATTCGCAACGAAGGCGTACAGCAAATTGTTTTTATGCGTTCATGATCCAAAGGAAGTACAGCCCCGTCGGTGGAACCTACAACACCATAGCGGCGGGAGACATCAACACTGGAAAGTATACTCACTGGTCTGCTGGGGAACATACTTCTTTACACGAGGTAGCATCCTTGCCAAGGTCCCCAGATGGTAAGTCGTCCATGGAGCAAAAAAGAAAATGTAGATGACTGACTTGCTAATGGCTTTGCAGCGGCGGAAGGAGACAGTTTTCTTGTAATCATCGCCAACAGACGAGATGTCAGACTCTCCTGCATTCTGATTCTCGATGCCAAGGATCTTGCAATAGGTCCCATAGCGATCATTGAACTGCCCTTCCGGCTACGCAGTGGCATACATGGAAGTTGGGTACCCCGTTCGGACATATTGCATGATAAAGGTCTCTGCGAGATGACTGGTGTCACCACAGAGATTCGGCAGAAATTTGAGGGTAAAGCTGTTCAGCCAGCCTTACGAAAATGAGGAAAGTTGTTGTTGTTGTTCTATTTAACGCCATGGCGGCAAGGGCGCAGCCGCCCTTGCGGCAGACCTCCCGGAGGGTATGTGGCGTGAAGGGTCGCAGGCTCTAGCTATATACTATATAGTACACGCCGTATCCTGACGTCCTCCAAATCTTGCTCGTGAGCTACTATGTGTTCTATCCATCCCTAGTTCTCACTGGTGCCCTAGTTCCGTTATAACCATCTGGTTTCTTAATAGAGGTAGTTTGTCGTTTGGAGGATAGGTTATGACCTATCTCCTAGTACCGCGGGCAGATCTTCTGGAAGAAGCCTGTCACGCAGAGGAAGGCCTGGAAGCCTTCAGAGTCAGTGATTAGCCCCTTGAAGTAGCGATCGAGGGACCCTATAGGTCCTACGGGCTCCTGGCGCCTGTAGGGGTAGAGGGTGGGCCACTGTTGCCTCCTCAGTAGGGTCTTTCGGCAGTAGACTAGATGGTCTGCCTCCTTAACCCATCCACAGGAGCAGGTGAGTAGTGCTTCTGTGTGGTTAAAGCGTTGGTGATATTGTTTAAAGTCCCCGTGGCCTGACCGTGCCGCGAGGAGGTGATGAAGGGCAGCCCTAGGGAGGCCAAGTTCAGGAGGGCAAGCAAGGGTAGCCTTGAGCCCTAGTTGGGTATAGCGGGGAGTTGCCTCTTGTTTCCACCATCGTCTATATTGGCGTCTTGGCCGCTCTTTAGCAAGCCACTTGATACCTGATAGAGTAGCTAGTTGGCCCCTAAGGACTGGTAGAGTTGTTCCCTCCTTAGCTAGGCTGTCTGCTTCTTCGTTTCCTTTAATTCCTTGGTGCCCAGGAGACCAATGGGTTTGTATATCGTGTATCCTAGCTACCTCCTGGATCTCAAGGAAGGCCGCTTGTGAGGAGTCTGGGACCTTACCGCGAATCCCCTGAATAACGCTGGTATTGTCGATGCAGATGTGTATAGGCTGGCCTTGGGAGGTCTGAAGGGCCCGTCGGAGCCCAGCCCTCGCCCCCTCCGCCTCACCATCAAACACTTCTGCTAAGCCGAGACGGCCGCAGCCCTGGGCTATACATTTATTGTTGCGGTAGATAACAAAGCCGTACCCTGTAGCTCCGTCAGGAGCTTTGGAGCCGTCTGAGTATACGACTGTATGCTGACCTGGCACAGTCTTGGGCCAGGCCTGGAAGATCCTAGCTGCTACATCCTTCGTCTGAGTAACTATAAGGTCATAAGACCCTGGGAGGTATTGCGGCTGTAGGAGTGCTGGCCTTGGACACTTAGGTAACAGGCCAGCTGTTCTTTGGAGCCTGGTCTGTTGCCGCCTTGGCTGTAGCAGCCTTGGGACCAAGGGATGCTGTTGGTCAACCTTCTGCAGGCGTATAGCGAAGCGTACTCGCGCTGCTTCGAGGGCTACCTCTGCTGTAGGAAGGCCAGCGTCTCGGATGAGGGTGCTGGTCGGTGTGGTTCTCCAGACAGGCAGGATAGCCCTTGCTGCTGCTGTAATAACTTTGCTAACTCTACGGGCCAGGCCCTTCTGTCCTGTACCAACTGTAGCTATCTGTAAAGCAGTACTACTGCTAGTATTGGTGCCGCTGTTTAGGGCTGGTTTGGTTAGGCCCGCATACCAGGTCTCAACTCCATATAGGGCTGTTGGAAGGACACAGGCAATAACCGCTTTTCGTACTGCGGCTGCTGGGAGCCCCCCTTTAGTATTTGTTAGGTGCCGAAGGAACTGGGCTACCTTCCTTGCTGCCGCCACCTTAGTTTCGACATGGTGACGGAAGGTGAGTCTCTTGTCAAACCAGACTCCTAGCCATCGTACAGGCCTAGCTGAGGCCTTGATAGTTAGGCCCCTCGCTTGTATATCTGGTAGGTCTTTTGTCTGTTTATGTTTCCTGCTGAAGTGGACTGCCTCACAGTTAGCTGGGTCAAAAGCAACCTTGTTATCAGTGCCCCAGTTAAGTATATGAGTGATCTCTTGGCCTAGAGCTATAGCATTTTCTTTTAGCGATGGGCTAGTAGCTACTAAACCTATATCATCCGCATAGCCGAACCGTAGCTTCTGATCGTCGGCTAGGATATCAGCTATATATAATAGAAATAGAATAGGAGATAGTGGGGAGCCTTGTGGTAGCCCACAGGATAAAGGGAAATCCTCTGTAGTTGTATCCTCTAGCCTGACCCGGGCTGCTCGGCTAGAGGTAAAGGTGAAGATCAGCCTAATCAGATGCTTAGGCCAGCCCTGCTGTCGTAGCCTGATAACAAGTCGGTTTCTTAGGACAGAGTCAAAAGCCCCTTTAACGTCTGTCGTATGGTCACAATGTGGGCATCGAGATGTTTGATAGAGAACGGTTATCCCTTGAAAGTAGAGAATAGTACGGCAGCCTGCAGGGACAACTCCGCCAAAACCCAAGGTTTGGAGTAAAAATAGCCAAGGGAGCCACAATTCGTTGATACAACCACGCCACCATACAGATACCTTTTTCATTAGCAGCATTGAGCACAACATGTAATTATTAGGGTCGGCTAAGCGAAAGTCCGCACACAACTGCAGAATGTCGCACGTAGACGTACGGAGGTAAGTAATTATACCTCCACCTGTTTCTTCACCTTTTTCCTCATCTTTTTCCTCACCTTTTTCCATCTCCATTTCGCAACATTCAGAAATGGCATATCAGTGTCCCAAGAGCAACAAAACTAATCATCTTATTGCCAAGACAGTCCTACAATGGACAATTTGTGCATTCTGTTCCCAAAACCTTTCTACTATTGAAGATTTAGTCATTGACCTTACTGCGGATGACGACTCTAACACCCAACCCTCCACATTGCTTTCAGCCGTTAAGCAAGAGTCACTTTACGTACCAACGGCTATGAACTTCCTCCAAGCCGCCCAGGAAGGCTCAAAACAGCGCGAGTCGAGTATCCAGAAAACAAAGAAGCCAACGAAAACCTCCCCAACTGTCCTGATCGGTATCCATCTGTGGGTTGCGACATACTATGAGACGGATGTTGACGGGATTCCTGTTACAACATACGTCCGCGTAGTATCGCCAAAGAAATTCTCTGGGAGCTGCTCGTTCTTCTTGACCACGTCGTACACATCACACTCCGACATGATGCGTTCAGTACTGTCAAAGTTTACAACAGAACGCCACTTTCTCAGTCGCAACTGGAAGGCTATGCCTGTTAACCCGAAGAATCTCACCGATATCCACGAATACTGAAGCGCTGCGTACGATGCCAACACCCTCAGCTTATTCTTTCACGAAGCCTCACTTCTTCCTGAAAGGGATATATATATGCTATCTCTTGTGTCTCTCTCACGTATTGAGGCGCCAGAGACCAGCCCAGAGGTTTCAAAGAAGCAACGTGCTATAAAGAAGTCAACAACAACAATTGCAGATCAGTTCCTCCAGGAGCAGGCTAGTAACCTTATATCTACACGCTCGCAGACAGGAGTTGAGCAAAAGCTTACCCCTAAGGCAAAGGAAGCAGCAGAGAGTACTAAAAAGCAAGGAACTTCCCATAAGCGAGGGTATTCACAAGTTATTAATAGGGAGTATGAAGTCAAGAAGGAGAGTGTAGTAAAGGAGGAGATTTATGTAGCTACAAAGAAGGGGAAGGGTATAACTGAGGACCTGAGTACAGGTGAAGATGATAAGAAGTGATATATGGACTGCTATTCCATTCTTTACCTTCTAAACTACCTGTCTCCATATGTAAAAGTTCATCAACATTAATGCCATTTGCTTGTAGTCGTTGCTTAACCCAATTAACCCCACCTGTCTGCCTCTCAAGCAGTGAGATTTCTGGCTGAATACCTGACCTCTGATGCTGATTCAAGCGGTGCCGTAAGTAGTTATAGGCTTCAACCTGGGGATATTGATCTCCTTCAAACTGAGTAACTGGTGTGAAAGTATTTACACCGTCAAGGAGCTGCTTGCAAAGCTGGGACGTCTCTTGCGGTAAATAACTATGCAGAGCTGCCTCGTCATACTCCAATACGTCAAGTATAGTCTGGACCTTTAAAGAATCAACTGCACAAGCAAAATCCTGTGCAGTCTCCTTATCAAAGTTATGGTATAATTGCCAAGGTTGCCCAGGAACAACATTTGGCCGGCTCTTCTGTATGCGAATTCTGTGGTTATTCCACACTTCAACAAAGCTCTTGAAGTCCTCGCGGATTAAGGGCATAAATATGAATAATATTGCAACCCTATCAGCGAGAGAATTGGGACTAAACAACCCAAGCTGTTGTAGTCGGCCAAAGTATTCCTATTAAGTTAGTATAGATCCGTAAAAGTAGATAAAAAGAAGTAAGTACATACACGCCATTGTGCTGATGATGCCTGGCACAACTGTCCCCACCAGCTTTCAATCTTGACGTTATGGATGCTCTTGCCAAAGATCCAACAGTCATGAAACTGAATAGGTATGTTTTGGTCTGGTGCTTCGGGTTTCTTCTTGGTACGGTCTTGTGAAAGAAAGTAATGACCTCCAGCAGCCAGTACAGTCTCAACGCCGCGGTCTGACCGTACCTTTAAGGGCATAATATCCCGTTTCGACACTACATAGAGGTATTGGGCTAGTATAGCTCGCGCAGTATGCGCTTCAACCCCTACATAAAACCACACAATATACCGAGAATAGGCATCAATGCCTGCGTATATCTCGAAGCCCCATGGGAGGAGCTTATCGTACGCATCAATTGACCAAATGTAATTAGGCCCAGGTGTTGTGTAGCCTTTTCGACGGTATCGTAGCTCGCGGAGACGGTTCTGTACTTCGTTGGGGAAAACTTCGCGGTAGGCTTCATATACAGCATCGCGGCTGATTACGTGGCCTTGTTGTCGCATTTAGGTATAGAGGAACTCGCGACCAAAGTTGCGGACTGTGCGGGCGCTGTCCTCGGCTGTACGGAAGTGCTCAACTGCTTTCCCATGGGCTACAGCAAGCTGCTCTTGTGATTGTCGTCGCCATAGTTTGTGGCATCTTCGGAT